CACCCCTGTCTGCCACGTCCGAGGGATGTCTTCCCCTGCTCGGGGGATACACATATGTGCACTTGTTCGCCCGTAACGGACGGACTACCCTCGACCGACCGGACGCTGTATTATATCGCCCGCGATATCTGTACCATTGTATTTAAAGCGGCGACCATTTCGCGAGTCCTGCTCTCGAGTTAATGAACTTCCTACGGACAGGATAATGACGGGGCCACTCGCTATTAAATTCGCCTCCACGTACACTCCTCCACTTTTATTCGCTCTTCACATACGCACTCTTTCTATTCATCGCGAAATTGGTACTCGTGTGTCTTTAGAATTTTAATTACAATATATATCTAAATCGGTGTTTCTAATAGCGCAACATATCCTCAGGATGTTCTCTGAACGTCTTCAGGGTAAGGTAAACGTCCCAGTGGTTGAACGATTAAGGTTACAAATTTATTTATTAATATTTTTGTTATATAAAAACAAGAAATTTTCTTAAGGATTTGCATTTATCTTGTAAAATGATATTTTTATTGTTTAAAAAGCGTACAAATTGTTTTTATTAATTTTATTATATAAAAATATAATAAAATATGAAGCTGTGTAAAAGTACTAGTGTTTAAACGATAAAAACGCGTTTGTTCTAATGGTTGAACGAAACTGTCCCAATATTTGAACATAGCAAAGTTATAATTATAGAAATAATTTGTCTATACAGAAGTTTTTTTCTTGTTCTTTCTTTCGGCATTATCTTCGAAATTATCTAAAGTATAACAAGAAATGAAAAATAAAACGAATGTTCACATACAATTTTTGGTTACCAAAGGTTATCTGTTATAATATTTTCCTCGTTCATTATGACATAAATATATATTAAGTTTTTTTTAAATTCTTTAAATTTTATTACTAAATTAATTGTAGATTTTTTAAAAATATTAACGAAAAAAATTACGATTTAAACGAAAAAAACGATAAATAAACAAACGGTCTATAACTAGGCAATATTGAATTTTTGAGTACCAGTAAATAAACACTAAATTTATCATATTTAAATAAATTTGTTTAATAAAATAAAAATTTTAATTTATATAATAGTAACTTCTTTTACGAATCAAAATAACTTTTACTTGTTACAATAGCGTTTATATAAAAAATACACACACTTAAGTACTAAATGACGTTTCTTAACTAGACAATTAAGAAGCTATTGAAAGAATGAATAAAAGTAAGCCGTCATTCAAAAAATAATTGTTTTCTCACAAATCTTTTTTCTTCAATCCGTTTTCTTTTTAACAAATATTAAGAACCATTAATTTTAAATTGTAATATAATATTTGTAACTGTATGAATTAGAAAAAACTTAATAATTATAAATACGTATTGCATCGTTCAACCACTGGGACATTTACCTTATACGCGTGCTATAAATGTAAGAATGCGTACGAGAAAAGACCAATGGATGAAGATAAGTTAATTCCTCGCGCATTACATAATTCAACAATATTAAATATACAAGAGAGACAAACTTTTATACGACGTATAAATTAATATTAGACACAGCACGTTGTTGAAACTCAATAACAACATTCTCTTCCCCGTGATTTGATTATAAACGCAATTAGTCGGTTCTTCGCGCAAGGTGTCGGCCAAGTGATGTGGTAAGAAGAAACGGGGGAAAGTTCGATCGCGTCTGGATGCGATACGTGGTCCATAACGTGCCGGATGCACGTAGCACGACGGAGGAGAGAGAGCCCCTACGTGCCTGCCGATGCAACCTCACCCCAAGGGCGAGGGTTAACCCTCCACCCCCGGCACGAGAGCTCAATATATATTAAGATCCGCGAACCCCTCGGACTAAAAGTTCGCAACGCCTCCTTCTCCTTTCCACGTGGAAGTCTTCCTGCAGACTCTCTCGCTAACCTCCCTTATTCGGAGCTACGCCGTCGGAATTGCGATTATGGTGGCGATATTACTAGCGGAGGGGTAGTTCCCCATGCCGCAAGGGTGCCGGCATCCCGCTATCGTCTCTCGTTTCTCGTCTGCCCTTCTTCGTCCCACACGCGCGAGCTTCGAGCTTATTGGCTTTACTTCTGAGCCATCGACTCGTATCTATTTACTGCCACGGTTTGATCCGCGGGAAAAGCCATGGTTCGGCTCAGATAGTGCTTTTTCTCAACTTATATAGTAGCCAGTGCGCCACGGGGTGGCTAAGCTAGCCAGGTAACTTCTCGATCGCATGGCTTCTCCAAATATATACTTCTTATTCGTTAGTCTTCCTCGAACGAATCATAGCTGTCAAGTCGTGAAGAAACGAGAACAAACAACTGCTTTCGAATAATAAGTATCGCTCGGGGTCGAGTCTCTTGTACAATATTCGCTAAATGATTTTGTATAACGGAGAAATGGCGAGAAAATGTTTTTCTCTCAATCCGAGAATACGGAGAGAAAATGTGTAACGCTTTAATTCGCTTTGTGATTTATCATCGCCGGCGGTGGCGTGTATTTTCCCTCGAAAATAAAGATCGAGGGGAATCTGCGGCGATTTGCACGTGCTGTCACTTCGCTCCCTGCTTTCGGACTCGGCGCGGGAAATAGCGAACCGCGTCTACCTGCTGCGACGAGCGCGAAGCGACGAGGGCGTGCGATCGATACTCGACCGCAAAGTGCTAACCGCGTAGTTTTCGAGACATCGATCGACGCGCAATCTCTCTCGGTTGTACTTAATGCAAGCGGGCGGATTGTACGCGCTCGAGAAAGATCCTCGTGCTTTTCTATCAATGATATTTTCCACCGGCGTTTTACGCAACGCTCTTTCTAATTTAGCGTAAAGAAAATTGATGGAATAACTTAGCAAAATACGAAGAATTCTTTTAAAAATAATTAACATTATTTTTTTTTTTAATTATATAATCTGATGAATTACACGGAGAGAATTTTCTCTGAAAATTGTATGGTAATCGCTTTTTTAAGTTTCTCCGATTAATATTTAGCACGACAAAAATATTGATATGTATGTACATAGTAAAATTGATCGAGCATATTTTATATCTTATTGTAAATATTAATATTTTTATTGTGATGAATATTAATCAGAGAAACTCCAAAAACGTAAAATTCTTCCAATACCATATATTATTCCACGATTATTACAATTTTCAGAGTAAATTCTAAAGGAAAATTCTCTCTGTGTACATAATCTAATGACTATAGATATAAGAGAATATTGATTTAACAAATATATATATATATATATATATATATACGGTAACGAAATATTGATTTAACTTGGCGATCTTTGAACCGAACGTACAAAAAGTTAAAGGGGGAAAAAAAAACTATCTCGTCCCATCTTGGGTGCATCTGTGCGTGCACGACAGACGAGAACGACGTAGGATTGCAATATGAGATACCGCGGTGGTTAATCGTCTTTTTTTCCCTTCCTCGCGATGAGTAATTTCATGGGACGGTCACACCGAGCGGAAAATCCGCCTCGCCGAAAAATCGAGCGCGACGCGTTAAAAAGAGGACACGATCTCTCGACGCGATCCAATTAAATGCCGCGCGACGTTAACGACGCGCGTTTCTCCTCCGCCTTTTTCTCTCGCGGCTCGCAGCGGAATAAAAGCAGCAGGGCGTGTAGACATTGACTCGTGGTGGAGTGCGGTGGGCGAAGAGGCTGAATTTCCGTTCTAATGAAATTTCCTAGACGTTAAAGAACCTCGACAGAGACGTCCGAATAAATACGCGCGCGATAGTGCTGGCGCGCTTTCTCGCTTCTTTAATAATCCTTGAACGAAAGCATAAATACCGATTGGCGGGGGAGAAATGTTGACAGTAGAGAAACATAACTGTGGAATAAAAAATAGATATGTGAAATTAATTTGAATGTTTTCTTTTCAATATCACGTGTGTATAAAAGCGTGACGATAATAATATTCATGATATATTTAATTATATTTGTATATCGAGGGTATATTTCAGGATATCGTTGAAGGAATATAAGAACGCGAGAGGCGCTCGTTTAAAAAAAAAACGATGTAAATCCCGTTTGAGAAACCTCGCTAAAAACTATTAATTGCTATCGGAGGCGTGCGAAGGATACCGGATCGTAATTCGATGCGCGGACGACGGCGAATTGCGAAACTGTGTTGGTCCTCCGTGATTCCCCGGCTACTTTCGCCGTGCGGGACCGCTGAAAAAGCTTTTTTTCGTCGGCAGCGCTTTAATGAAATTTTTTCGACCTCGTCATCGTCCCCGTAATAATCTCCCTTTTGCAACCGGGTAGCCGGCGCGGCTTGAATTTATTGCAGCCCGCCTGCCGGAAACACGTCTCCGCGAGGAAATCTTCTGGATAAGAGGCTCACGGCTCTCTACCTCGGTCTACCGTTTTTTGTCATTCCTTACCTGCCGAGTCTTTCCTGGTCCGAGTATGAAATACGCGGGAGCGGAGAAGCGCGTTAAAAAAAAAAAAAGAAGAAAGGAGAGCGATGAGAAGAGAAGGAAAGAAGGCAAAGTGAAGAAAGAGAAGGGACTGAAGGAAGAAGAGAGGAAAGGGAAAGACGGAGTTCCGGTGACGACGAGGACGACGACGACGACGATGGATCCTTCTTGCCCCGGTCGGAACTTTTTGCGGTTGCTCTCGGGAGCCAAGGGGGCAATAAAACTAATGGTAACGCGCGCCGGTAATTCCTTGCGGTCTGTTTGTCGCAAGTCGACGACCTGGCCTCTCCGCCTCGTCATTTACCGAGGGAGGATTCTACGGCCAATGTCGATGACAATGACGGCGACGATGGGCTGATGCTTTCTCGCGCTTTCGCGGTTACATGGCGTAGAACTTGGAAAAGGGGTATTTAGGAAAATATGATCACTTTCTTCGATACTTTCGAAATGGAATCCTTCCCGACCGTCTACGCTCGATATCAGTAACTTTAGTTAAGAATGAAGAATAAAAAAAAGATGTCTGAAACGTGATCTTTCTTCATTCTCTTTCTTTGCAATTTTTCTTACAGTGGGTAGAGGAGTCTTTCACGAACTTCGACAAGGGTATCAATTGGCGGAGTTACGTTGTGTGCGACGTAGCGTACAACAATGTGAACAATTGGCTGTGGACGCCATTCGTGGAGAGGGGTCCGGCGAACCGCATGTACATAGAAATAAAATTCACGACCCGCGACTGCTCGTTATTCCCGGGGAACGCTCTCAGCTGTAAAGAGACCTTCAGTCTGCTCTATTACGAGTTTGACGCTGCTACTAAGGAACCGCCTCCGTGGGAGCCAGACAGTTACAAACTTATCGGTGAGCGCAATCAAGCATAACTATTGAAAGTTTCATCTTGAAAATAACGTAATGGTGATATTGTCAAAATATCTAAAATTTAAAAGTTCGCATTTCTTAATCAAAAATAATTAAGAATAATTATTGAGACAAATTTTGAAGACGAAATAAATTAGAATATTCTATAATAATTAATAAGTTTTATTTTTTGTAATAGAAAATCTCTTCCTCGATTGATCTGCTCGAAGATTTCAATATCCGCTTCTCATATAGACTGACACTTTTAACATATTTACAGGTCGCATTGCCGCGGGCGAGGGTAGGTTCAATACGAACGCCGAAGTGGTGATAAACACAGAGGTAAAGTCTATCCCGGTGACGAAGAAGGGCGTCTACTTCGCTTTTCGCGACCAGGGCGCCTGCATATCGATCCTAGCCATCAAAGTGTACTACATCAATTGTCCCGAGATCTCGGTGAACTTTGCCCGTTTCCCGTCCACGCCGACCGGTCGCGAAGTCGCGCTCATCGAACAAACTCTGGGCATTTGTGTCGAGAACGCCGTCAAAATCGCCCAGCCGACTTTCCTCTGCAAGGGAGACGGCAAATGGTATCTACCGACTGGTGGATGTCACTGCAAACCCGGCTATCAAGCTGATGTGGAGAAACAGCAGTGTAAGCTGTGCCCAATAGGCAAGTTCAAGCACGAGGCAGGCTCCCACACCTGTGAACCATGTCCGGAGCACAGCAAAGCCTCCGATTACGGCTTCACGGAGTGTCGTTGCGACCCGAGCTATTATCGAGCGGAAAAAGATCCTAAGAATATGCCTTGTACGCGTAAGTATCACTTTAATTTTAGTGTAATATAATCTTTGTGAAGATTCAAATATAATTGTCGAAATCTCAAAATGTATAAATATTTTTGAAAGCATTCGAAAAAAGTTCTCCGAAATATTCATCGTTACTATATTTAAATTTCACACTTTATAATTGCATTGTTAACTATTCGATATAATATGCGCGACTTATTTGTTACTTTAATTTAAAAATTGCATATATATAAAGATAGAAGGTAGAGAGAATTTGAGAGAGGACGAAAATCTAGAAGAAATATATTCTTTTTGCAGAACCACCTTCGGCACCACAAAACCTGACCGTCAACTTTGTCGATCAGTCCACGGTGATCCTTTCCTGGAACGCTCCGCATATGCAGGGTGGCAGATCCGACACGACTTATAAAGTGGTCTGCGATGCTTGCAGCACAGATGTCAAATACATTCCCAATACTGTAAGTTTCCTTCGAAACCGTATATATGTGCATGCATTTGTGTATGCGAGCAGATTGCATAGTGCAGAGAATTCAATTATTCTTTGATAAAAAAAACTTCACGCAAAATTGCTTTGATTTTGCAATAGGAAACTTTCAACGACACGAAAATCACGATAACCGGACTGAACGCGGTGACTACTTACCGCTTCCAAGTGTTCGCCCAGAATGGCGTGTCGTTGTTGACCCAAAAGAAGGAATACGTCGACATTACTGTTACAACGGAAGCAACTGTGCCGAGTCTAGTGAGCAACGTCAGGATCACGAGTGTCAAGAGCTCGGAACTCAGCATTAGCTGGGACGCGCCGGTCATCGAAGTCAACGGAGACAGCGATCTCGTCGAACGATACGAAGGTAAAGCTAAAGTCCCGCTGCGATACAAAGCTCTGCGCGGCGATATCAATTCTAAATTGTCACTCGATCGCGCGCCGGCGGGATTAATAATCGTCTCGATATCTGATATCAGTGAGGTGTTACCCGCGCTATGACGACGCCACTAATGCAACCGTCATTCAAACGTCGTCTGAGCTGTCCGCCACGTTCAAAGGCCTAAAGCCTTCCACGGATTACGCGATACAAGTTCGCGCCAAGACCACCCGCGGCTGGGGCGAGTATACGCCGGTGATATTTAAGAAGACACCCCACGCCATGGGTTTAGGTAAGCGCGCGTGAACGACATGCAGATTCGCGTTTCGCAATTTCGTTTATGTATATTTCTAATGCGAGCATTCTGCGCACAGACTACGTCGGCGAGGACGACAACATGCAAGTTAGGATAATCGCAGGGGCGATCGTCGCTGTCGTCGTGCTTCTTGTGATTATTATCATCATGACCGTTTTGATTCTCAGAAGGTAATTGAATCATTTTCAATACTGGAAAAAAAATCTTTAAAATATTTTCCATTTCACAATTAAGAAAGAGACATTTGCGAATTATCAGTTACCATTTTGCGTATTAATTGCGCGAAGAAATACTTTTTTTTTCAATTATTTTGCTCAATTTCGTTGCAGCAAATTCATGCCATTCATGCGATTTCGTTGCAGCAGGGCTTCGGACGAGTGCAACAAGAAGCAGCCTAGTGACTGCGATACTCTGGAGTACCGAAACGGCGAAGGTACGTTGCTCAAAGTTTCTTTTCCTCTTTAAAGATTTATTATCGCTGCTCTACCCCCTGTCAGTTTTATAGTTGTTTCATTGCGCCCTCGTGTCTTGTGACTAATATATATATATATATATTGAAATCACTGCCCCGCCCCCTTTCTTAGATCCAGCAAGTGTCGAAGCTATATACCCCGTATGCAAACAGACTCACGATAATACAATTAAACATCCCTCAGTAGAAATTTTTTTACGAATGAGAGTGAGAGAAAGAGAGATAGCTAAACGTTAACACTGTAGAAAAAAAATGTGCAAAGAGAAAGCAGTCGAGGGCTCTGAAATACGTCCATCCAACATGGGATATAAGAGAAACGATCGCTTTCGTATCAAAATTCCCACTGATCTGGCCCGCGGCCCGAATGCGATTATTCTAACCAAATTCTTTCAATTCTTTCTTTTCATGTGCGATTCCCCTAATCTATCGAACCTGCCTCCATGAAAAATCCATGAAAAAACCCAATGAAACAATGTACACAATCGCCTGCTACTACAGGACTAGTTGTGACCTACAGTAAGTCTTCTCCAAACACCTCAAGTTTTTTGTTTCTAGGAACTCAATTTTGTGTAGATTATTTTTGCAACCCCTACATGCATTACACCTTTACACTTTTACGCTTTTGCACACACACATGCATATACATACACACGCACGCACACACATGCAAACAAATACACGTGCACACATAACAATTTTGCACGATACCTAATTTTCTTAAATACACATTGTGCGTGCTCAGCGTGCATTGTGCTTGCGTATGTTGTGTCGCATTCTTTGTCAATATTGCATGGGTATTGTTTATTAGTACATATTATCGCATATACCTTTTATATTTCTGAATATATTTAATTCGTAAAACAAATTAGGGACATAACTGACGAACATAAGAGACAAAACAAAATAAAACTATGCATTGCGAAAATTTTTTTTTTTTTTATAGAACGTCGATTGTTCAATACCAGAAATAATTGTTTTCACACTTGAATTCAATTAAACATTCAATCCTCTTTGTTCGCGTGATCGAAAAAATAGAGATTTTTTTCCGATTCATTTCTCGCTCTACGTTATTAAAAAAAGAGAAGAAAAGAAAAAAGTATTCATTATGAGAACACCCGCCGCTTTTTTGTTTTTCTGTTTGTCAATTAGTGTGTTGGTTGTTGTGTTGTTCACAGTGCACTGCAAAATGGACAGTTCACCGATTGTGACAACCCATACCAACAACAAGAGCAAGTCCTCGCGTAAGTCCTTTGTTTCCCAAAGCGATTTCCAAACCAAAACTCTTGTGCGACCGCAAAACTCGCGGGGACACATCCGTATAACATATTAAAGACATAACTGAACGCACCGACATTCGCACACACTCCGAGTTGTCCACGTTTATTATAGTGTCGCTTGATAGTTATGCTGTACTCTATTCTGTTCTTTCTTCACTGTCCTGGATATATGCGATATGGATGAAAAGTACGGAAGTAATAAAAGCATGCCGCGATCCCGTCGTGTTTTGCACGCAATTGCATCATGTTCTTGCATCCAGTTTTTTGTCTTATATATATTTTTTTTTACTTCTAGAGTGATCTACTTAACGATCGCTCTTGTTCTTGCATCGAAATGCGGAAAGTATACTTGGATGTTTTGAGACGATTCAAATAAAGGCTAAATTAATTTGAATAACAGAAGGAATTTGGGGGAAAAATTATTTTTGAATCGTCTGAAAAGTATCCAGGACGAACAATGTTGATCGATGAACTTTGCGGATGTATCGCAATAAATTGAAAATAATTTGGCATGTGCGAGAATTGTGCATTTTGTGCATGCGGATTGGCTACGTGCGAGATTTTTTTTCTAGCGTACATAGACACCGCCGTTCGACATTTAAACAGACCAGAAATTTAATTAAAAATAGATTAACACGAAATATACAAGTAAAAGATGACTTATTATTGATCGAGTAAAGTGGGATTGAAAGAGAAGAATATATCTTATTAGAACCTACCTGCGTTTGGCTTTCTTGATTGTATCTTGTTTTTTTTTCTTTTCTTTTTTGGAAATTTCAAACATGTTGACGAGGGAGAATGTGTGAGTGTTACTTTTTTGATACGATATTTGACACGGTTGGCCGAGCGCGATAGAGCGAATGTTGAAACGCGCGGTCTAAAGTTCTGTCAAAATTTCGCACCACCGGCCCTCGTGTTAATATAATGAACTCTGTTTTCGTGACGTTGCAGTGACCACGCCGCTATTCACACCTGCAGTGGGGGTCACCGCGGCAAGCGCAGGCGGCGCAGGCGGTGCAGGTGCGAGGAGTTACGTGGATCCTCACACCTATGAGGATCCGAATCAGGCTGTACGGGAATTCGCCCGAGAGATCGATGCCGGATACATTACGATAGAGGCAATCATAGGTACGAGATTCTATACATTGCTGTACATGTACATTATTATTATTATTATTATTACACGAGGTTTATCAGCATATTGCAATACTATGATATAAGCATGTAAGATAGTTTTAGATAAAAGTTAGAACTCGATTACATCTTGATATTTTTTTCTACTACAGGTGGCGGAGAATTCGGCGATGTCTGTCGAGGGAAGCTGAAACTGCCTCCTGACGGACGGACGGAAATAGACGTAGCCATAAAAACCCTGAAGCCGGGCTCTGCGGACAAGGCGCGTAACGATTTCCTGACAGAGGCATCGATAATGGGCCAGTTCGAGCATCCCAACGTGATATTCTTGCAAGGCGTGGTGACGAAGAGTAATCCGGTGATGATCATCACGGAGTTTATGGAGAACGGCAGCCTGGACACTTTCTTGCGCGCGAACGACGGCAAGTTCCAAGTGCTTCAATTGGTGGGTATGCTGCGCGGTATCGCCAGTGGTATGCAGTATCTCGCGGAGATGAACTACGTGCATCGCGATCTCGCCGCGAGAAACGTGTTAGTCAACGCTGCTCTGGTTTGCAAAATCGCCGATTTCGGACTCAGTAGAGAGATCGAGAGCGCCACAGAAGGAGCTTACACAACCAGGGTGAGCGATAGATTTGAATTGCGAAATAAAAGTTTTGCATCAACATATCCATAGCTATAATTTCTCCATTCATCCTAAATCTTTCTTATACTCAGGGCGGAAAAATTCCTGTACGGTGGACGGCACCGGAGGCGATAGCGTTCCGTAAATTCACCAGCGCCTCCGACGTTTGGAGCATGGGCATCGTATGCTGGGAGGTAATGTCGTACGGCGAGAGACCGTACTGGAACTGGTCGAATCAAGATGTGATAAAGTCGATCGAGAAGGGCTACAGGCTTCCAGCGCCGATGGATTGTCCGGAGGCTATCTACCAGCTGATGCTCGATTGCTGGCAGAAGGAGCGCACTCATCGGCCGACCTTCGCTAATCTCACGCAGACTTTGGACAAGCTCATACGAAGCCCGGACACGCTGAGAAAAATTGCTCAGAACAGGTAAGAAGCGCCTACTTGTCATTGTTTGATCCACGAGTAGCGATCGCCAAATGCTGATACGTGATAAGATTACGGAACAATACCCCTAGGATATATATTAATCGTTAAAGATAACGTTAGGGAATCCATATCGCGAATCAACTGTCTAGCGGACAATGCGATCATCATCATTAGTAACGTAAATCAAAACGTATACGACGAAATGCATAAAATATAATCGGCACATAACGAATGAAAATTTATTTAAGTGCTTCGAGCGCACGTTCGCAAATAATTTTTATTGGCATCATCACCATTCTTTCTTTCTCCTTTGTTTTTTTTACATCTTGTTGAGTCGTTCGTTCATTAATATCTTAATGAGAATCACGCCGCATGCTATGTGAGTTACATATACATCGTGTCCATAAATTAATTTCTCTCGACAGTTAATATTTATTTTCATTCATTCGCCGAAACGCTCACGCACAGATGTCGTGCTATATCCGTTTCACGCTACTTACAATGGGCTTTGACATTATGGCTCATTGATGTATGATGTTTCGCACAAGCACACAGTCTTATACGCATATATTATGTGCCCGTATATGTGTATGCGGTCAAAAAAAGAGAGGTGAATACTCATGCTCGTGTCGTCGTGATACCTCGACCTGATTGGCATTACTGGAAGCGAGCATATACATACTGGACTGTTATTATTCGCATTATTGCTTTTGTTCTCGTGCTTTTTTCTGTTTTTGTATTTATTTATTTTTTTTTTGTTAATTTCTCTTGGTGCAATAATCCCTCTAGATAATAATCAAAATTTATTTCTATTGCATCTACGCTACTCTGATATTTATTTAAGATTTAAGAGAGGACAAGGTGATCTTTATTCGAATCTCTCTTGCTTCTCACAATAGCACACACTTTTTGATGTCTCGTTGCTACCAAAAATTTTGATATTAATATGGAAGAGTCACATTTGCATACTTCAAAAAAGCACGCTGCTTGTCCGAGAAAATTCTTTTCTGCGTCTGCGGGAAAATTAATTTATGGACGAAAGTCTACGTCTTAGTTGCGTAGAATATTTGTACCGCGTTTTAGTGACATTTGAGATCGCGATGATTTTTAGCAAAGCTTTTACAATCGCTTTTGCCGCTTATCGTTTCTGAGATCACACTTCTTGAGTCTATAGTTCACATTTCATACAACTATTCCTTACAAGATGCAACTGTAATATGTAATAAGAATTAATTTTATATACTTTGCATTGCTCTTTTCTCTTTGACAGGACTCGATAAAAAATTAAATTTTGCTGCGGCTGAAAATAAATTTAAAAAAAATTCGCGAGACAAAAATTTCTGTTTATTATTGCAAATTTCGTAATAATATAGTTTATTATTTCGCGTTCGAGAATCGAAACTTAGCAAAACCGCAGCGAAAAAAAATCGGGTAAATCTCTTTCCTATAATATTCTTCGAGCACATCCCGTTGGCATGGACAAAATAATTTATATCGCGAAGTGACTCGTTTATTTCTATGCCAATGAGGTTGCAGTATTCGCATTTGGAAAATCTCGTTGGTTTTCTCTCCTCCTGTTCCTTTCCAACCCGCCTCTTTTTCCCTGGGCTAATTCTTTGTGCTTTTGGTTTTGTGGTGTCCTTTGGTACCTGACTACGCGAACTACTGCAACGCAACTGCGACAACTATCGTCCACGACCACGACAACCAACTACAGCGTGAGGCCGCCTGCACACAATCCGTACTATGTCACAAGCCATTCGGCTGCCGTCCAGGCTGCGGTGGCGGCTGCGATGCCACCAGGCCCAGCCGCGAGCACGGCGGGCCCGTTCGTAGACATAGTCGGCCATCAGGCCCATCAACAAGCCCAGTCAGCGATTGCCGTTCCAGTAATGCCACCAGGAGCCGGCCGTAGCTTACACTATCACACATACGAAGCGACACATGTACTGCCACACCAACACTCACCGCTCACCTATCCCAATTGGGTCCCGTTCTCCCATTTTAATTGAGAGAGAGAGAGGACCCCGTTTGTAAAAGATTAGAACGAGCAAAGGCATCGTTTCTCCGCCCGTCTTTCTAAACCGTCGGAACTAATGCTTGACATTGGAACACCAGACGTTGAATCTCAAAAGACTGCATTCTATATCGCTATAATTTTACATTTTACTTCTCACGATCGCGCTAGTCGTAGGGAAATTGTAGGCGCTCTTCCAGCGAAATAGTAGAAGCGTAATCCAAGTTGTCAGACGGAATAGTAGGTGTAACAAATATATAGATACGTGCAGCGTCGATAGGAATATTATCCGAGTGCTATAGACTGTATGTACAAGAGTAGTACCGTCGTAAAGAAATCTCTTATATACAGTGTTTTTATCGGAAATTATCGACAAACGCAAAAATAGAGATAGCGTAAATATGTACATTAGAAAATATAGCGAATTTCTATGTTACATAACGGAGCAATAAATTTTACTGTATTAACAAAGTTAGAGTATATATTATCAATTTATATATATACATATACATACATATATATATTTTATATATATATATATATATATATATATATATATGTATGTATATGAATTGAAGCAAGATATATAAATTGAACGTTTAAGAATTTCCAAATTTTATAGAAGATAAATTCAGCCATCGAATAGCAATACATATACGCGATTATTCAAAGCTTAGAGAATAAAAAAGCGGTTTAATGTGGTGTGCATGAAAGCAATTAGTCTTTCAGATATTAGATTATGATTTTTATGAATATACGTAAAAAGAAAAAGCCGAAGAAAGTATATATGTATACACGTATACACATTTTTTGAGGGTGTCCCGGAACTGATATTCTTCTCTTTCAATTACGAATTTTGCGATCAATTTAGATTCTATAAAACGCGAAACTTTTGATACGAAAAAAAAATTCACAAATTGCTCAAAAAAACTAATAATAAAAAAACAGTCATAATTTCTCTGACGCCCTGTATATCATTTACATAAAATCGATTATAAGTACTTATCATATAATATTTATTAAAGCCATCAATTTTATCTTAGCAAGAGCCGTAAAGACTTATCAGCATATGTACAATACGCGCGCGTGCAACCGGTTGACCATATTAGAATAGTATTTTTATACGTAATGTGTGTTATATAAAAATAAAAAGACGCGATATAATTAATCGTGCACGGTGTCGGTTTATATTTCCGCATCGATAAATCGACCATATACATATATATTCGTAATATTACATTTTAAAATATTTCTGCAAAGTATCACGACACGCCATTCTAAAACAAACGACCGATTTACATATATTAGCTTATCGATTGCAAGAGATTCGGATTTTAAATCATTTCTTCTCTTTATACTTTCTGCAAATTGTATGCTATAAATTGAAAGTTTCTAGCAACTTTGTGAAGATTTATTAAAAAGCCGGAGGTGAGCATTTATCCGATAACAAAGATGATTCGTTTAAAATCCTTTATGTTTTATAATCAAAATTCTTTTTATTTATTTATTTTTCTTTATTTTTAGCTTCGAGTATAAACTGTTCCTTTAAAGCTACTCAAAACTTAAATTACTCAAAGCTGCTTATGAAAGGTAACATGAAGGGATATTCGCATCCACACACATACACACACATGTGCGAACGTTTAGGGAGGAAATCAAACTCGAGAGTCAAAGCCAGATAGGTGAAACTATAGCCTGCAGATAGTAACACACATTCGGTATGATCTCCATCGCACTAACAAATGCTAACAATTGTCAGAATCAGGGAAAGGGGTGCACCAACCCCACCCCCATCCGCCTCATCGGCATCTTCCAACGTGCGTTTGAGAAACAGGTAAAGAAAAAAAAGAAAAAAAGAATAAAAAAACGCGGTATTTTCTCCCACCCCAATATAAACCCCTCTTTGCGGATACGAGATAGAGAGGAGAAAGAAGCGCAGAAGAACAAAGCGCAATCATTTCTGTTTTTTTCGTTCAGTGTCCTAAATAACACAAGGCTCCCTCGCTCTTTAACGTTTCGACGATTCGATTACATTGACTGTGCTTTCACGTTCTGCTCTGCTTCTTTGACGCGATAATGAAATATTGCCGCCACGTAGACAGCAGACTTCCCTACGCTTAGTAACCACCTTAGTTTGCGTTGCACTGCTTGCTTTCATACGCACCGTAATCCATTCACGTTTGTATATACACCTCAACTGTAAACTATGTACCACTAACGCGTTACATATGACATATGACACATTCACGTTCATCAACAGTACTACTGACGATATTAGTAATTAGCGTTATTAGCCCTTATTATTGTCATCGCGTCGTCATTGTATGATTATTATTATTTATGTGTTAATTTTAATTTTACCGAAGTACTTGTGTATTATTATTATTTGTATTATATTGAGAAACAAATTTTGTTACTCTATTAATATTATTTTTATTATTACGATACTTATTATTATTTAATTTTTATTATTATAATTTCTAGTATTATTATAATTTCTAGTATCGAGATAAAAAGAAATTGTATCCGTATTAATATATTCTAGCGTGTACGTAATATCTCGTATACATATAAGAGAAGAGACACGAAATCCTACGAATTATAAGCAATAACATTAGTAATATTTATTTTTCGTATAATTTATAATTTACACGAGATTGATATACATAAGAAACGGCTTATCAGCTGTCTATGACAAGTATATATATATATATATATATATATATATTTAAATCATTTTTTATTTAAGTTAAAACCCTCGTTTTATGTTCTTCCATTCTATGTTCTCACAAAAACTTGTGAAATAAACTTTACATCAACTAAATAATAATCTTAGAATTTCTCACAGATATTCTAAAACCTGTAGACTCATTGCTCAGTGTTTTAATTAATTTATCTTTTCATCCCAATAATCAATATGACATGAATAACCTCGTATATAAAATATCTCTTCTAATTTGTATATATCAAACATTTGTACATATCTTTTCCCAAGTATGTATAAAACTAGGATGCAACACGGTCTCGTTTACAATCGATAAAAGTTACATATCGACAATATGATTTATATAGAAGTAAAATACAACTATTTCAACTTTGATCTGCTTAAGAATATATTGTCGTAAAAGAACGAGATCGCGTTCATGGACCCTATATTTCGATATCCCTTGAAATAGCGAAGATACACCAACGTTGATAAAATGTAGAGTGATTTACAGACAGCAAACAATAATGATCTTCGTTATTTCATTATTCTTAGCTTCTACCATTAACTTGCAATGTATTAGTCAATAGTAAAAATTAACAAAAGATATACATATAAATTGCGAATGTGAATGTATTTTTATAGCAAGAGGATACGATCCAAAGAAGCTTGAAATCTCGCGAACCCTCTCACAATCTCCCCATATTCTCTATATTATTCATACGTAAAAAGAGACATTTTTTTAACTTGTCGTTGTCGACAGGGGCACCAATCCGCTGGCGCCGGACGCGGTGGATCTAACGCAATTGACTTCTGTCAGCGAGTGGCTGGCTTCCATCAAGATGTCGCGGTACGCGGAGAGCTTCGAGCAGGCAGGTGTGACGACGCTGGAGGCTGCGGCGCGTGTCACCGTCCAGGAGCTCACGGCTCTCGGTATAACGCTCGTGGGACACCAGAAGAAGATTATGAACAGCGTGACGGCGTTACGGGCGCAGATGTCGGCCACCTCGCAGGGTTTCCTCGTCTAATAGGCCGCGATATATTAGGGTTACTGAAATCCTTGCGAAGGGATCGTACGTAGGAATCGACTGAACGCTATAGAGTTTCATTATCCCATATGGATCTCACGAATTTCCATTCTTCTCCGAGGTATCCCGTGAGACGAACCCACGGGAGACGACGAACCGTGTATCATCTAGGACTCGTGATTACCTAGTCAAAGCGAGAATGTCCTCGAGAGAATATCTCTTCACGCGCAAGTAGATCCCGATAAGGTAGTTGACCGAGGTGAATCCTCCTCGAGTAACCACCCTTCAACACGCAAACGCCATCTTACCGAGAGATTCCAAGTACTCGTACTGCAGACATTCCACGTTAATGAAAAGATTCATTCATCGCGTTTAGAACTTCCCTCGACAAACCAGAAGGGAAAACGAGAAAGTACGAGGACCACGTAACATTCGTTATCTCGCATTTAAACCACATACAACGACTTATCGAACTCGTAGGTACACCTACCGCGAAACTTTCGCGTAAGTAATATCTATAAGTATCAAAGGAATCGTTTATGATAACGAATAATGTCATTCTCACGTAGCTCGTCCAGATCGATCAGGACGTCGTAAAAAATCGCTCTAAAAAGCATTTGGCGGGATCAATATAACGCACTACTCTGAAAGACTTTCTTATACAAATAACGAGCGCCGATTTTGTCTCTCGTTTTTTAGATCGTTTTGTAATCGATGTACCTAAAGATCAGACTGATAACGGAGATGCAAGAGCCATCTCTGTAATCACTGCCGCAAAACTCATGTTAAATCTTTCATCACTTATGTGAACACTTTTTTCTTTTACTTTAATACCCGTGTAAACCATTGAATTGTATATGTTGTATATATTTTTCTTCAGAAGATTCATTGAGATTTGCAATAGAATTTCTTATTCGTCGCGTTTGCATTTTGTGACATTCTGTACCGAATGACAGCTCTTTTTAGTACGTATTATATACATATATCTATATCTGCGATATAAAGCATTGAACGGCGAGCTACATGTCGGCCTAAAAGTCGTTTAAACACGTCTGCTCCTGGGCCTCGCTTTTTCTAAGTATACTATAAAGTTACGTCTCTCTTTACGTAACAACCCGATATAGTAACGTGCGCCTGATAAAGAGAAATAACGCAACGATTTAGAAAAGTAGAGAACCGTATCAGAAACTGTACCAAAAACGGACCGTAAATAGAATTTCCGAGATTCATTATTTCGTGTAGCGAATGTAGCGAATACACTATCGTACGTCGCCTCGACAATGCACACAATTGAGAGAACAAGGTCAAATCACGAATGAGTGTTTTTTTTTCTTCATGAGACATCTCTTTATTAACTATAATTTTACGAGAGACGATAAAACTTTATGCGGTTTTTGCCTTCGCGTCATCTATATAAGAATGTCGTATGTCACGCGGCCTATACGGGGATATATCTTTTGATTATAAGAAACACGACAAAACAAACAAGGCGGACATGTGCCAACGCGAGTGTGCAAGAGTTATTTTAGCGCGAGACACGACGTAAACGAGAGAGAATGCGTGAACGAGTTGCGTGAAATTGTGTGCGTGAAATTGAGAGAATCTGCAGCCCGCCCTTCGCGCTATATTCGTATATACACGAGCGTGCGATCACGAGAAATTATTCTATATACGTATAAAGATATCTATTGTATTATAAATACGCGACATGTCGACCAGAAAGAACGAACAAAGAAAGATTTCTTTCTATCGATAAGAGAAATCACCTAATCGCGAGAAATGTCTGTTCTCGAAGACAAAGAACACGACATGAATAAGAAAGTGAAAAAAAGTCTCAAACGCGTCCCACTATAGCGAGCAATGCGTCAACATATCAACATTATTCGGAATGCAAAGCTTGCAGAGCAGAAAGGGACTTGCGTGCACCAACTTATCGTTACTCCGAGATCTCGAGTCTGCGCAACTCCGTTTCTCATCATCCTTCCTTAGCGAATAACGAAAGAGAAAAACAAAACTAAAAAAAGAATGTAAACGGTATGAGATGTGCGGACAAAATACATATATGTATATGTGAGTGACAGTGCGCGCAATGAAAGAGAGTCGAGACTCGCCGACGATGATCTTTTCATCGAATAATTCATTTTTTAATTTTTTCATAGTCCGACCGAGGAGTTTCCTCGTATAAAGCAACGTCCATTCCAATATATACATGTATCCGCATAATAGGAAATTTTTTACTTTTTCTTGAAAAACAAAAGAAAGAGAATCAGAGGCTTGCTTTGTCATATCTCGTTAAATCTGTATTCGTTAATCGTAAAGACTGCTTCTCGGGCCGCGATACGTATCCGGGATACATACGTTATATCGGCTATTTATCTTAAAGAGACCACAACCGGGCGGCAGAGAGAAAAGAAATGTATATAATCTACATCCAATTAGCCGAGTCTGTTCGAACAGATTTTGCTAAGTGTCCGTTATGCAATTTTGTCAGCAGAAAGACAACAAATTTAATACAGAGTTTGTTAATTTCAATTATGTCGATGGACTGTCGGTAGAACTGTAACAGAGCAATTGATATTATGTGACAGCAGATTGACGGTAGAAACCGGACAGGATTTGGCAGAAAAATGACCAAAAATTCCGCTCGGTTTCTACTGTCAATCTATCAGGTTCTATGAACAAGTTTTGTCGGCAGATCGTAAAAGTCTAATGCGGACACAATTAATTTGTAACTTCTGAATAAATTTGTTGTCAATCTGCTGACATATTTGCGCGCATTTTGCTAACTGGACACATACTGGACAAATATCGCGCATGAGATTAAAAAACGGCTTCCAAATGATTCCGGCAAGCCACGGAGAAATTCTTTTTAATTTTTTAATTTAACATGTTTAGTAATATATATAGTCGACGATATGAATAAAAAGCGGAAGGCGCGCTTCAACAAGCGAGATTTCGCGCTCGATCAAAGATACAAAGCGGACAACGACAAAGCGAACAACGTAGCGTTTTCGCAGCCAGCCCCAATTCTCTATCCATATTGTCAGTTTTAATCATAAAGAGACGAAAGTCGCATTTGCGAAGCGCGCCGAACGGTCCGATTAAAATCGTCCGATTTCGCTTCTGTCTCGAAGCGCGATTCAACGATGTTTCGAGCGTTCCCTCGTAAATGAAATGTAAATGACCCCGAGGTGTCATAGGAGCGGTAAAATGCCGAGATACGTCCTGGTGTCTTTCGGTTCGCCGTACCATTTTTCACGTTCGTTTCGTGAAAGCGAAGAAGGCGAAAAATCGCACGGCGAGAGTAAATTTTCTCTTAGGAAAAACGAAAAGGCAGGCGAGAGAAAAAGAGTAAGCTACTGAAAAGGGCGACGATTAAGAAGCAATAAGTGAATACACGCAAATGCAGATTTTTATATAGAGAATGTTAACAAATTTCAGATGATATTAATTATAGCGCTATCTTCCTAAATGTTCGTATTAAAGGTTAAACGAAAAAAAAGTACGATAAACCATAAGATGAGATCGCGCGGAGTCCCGGCCGAAGAAGAGATACAAAAAGGCAGAGAAAAAATGTCGTACGCGAGTCGAATTCGCGTCGCGATGATCGATTGTAATAATATTCGGTCGAGACTCCACGGGCGAGAGAAGGAGATTCTTAAGAATTTTCAAGCTGTAACTATCTGTGTTTTAGCGACGAATCTGCGAGTGCGACCTGAAGTTTTGAGGATGTTGTTAATTTCGACAAATCGATATTTAGATTTCATAGAGCTCTATCAATATCACACACATACACACACACGGCCACGTGTAGGCGCAAGAGAAAAAAATACGCAAAACTGAGGATGTATCAATCGATAGCGAAAGTATCTCGTGTACACTCGGTCATTAATGTCTTCTCGCCTAAAGATAGCCATTTCCGAAATGTGTTTAGCTATTATTTGACCCGGAAGCGAGAACACAATGACACCGAGTGATACGGCTTTTTTTAATTTTGTTTTTTTAATTTCCCACCGAAAATCTTAGGTCTCTTCCACCTTTAGATTTTTTTTTATATAAAAATACACGTTACACTTTCAAAGCTTTCGATCGTACTTCAAATGTCACGTATATTTTGGTATATATTATGGTTATCTCGTATACACGTAAAGCTTTATTAAAAAAGAGTGTGTGAAACGAGATCGAATAGAAAAGAGCGGCAGGAAAAAGCCTGGGAAATCAAAATTGCTTCAATATGCACCCTTGTTGGTGAATTTTTGTCCGCTCTTTTATTCGTCATTTTTTTTATCTTTTGATAGAAAAAGGAAGCGAAAACGAGATAGTAATTAAAAAGAAAAATCGCCTCGCGCTTTGCTTAATTCTTTAATCGATTTTAATTCAACCGTATTATTATTTATTAAAAAAAACTTATTTATTGTTTAGAGATCTGACTAAATTGCAAAATGTTTTATAATTATATCGTAAATTATCTATTATTATTTAGCGACGAGAGATGACGGGGCAGAGTGACAAGTTCTTTCCCAACTTTGGGAATTCTCGAGAAAACTCTGTCGTGTAAAAAAGATGAAACGGAGCTACATCTACAGTGATAAATATACGATCGTCGTATCGAATCTGTGTATATGCAGCTATTATATTATATTATATTTTAGTTAAGCGTTAATTAAATGATTTACGCGAGCGCGTTGTTTTTTTATCCTTATTTTCTACAAGTCTGTTTACAGCGAACTCTGTCAAAGTACCTGCTTCGAAAAAACGAAATGATAAAATCTGCGAAAAAAGCACATTAAAAACAGGTACCGTCCCATGTATTAAACATAACTCACGGAAACATACATACATACATACATAATACCATATCCACATACACGCATCGCACTATCATACATACACATACATACAATAATTTATAATACACTCGCCAAGCTGAGTTTTCATAAAAATTGGTTAAGCGAATCGCCTCCGTGTGTCTTCGATTCATTGTATAAAGTATAAAGGAAAATACGAGAAAAAAAAAGCAAGCAAAGAGTTACTGTCGACAAATTTTGGAACATGTCTAAAACATTTTTCCTATGGTGTTGTCAAGACGATGTTGAATGTACATAAGATATAATAAATAATATACCTTATACGATGTAAAAATTGGTTTTTGTTTGTTACAAATTTGTTTTTCCTACTTTCATTATAGCGAATTTATTATTCTTTATTATATCAAGATATATAATTATTAATTATTAATAGTTGAATAAAATATATATAATTTTAGAAAAAAATATACAAATTTCTCCGTTATTTTTGTTGCTTTAAATTAAATGTAACAAAATAATTAATAATGCTTTACATATACCTCAAATTGAAATCTACAAATTTAGCGTTTCAATCAGGTTCTCAATGATAATTTGACAAAAAATATGACAATATTAAAAGGGAGCTCTGGTCCCTTTCTGTAAAAGGGTCAGATTTTAATTTAATTTATATTTGTATTTCAAAATAATAGTATATCAAAAATACACAATATTGTGAAGTTTCGGCAAATTTCGGAGAAAATTTTCACAAAATTATTACCCCAATATTATATTAAAATTGATGAGACTCACCGATACGATGCACAGCAGTGGTGATATAAAACTGTAAAATATATAAATACATGGAGATTATATATAGTGAAATTTAAAATAATTAATATTTCAACAAATAAACTTATTATTTACATTAAGTTTAGTTAATAGTAAAAATAGTAATATATAATAAACAAATTATTTACCATGTAGTTGCTCCACTTCTGCAGATGCCCCGGGTCTCCTCGTAGAAGCTTGGAAACACTTTCACTCGTGTTACTTTTTTTCATTCGCGATGTGATTCGTGAATGATATTAAAATCATTGCGGCAATATATACAATGGCGCGAATTGTATTGTAGACGGCAAAAAGTACGACCGGAAACGCGCAATCGCCCGCTTAAAATACGATCGACAACGTCGAAAACCTCCGGAAATTTTTGCCCGCCAATTCTCGCGATCAGCGCCCTCGTAAATTTGCGCGCGCAAACTTTTGACGGCTCGAGTCAGAACTGTGACGCGTCACGTGACACCCATACTTCGAGAGAAGAAATACGTTGAGCGAAATTCGCATTCGACGAGATTAATTTCGTACGTGCGAACGCAAGCACGATGTCGGATACACGCGTTCGGATTTATAGTAATTAACAGTAATTAACGACAACCAGATACTAATTAATATTCACACTCATTTATACTTTCGAGAACCGGCACGGATGAACGTGCGTCGCGAACGAAAAGAATAATTAACGCGAGTGCAAGTGCAGTGTTTCAAAGCTTCTACGAGGACAGTTCCCGGCACAGAGGTTGGTTTCCTGCAGGAGCATAAGAATAATTAAGGCTGACGAGGTAATCCAGAATATACTGCCATAACAGCACACATAGAAGACGTTCAGAGAACATCCTGAGGATGTTTGAATGTGTCCTCTGGATATCCTTCTGAATATCTGTCGGATATATGTTGTCCCAGATAGCACAAGCTCATCGAAAAGAATTCATTTATATGTCACCACAATTTCGAGTCCCTTTTCAAATACATATGGAATTCATTTTGTAAAATAAATTCTATACATGCATTTAAAAAGGGACTCGAAATTATGGTGACATCCAAATGAAGTCTTTTTGAATAGCTGTGCTATCTGGGGTGCTATTAGAGCGAGATCGGAGAACAGTCGAAATTGTGAGTCGAATTATTTATTTGATTATTTATTGATATAATAAACCAATAGAAAAATATATCCTATATAACTATATGCAATTTGAAGAGAAAAAGAGATAGTTTAGCGGAGATTTGAACCCCGCTTAGTGGAGATTCGAACCTCATTTACCGTCTTTACAAACTAATTGCATTTGACGTGGATAGATGGCAGCATCAGTAATCAAAATCGTCGAATTTCACTACGCGTGCGTGAAGCATTCTCTTCGGTGACGTCGTGCAACGTCGTTTCCTTTTCCGCTTGGCTCTGAAAAAGGTTCGTGATACTTTTCTGTGATTTTCCGATATCCACGCTGTGCGTGTCAATCGTAAAATACATTAATATTATATGATCTCGATGCGAATCTGCGACAAATGAATAGACTTTGCGATAGGTTATAAGATTGATTTTTCTCGCTAACGAATAACTTTTCGCAGAAGCAAGATGGTACAGCGACTAACCTATCGACGACGCTTGTCGTACAACACAAAAAGCAACAGGAGGCGTGTGTAAGTACGCTATTACAAATATCATCTGTCAACGAGATTCTCTTTCGCGTTAGTTTTCATTTGCAATGAAATTTGACTTCGGTAATTTGTGTTAATCGCGAAAGAGAATCTCGTTCATTCTTCAGAGAGTTTCGAGGTTTGTGTTTTGGTCGCTTGATTCAAGCCGCATAAATTTCAAGTGCAATTGACAGTGAAAATAATCATTAAACATAAATAAGGTTATTTTTATCAATACTGTGTGTATTTTAATTGTTATGAACAATTAGAGTCTGTACTATTAAAAGTATCCAGAACTGTCACATTAAATTTCTTTTCCAAAAGTATACTTGATTATATTTTGAGATTAATTGATTCATGCAATGTTTAATAGTGTACGTACGCCAGGAGGCAAGCTAGTCTATCAATATCTTAAGAAACCTAAGAAGATTCCGAGATGTGGACAATGCAAAGATAAGCTTAGAGGTATTCAACCCGCAAGGCCAATGGAACGCTCACGTATGTGCAGACGTAAGAAGACTGTAAAACGTGTATACGGAGGTGTTCTTTGTCACAAATGTGTAAAAGAAAGGTATGCATGCTACTATTATATATTCATACTTAATAATGTAATATATAATATTTAATAATCATACATTCACATTTAAAATAGTAAAGCTTTAAATACGTGCCTGAAATTACCAATTTTGTTTGTAAAAAAGAATTTGTTATTTATTAATTACAAAACAAATTGATATTTTTAATCTTATATTAAATTTTATACTTTAAAACTAACACTGAGATTTTATTTTCAGGATTGTACGTGCGTTCTTGATTGAGGAACAGAAGATTGTCTATAAGGTTATGAAAGCACAACAGGCTTCAGCGAAGACAAAAAAAGTGGAGAAGTAATTCCGTGCTTTTTATTAATTAAATAAAATAAATCCAAAAAAATTTAACTATATTGCTCATATTATTGTGTTGTATATCCTATTTGTTATACAATTGTATGGTGTACAAACACCATACAATTGTATGATATTAAATTAATAGTATTAATTATATACAGTACCAATAAATACGATGGTGTACAAATATATAACTATATGGTACTAAATTAATAGTATTAATTGTATAATATTAATAAATATGGTATTGTATAATTTGTACAAATGCCATATTTATGAACTATTCCATATTCACATAGCAAAATCTTTTTTATAATTATTAAAAATTATGTTAAAAGTTTTGTAGATGCTAATATGAAATCATTTTTTACATTAGTGAAATATAACAGAAAGATAATTCTCTATATAATATATTCACATAATGCTCACGTTTCATTGAATTTGAAGTATTCAACTACTATTTGAAAATTGTATTGTCATATTTACTAAATGTCTTATCTTTTGTATGTGTGAAATTACCTCATAATTCAAATTCAATTATTTTACATTTATTTTTTAAATATTAACTTTTTTATTTTAATTTAATGTAAAATGTTTTTACAGTTCTAATTTAATTATGCATCATTATTATAAAGTACATTGCTAAGCTCGATAAAGTTTATATATACATATTGCATATATATATAACGTGCATTATTAATATATCTGCAAATATGAATAATTATGGATGTGAATGTAAAATAGAAGTATATCTCATATATATGTGCGTACGTGGCTGCATTCCACAGGCGCACGTGTCAAGTAACCATTCTATTCCTCATCGTAAAATTATTGATTAGTTATAAGAAAAAGGTCATATTTCGCAACTTTGTGTAATCTGAATGTGAAATCAATGTTTTATTTAAAATACCAAAGTGCAAACAGTTTTATAATATATATATATATATATATATATATATATATATATATATACACATATATATATAACAGTTGAAAAACTGTCACTTAGCTGTTTTATAAATTTTTAACTATTAAAAATTTTGACAATAAAATATTGAATTGAAATAATGAGGAAATATATAACAATATATTTTTTATTAAACATTTAATTATATATTCATATACAATTTCCTCGAAACAGTAAAAAAATTCATTATTTGCTATACTTAAAAAATCTTTAATATCTATAGGTATTAAATATTTTGATAGTAAAATATTGAAATGAAATAATGATAATATATAAATGATATAATTTATTAGTAAATAATATGAATAAAAATTTTATATTATTTTTACTAATAAAATATATTACATATTTTCTCTTATTATCTCAATTTAATATTTTATTGTCAAAATATTTAAAGCATCTAAAAATAAGTATTTACAGTTTTTCGACTGCCCTTGTAGAAATTTATCACTAGTAACACCAATTAATCACTTATTTCGAGTACTTAAAATACTAATATACAGTAATTTAAGTGCTCGAAATAAGTGATAAATTGGCGTTACTAGTGATAAATTTCTATAAGGGTGCCTCGACAAATATGAGAATGAGGGATCGACATTAAAATTTTATTCATGATTTCAGAAATATTTGATACACGAAGGATTCGAGCATTCTCGTCGAGTGTGACGATATATTTGCAAGAACGTCAATGGCTTCAAGGCAGAATATACTCTTAAAGAGTGCGGAGACAGGTATTGTGCTGCCAAAAGAGGGCTGCGTGTAAAACCCGTCCCGTAAGGACGTCCATTGCGAGTTGGTAGCCTCGGAACGTCTAACAAGTGCCTTATTTGTGAGTACACCTCGATTTCTACTACGTATGTATGTACATATATGTACATACCGCGCTATAGTTTTCACGGTGGCGCAGAAACGCAAGAGAGCGGTGAGAGCTATAAAGAGGCTTGTCACCTGAGAATGCGGACAGCCCAGCGAGACTTGGCATTAAATACCTGCGTTCCTCGTGCTACGCCATGCCTATCGTTTAAAAGCGACCACCTGAAAAATGTTATGGCTAAGATACCCATCAGGTTTTGACATTAACCCGTTCGCAGTCTCATGGTAAAAGAAAAACAAACTTTGCTGTAAATTAAAAGAGCAAACTTATGAATATTAGTTGTATTTTCAAATATTTATCTCACGCTTCTGTCATATTTTAATGATAAATTTTTTACATGCAAATTATATCTCATAATTATCGCATTATATACAGTTAATTTTAACCAGATTTAACACAATTTTGATATTTTAATATAGAGATATGTATATATATATATATATATATATATATATATATAGAAGAATATGTATATTATGAAAATGACTGTAAATGATGATCTCTGATGTTTTTGATTGAAAAATATCTATTCCAAATTGATTTCAAAGAATTTATCATAAATATGTATAATGCAGTAGAAGTGAAACATTGTACTTTGTATGTTCAAATAGATCAAAACATAGGAATAGAATAGAGGAAATATATCAATTTAATTAACTTTAACAAACATTTATGGAAACAATCCGCAGAAATAAAAACGCTTCGAACATTAAGTTAAAAAGAGCCGAAATTGTGCGGTTTTGATAATCATCGAGCGACTTCTGCGATCTCATCCCGATCGACTGTGGAACGCGATTACCTCGATGTTTCCTTTTTCAGTTAAAAATTGCCGCGACGAGAGAAGGAGGCGAAAAAAAGAATACGGAGAACATGACGAGGATCACATAAAAACGACAAAAGCAACGAAAAGTCGGACGGCATGAAGCTAATCCAATTTCATGGGATCTCATTGTGTTCGCACCGACCATGCTTTTCCGCAAAACCTTTCTTACACGCAGCATCCACCCTTATTCCCGGGTTTCTCGAGCCTATATCGAAAATAATAGCTGCGGTTAGCCGTCCGTGGTCGGCGCAGCATTTCGTCTCGGTTCAATTGCTTTGGAATCGTTGCAACCACCGCAGCTGCGAGCAATACATGAGATTGGAATACCTATCTACTCGCGCGCATTGCAATTTTCGATTCCTTTGATCGCTCTGAAACAACATATCGCGCCTATCAAGTTGAATTATTTCTTCACGAAGTCGAAAAATGCGTTTATAAAAGAAAGAGGAAATTACGTTTTTCGGTGTAAATTTTAAATAACGTAATTATTTTATAAATTAATATTAACTTAGAAATAAATAACGATTTAAAATAATGAGAAATTTAAAAGAAAAATTTATACGTATTTGTTTAATTTTAAAAAGAATAGAAAATTGTTCAATTAGAAGAGATTTTATAATTAATCGATAGTAATGACAGACGTGACTTGATTGAAATTGCACATACGACCGATAACAATGTGCGTCACAGGGGGGAGGCAACCGTTAAATTTTGCGCCTCCATATGGAGTTATACATCAGAGGGATATATTTATCGGTCACAAACAACAATTGTCCGGTGTCACATTTAATTGACGGTTATAAAATGTAGCGAGCGTGCAATCGAGAATAATTTGGCGTGAGTCTCGCGCGAGAGCCGGCTTTCAGAGGGAGGAGATGCGTCGCCACGTGATTCCTATAATTTTCTGGATTCGTGTTTAGCGAAACGACAAGTGAGTAGGTGTCGTAATACGCGTCCCCATCATTTCGCGACATTATTATTAGATCGACTGTGCTTTGCATCGCATTACGCGTCGAGTTATCATTATTATTTGCAGGAAAATTTTCTCTCTCTCTTTCTCTCTCTGCCACTCGAAACTTAATACATGCGAAATTTGTGGACAAATTTTTTATAATCACCAATTTCTCTCTCGATGAATATTTTGATACACATAATATACAGCAGACATTAATATTAATACACCTCTCTAGAAGGGAGAGAGATTTTGCATAGTATATTATATAAAATATTTTTTGTAATATATAGGTATAATGTTTTAAATATAAAATAGTCACATATTAGATATATGTGACTATAGATGATATTAATTATATAATGTTATGATTATACATATATACTATATTACGCAATTACGTAGAGCACAGTGCGGTTGGAAACAATTTATGCTATAAGATAGTTTCAGAAGACTGCATATGATTCCTATAATTTTCAGGGCTCTTGTTTGACAAAATAACAAGTAGGTGGGTGTCGGTTTTCACACCCATAGCTCGGCGGGACCTCTTCGGAGAACGTAAAAAAAGCCGACATACGAAACCGGTCCCGATGAATCTTTGTTATACTGGAGCCCCCACATATTGCCTGCCACCTTCATACGTGCGCCTATAAGGACGAAACGGCTGAAGAACTTCAGGACTGTACTCTGTAAGAAAGACACCTACGCTTTTTCTATTTCCGGTTGCCGTCAAATTACCTCGATAATATCTTGAGTCAATTAATATCATTATTCTCATAGCTTCTCATATATATATTTTCTGATAGCTCTTATATTATTATCATTGTTTCTCTCTTTAATAAGAAAATGAGGGTCGAAAATGAAAGAGAGATACAGAGTCATTTAAAATTATCTTAAGAGAACGTGATATCTTGTGTTTTGAAATTTTATCTTATTGTTAAGTTTATTGAAAATATTTCATTTCGAGAACGAAAGAGTATTAACTGAAAATTTCTCATTCAAACGTTCCATTCAGTCAGCGAATTAAATATAGGCATTACGTCGAATTAGCGTACTGAACGGCGCACCAAATCTGCCGAGTCTTCGTTCATTAGCTTAAGCGTCCGATTACATCATGCCTGATTAAAATCGAATGTAAATCGTAGCTCTTACGAGCCGGTAATGTCTCATCATAACTAGTCATGCTCGAGCCTTTTGCAACAATTTGAAAGTTTCATTGAAAAGAATCGAAAATCCAACTTTTAAATTATCCCAAACAAATATCTCTCTCTGTCTTATATTATCTTTTGTTATAATTATGATAATTAAAATGTACTGGAAATAAATTTTCAGTCATAATATTCAGTCATAAAATTAAGGAACTGATTTAAAGATTTCAAAATTATTACAAGTGTATATATCTTTTTCTCTGTTTATATAATATGATTAAAACTCGAAGACGATTAATCGATACAAGAGAGCGATTTATCTTTGTTTGACCACTGTGTCTTTTCTTTGGATGCGGTTCGGTATGTTCTTTTAAGTCGGAACCAGTGGCTTCAATTCACACCAGGACTCTTAGCGATAAAAAGACCGCTTTTAAAGATATCTGTATCCCGTTTCTGCGTAGGCACGACACCTACGAAGTAAACTTTGTTATCATAGCAGGTAGTCTCTTACAACGCGTTATAGAGCGAATTTATTTGAGTGGAAAGAGATTGCCACTATTTCTCTTTCTTTTAATTTTTTGATATTTTTTTCGTGATAAACCACCGCAGACGCGCAGCATCCTTCGCCAATCATTCGAAGCGGTAGTCGACAGGACGATTAATTATCTCGGCGCCAAACGGCAATGAGGCAGGTAACGACGGTCGATTAAGAATCCCAGGATCGAGAGAGATAGACAGAGAGAAGAGAAAAGAAACTTCTGCGAATTCCTTGAAGAAACTTAACAAGAAATATACCTGGTCAGCCGGTTATCTTGATTTTTTCGTTACATTACGCGATCAAATACTAAGATTACCCGACAACTAATAATAGTAAAACGCGAAGCGCAACATCTAACGTTTACTTCGATCGATTGCTTTAAGATTTGTATTTCGATTTTGATGTCCGGTAGCGATACATATCCGCTAGTCTGGGAACTCGAACAGCTTCGAGGATCCCTCGCTAAGTAGACACAATTATAATCGATTATCCAATGTAACCTTCCATTGACTAATCTTGACCGTTGGTTACAGACCGTCACTTGTGAGAAGGAGAGTACAATATACTCTCGGAAAAAAGAAGAACATATTAGTCCCTCGGTTAAATCATTGAGAATTTGGATAATCATCGACGTGAATCAACTCAGCATCCTGTATGACGCAATAGAGACCAATAAATTGTATAATATTTTATCAACTGAATGTTATCTTTGTTGAATAAGTAAGTCTAACAATTTATTTCTAGTAATAAATAATTTTATTTTTAATTTTTGATTATATAAATATATATTTTACAAACATATTTTTAAAACGCTATTTTACACGAATTACAAACGTTTTCAGTATAATAAATATACAAATTATAATTACTTTAGATTTTTATAAAAAGTTTCAGGGGCGCATCCTGTGTTGCGTACAGGACTGAAATGTGCATCACGTACGAAGAAGGAAAAAGAGAGACAGAAATGGAAAGAAAGACCCAAGGGCCTGAATGGCTTACGGACGCTACGGCACGTTAGTTGCCAGACGAGGATTCGCTCTTTTATGGCTCCGACGGATCAGGCCATCGAATCCCTTGGTTCTCAACGAATGAAATATACTTCCACAGCCAGAGTGATTCTTGTAGCCGGCGCCGAATAGATTGGACCGGGGCCCGGCCTTCTTGCCCGCTCACTTTGTTCGATCATTGTCGTGCAACGCGCCGAGGCGTAAGGTTCGTTCGTAGAAGAATCCTATTTATCATCATAAACCCCTCGACGTCCCTCCCTCCTTTTAAATTTAAACCCATTCACTATAAAGGTCACATATAGTCGACAATGTATTTTAAAAATATACGAGACGACGAGATACATATATTTTTATACGACAAATATTTTTCTTTTACGAATTTACAAGACAATTTAATATTTAATATACAAACTTTGTTTGTGTTTCTCAAAGAAAACTAAATTTTTATTAGGATCGCGATGAATCTCATTTATCAACAATATATTTCGTTTATACTGACGTTAGAGAGGCTTGACAAAAAGAATCACACAAGACGTCTCGATTCTCGAGGTAGGGGCGAAATAACAATAACAAAAATTGATGGAGGCCGATCATGGTAATTGTGTTCCGCCGCGTCACGTCCGCGCACAACAACCCGCTGCGCTCTTCCTTCTGTCAGTTCTTTCGTCGTCTGCCAGAATAATATATTTCCAAGCGAGACGAATGGATCGTGATTTCGTGGTTGCAAGCTGAAGAGCGCGAACCGGACCCCTTTTGTTATCCATTATCGCGTTTCTTCGAAGCCGGACAATGCCGGTTTATAAGGCGAGATCTCCGTCGCCCTTGCCCGTATAAAACGAACGCGATGGAACGGAGGTATCTGATTCTAATCCCGAAATCCGGTTCGAAGCTCCGGATTGTCGGCGCGATGCTTCTCCTTTTTCGTTAACACGACGTTTAAAAAGTCTCGGATCCGACGCGACCGTCCCGAGGCGATCATGAATAAGAAACGAGAATTTCTTATCCGCTTACGGTTGTTTATAAAACAGGCAAAAAACATTGCAATCCAATTTTATTTATAGCTCCTTATAATACAATTTTTAGTGCCTCTCTCTCTATCTTCCAGAAATAGTGCAAGGATTGACGTATATGCAACCGTTAAATCAATGACAAATAATTTATGAAATCTTCGCGATAACCCATTATTAGTCACGCATTTGCTTGCGTCGTTCTCTTAAATTCGAAAAAAAACCGCGGAGGCAACTAATGGCTAAGAAATAGGTTTTGCGATAATTATCTCTCAACAATTAGCGAGCGTTCATTACTCAAGTATAATAATTAAAACGCGCCTCGCATATATGCATTTTATATCGACCGTTTCGAAAAATGTTTGATTCATAATTAATAATTCATACTTAAACTCAAAGTGATCCGGAGACAGGGGGAATTAATCTTTCCAACAACTGTGATCTTTCTGCGAAACCGACAGAGATGACGGCGGCGCGACCGAGGTATTAATTTTTCTTTCGGAATTTGCTTCGCTCCGAGCAACGATTATCTCGTATAATCTTCGCCGGCAGTCAACGAATCGAATCGATTTCCGGTCGATAGGCAAGGCCCTCGTTCAAGTAGGCTAATTGCAACTATATAGTCGCACGTAAGACGTTGCCATTGAAGTTAACATCGTCTTAACGCCTCACGCGCGCACGACCTTTATTGCGTCTTTTGCCAGCATCTGCAAATCATTATAAGTGCACTCTATAGACTAGAAATAATTTCTGCGTCATACCGAAGATCGACGATGAGGCGAATGCTGGAGTTAAAACCAAAGAGGCCCGTCGTTTATCCGAGAAAGAACATAGTCGAGCGAGCGTTAGCGGTTTCCACGCTGCATACACTCTATATAAGCTTAATAGCGATGTTAAGTGATTTACTGTCAATTGTCGAAGCTGCTTGTTATCCCGTTCACGAGTTCTCGCGCGACAACGCTAGCCGCAAACGATATTAGTGTTTACATTATAAGGTGTAAAAGCGAGGACCATTGCGGAATTTTAATTATCGAGATAGTTGAAATATGGACCAATTCCAATTAGAGAGATATATAATTCTCGCTGAGAAAGAAATTCGACTTTAAAAGGCGTCAAGAATTTAAAATCTTGATATGCATTTTACACAAAAAAAAATCTGAAAAAATATAAAACGATGATCGGCTTCGGAGAAAAATGCTGCTACAGCACGTGTGTCACTCGCTGCATCTCAAATGGGATCAGCGCGCGCGTGGACGTCTTTCCATAAAAGTGCCGAAGATCATCTCTAAAAATATAATGACTGACGCCTTTTAAGCGCGAGACGGACGCGCGTCGGTCGCGCTTCAATCTGGATCGCGCGACTTCACGCTCGAGCGCGATATACACGCAACAGGTTACGCTATACGGATAACGCCTGTATATGTGTACCCTTACATACGTATATCGTTGCGCGAGACGACGACCTAATCTCGATGCGAACCGACTCGATCGCGCTCCGATCTTCGCCGTCAGCTCCGGCAGCTGCGTCTTGCAGCACGAAAGAATTGCCACGAGCTTTGTTCTCCCGCGGGAACAGTGCGCCTTTTGTCGTGCCTTTTACGATACCCAACACTCCCATAAAACGTTTCTTTTTTACTTATACACGCTACCTGCATAGTTTAGTAGAAAAGATCTACCGTAAAATATTTTTTAAACTCGGTTGTTATGTAACTATAGTATATAATAGGTAATATATTCTAATAAAATAATATATTCTATATATTATATATAATAATATATAATAATATATAATGTATAGAATAAAATATATTTATATAAAAATATAGATTATAATAAAAAGCATATAAAAATATAACAAATAATTTTATCATGTATGCACATATGATTTTTTGTACTAATAGAATATTTTTTGCAGATCACTAAAAATTAACAAGATTCACGCGACGCGGGACATTTCATTAAAGTGGTGCTACAATTAGGCGTCAGATCGTTTGGAAAGCGGTAGCAAGCAGTCTCGCCCTCCTGAAGCGTGACATATTGCTGCAGTGCAACAATCTTCTGGGCCGAGCGTGCCGCGCCGTCAGCAATTAACTGGTAATCTGATATCGATATCACTATACTCGCACATCGAGCAGAGCCGAGCCGTAGTCGAGGACGAGACGCTTGATACACCCGAAGGACGACGTAGTAAGTCAGGTCGCTACTAAAAGAAGCGCAGTGTGGTGCACAACCCCCCGGGGCGCTTAATCATCCTTCCGATCCTCACTGAAATACGGTTCTGTTTCTCTCAATTGTACTCATCTTTTTTTATTGCATTTTTCCAGTTTAAATAGAATATATTATAGACTTGAAAGAGATGAAGAGAGAAAAAGAGAGAAGTTAATATGAGGGGAAAAATATGTTATGTCTCGGTGGAGATGATTTTTTATAGCATTCATCTTATTCAGAGAATCAAAATTTTGCTCATTTATTATTATATTACGTATTGCGCGACTCCATCGTTGTTTGTGTCCAAGTATTATGTTTATCATGTTACATCATTTACGCTGTAGAATGTTTGTGCGATAATCTAAAATCTCCACAGATCTTTGTAGTGAATTCGGTCCACGTGTTGATGCATCCAATTGAATTCGCTATGAGAGACCCACCAGAGTAAAATGCAAATACCGCTCGCAAGTTCGAAGGAGAAAGAGAGAAGAAAGATCTAGCAGCGTGTATCCCGCGGGTCGGAGAAAAAGATTCCAGATTCTAGCCGGGTTCTAGATTCCGCGGCGACGCGCCGCGCATAGACATTCGCGCCTTTCCAAGGAGTCGAGCGCCGCTCGAGTCTCCCTGTCTCCCTCGTTCCGGAGAACATTGCGATCCCCATATGTGGGCGAGAGAGAGAAAGGAAGAGAAAAGGAGTGATCTCCGGATCTCTGGTGCTGTTCGCGGCTTAGTGGCGCCCGTAGGGCGTCGTCGCGCGCTTTCCCACTTAACAGACGACGTCAGGTCCGTACTGTGACCATACCCGGTGCAGCCTGTGGGACGCTCCCTAAACAACAATTACGTGGAAAGAATTTTTTAAAGTCCTGACTTTTCCAGACCTTTATAAACAGCCTAGAAAGACAACCTTTTATACTTAGGACATATCAGTTTTTGGGCGATAAAGTTTAAGTAACTCATCACTATCTCACTATCAGCAATAATGTCAGTGATATGAACAAAAATTGCATCCCTGATGAGTGTTCTTATTGTTGTACATTATTTACGTTTGTCTAGGAAAAATCAAGACTTGAGATAAAAAGAATATATATATATATATATATTAGTATTACAATGAAATTAAATATTATAATATACTATATATACATTTTAGATCTCTATATAATCCATATTTTATATATATATATATATATATATATATATATATATATATAATAAATTATTATTATATAATATATATTTTATATAGGTATATATTATATAATATATATATATATACTAAAATTTATTATATAATATATATATATAAAATATAGATTATATAGAGATCTAAAATATATATATAGTATATTATAATATTTAATTTTATTGTAATACTAATTTAACATGTACTATTTCGTAATACTAGATTTTATCTTAGGATACTATACCGAACGTTTTGCCCGAGGAAAATCTCATTTAACGATGAAAACAAATGGGCGCGCCATTCGTTAACATCATTCTCATTATGATAAAGTCCAAAGATTCATTAACTTTATATATGTTTATATCGTTATATACATCAACACGTATCAAGGTTTATTTGACAGTTCACTTTTGTTATCTATATTTTCATAAATTATCTGTCATTTGCATCTCAGTTATCTCTATCGTAATCGTCGTAAATCTCTTATAAAAGCTCTAATTTTTTCCTCCTCTTCTTAGTACAGGGTACAGGCCTGAGGAGAGTCGCCATCTCTCGCTCGCTCGCGCGTCGCCGATCAGAGAAGCCGAAGACACCCGAAGTTCCTCCCCCACTTGCTCGACTCCGCGAGACGGAGATCGCCGAGGTCGGAGTAGCCTGCGCTATGCGCCTCGACGCGGAGCGCCCTACGTCACAGTGAAGTATGTGCTCCCGAGTGTAGAAAATGGCTGTGCTCTCCGCTTCCAGGGATCGGCGCGGATGTAAATATGGCCTGTGGCTCGGTTTGGGAGTGTTCGCCGTGAGATGCCTCGGCGGTGAGTACGACGAGTCTGCCAGGATCATCGTCGAAGAGTCCACGCGTATTTTTTGCGCGCACCCTGGTTGCGCGCACGATGCTCTCCGGACGGCGAGAACGCACAACGGGGAACTTGCGTCCCGGATCGTCGCATCGATCGGATGCGGATTACATTCGCGAGGGAACGCGATCGCTTCTTCCTTACGACTTACGACGCGGGCGTTCGCCCTCTTCTGCTTCGCAGATGTGCGACCCGACGACGTTCCGTTCCTTGTCTCGCTCTTCCTGTTTGCTTGAAAACGGACCGACGGTCGACAAGTTCGACGAATCGGTGTGAAAAGAGATCACGTTGCTCTCGGGATCTTATCCCGCTTTTCTCTCTTCTATGATATCTTGTGGAAGCGCTCTTTTTTCCAGGAAGGTCGTCGTCGACGGCCGACGACACCTGGGTGGCACTCTTGCTACGTTGGTGCAAAGTTTTTTTTTTTTTTGTTCTCGATTTCGCAGATCGTTAAGAAGTTTCCTCTCTCTTTCTCCAGATAAAGACCAACCTCTATCTGTTTTTCCGCAACGGATGTTTTCTTGTCTCCTCTGTCTTCACCTCTCGCAATCAATAGGTTTTTATGGAAGGAATTTCTGAGATGCTACGCGGTCGTTCTTTTTTACGTCTGCATAGAGAACAGAGAGAAGCGGAAAGAGAGACGGAGATGAAGAGATTCATTCTGGAGCAGAGAGTTGGACTGAAATATCAGTAGTATGTCGAGAATCAATGCTGTTCTCGCGACCTTTTTCCATTTTTCTCGTTCTTTTCGATTTTTGTTTATTATTAATGCTCTCTCTCTTTCTCTCGCATGCTTCGATCATGCTTCAGCTTCGAGATATTGGACTTACGCGATCGATTTGATATCAACAAACACCAGACTTTAACCTTTTGAAATTGTATGTAATTACGATGTATATATTGTCATATTTTTGTAAATTTTTAAATTAATTTAATTTTTTTAATATCTTCTTTTCTCAATCTGCACCCTGATTGCGAGCGACCGACGTTTGCTACAATCGAGTGATGAGAATGATAACAAAGTTGAATCATTCACTTTGGCGTAATGTCTTTATTTAAAACTATATATATATATATAAAAATGGTACACAAATTTATATATTTTTCCTACGAAAATTATTGGTTTTCTTTTTTGTAAAAGGCGGATATTTCGGAGCAATGTGTCCCTTCTGAAGATCGATTTTAATGATCAATTTGCTTAGTGCGCCTGTTCGATTTGCATGTCACATTGACGTCAAACCGTATCTTCACATTTAGTAATCGAAGCTTGCGATTAGAAGACGGTCGCTTTTAATGCTAAATATGCGCGAAGCGAAATACAGGAATCTGTCTGTCCGTAGGAAATAGAGATTGTTTACCTTGCTTCAACGGGGTGCGTAAGCCTCGAAATACATCAAAGGGTTATAAACGTCGACGTCGTTTTAGCGTGTCTCCTTCTGGCCGAACGTAATTTCGTACTCACGTTGAAAACGAGAGGAATTTGATCCTTTTTCACCCTCATCTCGTTTGTGTGCTTTCTCTTTCTTTCTTCTTGTTTTTTTCATCGTATATGTACGTTTCGAGTTTATTTTGTACGTTTATTTTATGCGAGGTTCGCAAGAACATCTACACGGAGAGAATTTCCTCTTATATGATTTCAATTATAAAAAAATATATATGATTTTCCATAAAAGTTTCCATAAGAGTTTGGTACCTCACACACACAAGTTGCCAAAGTTAAATAATTATCTAATGATTTTATTATTAATCTCTCATATTCTATAGGAAATAATTATTATACACAGAAAGAATTTTCTCTTAAAATTTACTACAATAAAAGATATTAAAAAATATTAATAAGAAAAATTCTAGTAAAATTCTTCCAATTGTCTCATGATTTTAAATTCTAAGAGCAAATTCTCTCTGCGTATATACATTGTTTAATATGAATAAAATTAAAGACGTATCCGGGATGCGACATAAAAACAAGCTATTTCATGACGTACTTTGTGGAAAATGCATTAAATTTTTTTCTCGATGAATAATGTCGTTCCTCTCTGACACTATTAAAGTCTCGGAATTTAAAACATCTGTCGAAGAAAAAATGCACACACTATTCGAATAACAAAGAAGGTCCCGCTAAAAAGGATGAATGATAATTCCAATAAACTGAATCTGAAATAAAAATGAAGAGATGCCGCGAATGATTCGAGATGATGGGTCCAGATTGCAGACACGCGAAAACGATCGTTATTTTTATCCGTGACAACGAAAACGCGACAAACTAGCATCCATGTGAATCGTTCCCATAAACGTTAATTAACGCTAACTGAGATTTAATGGACTCCCCCTAGTTTCTTCTTAGAAAGATGCGAGTGTGATCAAGCTTGACTCCACTTTAATTGGTGATTGTGGGAAGACCCGTATTGTGTACCAACATATGGTTTACTCCAAATTATATATATCGCTTTCCACAGTTGTTTATTCAACTCGTCGCGTCACGGATGCTGGAATTTGTAGGATCTTCATCTCGATCAGCTGGGAGGAGGATTTCCCGCTCGAAATCACGACAATTATATGTACAGGATATAGGATCACGGACGATTGTTTTTCCACGAAAATTACGATCGCGACGTCGTATCACGATTACGCGAGTCCATTTGTGCCAGTTTGCGCCGCCTTTCTCGACAATATTATTTGCAGCCCGCGGGTATTAAGTTTCCTAGGCACATTCGCGTGCAGTTCGCGAATGCCATTCCATCGTGATAGCGCAACGTGGCTTCCGAAACGTCATCGTTTCTCAGCATTGACTAAAAGTCGATGACATTCGATTCAGCGGATCTGAAGTAAAAGTTCGCGATAAACCGCATATATACAATATAGTGTGATACAATTTTGAAAATTACAGAGAATTTATCTTGAAAATCGTGATAATCGTGGGACAATATTTTTACCACAATAAAAAATGTTAATATCTATTATACAATAAGATATAAAATATGTTCGATTAATTTTACTATATATACATATTATTAATTATTAATATTATATTTTCGGGATAAATTCTCTTTGCATATGTATGAGAAAAAAAAACATTTTTCTTAATCGATGACTTTAACACTTATTGTCAGCAAGCGGAAGTAACGTGATCCCTAAAATCACGCATCTATTGACTCGTATAAGATATTGAGAGAGCGACAAAGAAAAAGATAATAGGACGATAGTTTTCACACTTGACGTGTATCAATATTCTATTGCATAAATCGAAATTAATTTTCATATAAGTCAATAATGAATATTTAGTGTGTTTTTCTATTAACTTAAATGGAGTATTATCAAGATAAGATAATTTTACAAGTGCGCCTACTTTTATCAACATTGTTATTATTTTATTTCATATAGTCAAGATATTACACACACACGCACACATCTCTGTTCATTACCTCTGATATCGTATCATAAGATTAGATATTGTTGATTAAGAAAAAAAAAGAAGAATTAGGCTTTCATGAATTAACTGTATGTCGTGCATTTTTGCAGATTGAAACCGCCGCGCCGGCGAAGTTCGCGATTTGGCCAGAGACTCATAGACATACGGAATGGGCTATCGCTGATACTGCTCTTTGCCACGCTGATAAAGTCCGCGACTAGCTGGCACGTTGCTTCGCCGCGCGATTCATTGAAACCTTCGTGCGATTACGGGTGCCGATTGCGTCGCGAAAGCCACGCACGAAAGCAGATATGCGCGTTACGCCTCCCGTCCTGAGAGACCCGCGTACGCTCCTATATATATACGCACATTCTCTCGTGGTGCATGACAGTTTCCCAAACAGTACATTACGGCTTTCCTCATCAGTGACGGACGGACTGATAAGCAGAGATCCGACTGTTCTCAGATGCTCTCCAATTTTCTGAACGTGTCGTATCTGAAAGGAGATTGCGATTTTGTAAAAGAAACAATTATAGATAGAGAAAGAGAGTTTATGGTATACACATCACGGTATTTGATCTCGTATTATCAGAAAAATGTGACATTTTCGTTATCATCGCTTAGGGTTTGTAAGCGATAAATCCTTTCACAGAATAAGATCGGTATCGCGGCGCCCAGGTAGCAAGCATACGTCATGTTGACGTCGAATTACGTCAGTTTGCTACTTGGGTAAATGAGTGAGTCGTTTATAGATGATTCTTCTTCTAGATTTGTGTGTACATCCACGTTTTTGCGCTTCGCGTTAATCGTCACGAACGACGATAATATCCGTTCAACGATCTTGCGTTGACAGAATGTTGTTGATGTGGAAAAATACTTCCACCAAGCTATTTATGTTTCATTTCCCGATATGCAAGGATAAGCGAGTTGTCGTGACACTTGAGAGTTCGTTGCTTTATTTTGTTTACGTTCATTTGCCTTGTTTGTCTCTCATGAAAAGCGCAGTTGATTTGTCCCTGCAATTTGATCGATCCAGTTGCATTAAGTAGGAATAAGATCATCACGAAATTCAAGTCTCACTATCAGTACAACGCGTAGATCTGGTGTAATAAATTATAATTAGGTATCTCGCAGGATTTTATTTAAAATCACTTATTGATCAATTTATAATCAATTTTTTTTATCAAAAATTTAATTATGAATAATTAATAGCTTAAATAATAGGCCAGACTAAACGAGCAAACAAATTTAGATATAAAATTAATTTGTTTTAATTTAAAATTAATTAATTTTTTTATGTTGAAATTCAATGTAAACGTTTCGTACTCGGTCTTTTTCAATACACGTTATACACAAAAGTAAAATTAAAACTACCAATGTGGCAGAACGTTCGGATTATTAAATCATTTCACAAATATAAATTACTGACCATTAATTATGAATAATATTTTTGTAATTATGAATAACATTCGAATTATTTGCAATTGAAATTAAAGATACATTTTGTATGGTTTTTAGGAGAAAGGATAAGAGGAGAGAGAAGAAAAGCGGATGCGCAAAGAATCGATCCGTCATCCAGATATTCGCAGGATATAAATAGAGCAGTCACCGTAAAATAGACGGCGCGGGAGTGTAATTTCGCGGCGGAAGATAAGCGGCAGCCTCCGGTTCGCGCGCGTGTACCCGACGTGTATTTCAACGCTTTCTTCCTCTATCCCCTTTTGTGTCTCGCTGCCGTTACGCCGTCGCGAGAGTGGTCGTCGTCGTCGTCTTCGTCGTCGTCGTCGTCGTCGTCGTCGTCGTATACTCGTTAGAAACGTGATACCGTGTTTGCATCAAATTCTCCGCCGTTATCGGCTACTCTAGCATGAAAGCGGATGCCTTTTGCAATCTGTTTAATTCGCAATTTAATTCGGAGCAGGATCACGTCTAACTTTTGATGTTTTGGATCGTAATTGAAATTTTCGATAAATGGAAGATCAATGTTAAATGCGTCGATATGAGATGAGAACCATCTCACTCTGTATTTCAAAAATTTCTATCTCGTATATTTATTTTGTTATTACTCTTCTCTTGACGATCCATTAATGTGACAATTTTTTTTCGAACGACAAAATATACGAGATATTTTTATGTGATACTGATCGTGCTTTTTCTATACGAGATTTATAATTCGACACGAGACTTATCAGGTTCATATCAAGACAGACGTTTACGAAACGTCTCCAATTTCTGACTCGAGACGCACCTACCTACCTATATCTTCTTTCGACATAACGATATATGTTCTTCCGTGGGAGGCGACGACGGTCGTTCGCCTACACGACAAATCTCACGACTTGTCAAACAACCTCTCGAATCCGCGCGCCTACCTCTTTTCAGCCAGACCCCCCTCATATCAATAATTATTAAGTTATTTATCGTACCTCGCTCAATGCGTTGTTTACCTAATGTTCCGTCTTCCATACTCGTTTAATGTTAGAGGAATTATATGCGTAATCCAAAAATAGCATTTAAAATAAGCGAATGTGATTAATATTAGAATGTTGTGCATTTCTCTTCATCTATATATAATATACTATTTTGATTTATTCGTATCGAAACAGTAACTAATCATTTCACGTTGTGTTTCTCTTTGCAGTCCTGGGCATTGTTTGTTACTGCGATGGACACTGTCCGGATGGCAGGCAAAATGGAACGTGCGAGTTACGAGCCGGAGGACAATGTTTCAGCGCCGTGGAAGAGGTGTGGGACACCGAAATGTCAGAGTACGTGCCTGAAGTGTCGTTTGGTTGCTTGCCACCCGCGGAGGGCGGTTTTATGCAATGCAGAGGAAATCAAGTTCCTCATTTACAAGAGAAGAGTATAACGTGCTGCAACAATACGGATTTATGTAACAAGGACCAATATCCCGAAATAGCCTACAAGCCGCGTCCTACCATGGGTCCCAGTTCGATAGATATTACAACGGGAGCGCCGTTTATTGTCCTAGCAGTGGTCTTATCGGCAATGCTGATGATTACCATAATAGTTCTACTGATCATGTATCATAGATGTTGGAAGAAAGAGATAGATCCGTGCCTAGTGCCATCGCAAGGAACTTTGAAGGATTTTATAGATCAAAGCAGCGGATCTGGATCGGGACTGCCGCTCTTGGTACAACAGACTATTGCGAAACAATTAGCCATGTCGAAGTGCGTAGGAAAAGGACGTTACGGCGAAGTATGGCTCGCCAGATGGCGAGGCGGCGAAAAAGTAGCGGTGAAAGTTTTCTTCACTTTAGAGGAAGCATCTTGGTTCAGGGAAACGGAAATTTATCAAACCGTGTTGATGAGACACGATAATATATTGGGTTTTATCGCCGCCGATATTAAGGGTACCGGCTCTTGGACTCAAATGTTGTTGATCACGGATTATCACGAAAGAGGTTCATTACACGATTACTTACAAGTAACTGTGCTGGATCATCAGGCTCTATTAACAATTTGTTTGTCAATCGCTTCTGGTATCGCGCACTTGCATACCGAAATCTTTGGTACACAAGGAAAACCCGCGATAGCACACAGAGACATTAAAAGCAGAAATATTTTAGTGAAAAGGAATGGAGAATGTGCCATAGCTGACTTTGGATTGGCTGTTCGTTACATAAGGTACGCTTTAATACTTAAGCACTTTTTTGTATCATTAGTATACTTTTGAATAAGAGAAATTGCTACAATGAGATATTTATTTTTGTACAGCGAGAGCGGAGAGATTGACATTGCGCCAAATACTCGAGTGGGTACGCGGCGTTACATGGCACCGGAAGTGATAGACGAAACTCTGAATAAAACTTCCTTCGATGCGTTCAAAATGGCAGATATGTATTCTGTCGGTCTCGTATTTTGGGAAACTTGCAAAAGATGTATTATGGGTGGTAAAAATTCTACCGTCGATGATTATGCCTTGCCTTACCAGGATGTCGTTCCAAGCGATCCTAGCTTCGAAGATATGAAGCAAGCAGTCTGCGACAAACGATTACGTCCACTAATTCCGGCAAAATGGGATAACGATCCGGTAAGAGAGATATACTTTTTCGTAATTTTCTAATTTATTCCTGCCAATTTTACGCGACTCGAATAACATTGCTATCTTCCTTACAGATTCTATATTCGTTAAGCAAAATAATGTCGGAATGTTGGCATACGAATCCACCAGTTCGCTTGACTGCTCTTCGCGTTAAAAAGACACTAGTGTCGAAAGTAAACCATAGTTACACTATAAAGTATGTATAGTACTTGACAACAAAACTGACTCTAGTTAACAAAACTTTCTACTCCTGTAAATATATATTTTAGTGTACATAGAATTGTTGATAGACTGCAGCCCTAAGACTGATGATTACAAGTTTACAAATATGCAAAAAAGAAAGAAAGAGAATATATATGAATGAATGAGCGCGTACATGAAAAAATGAATGACTAATTGTAAAAATGAATGATATTATGTATATATAGTTTGTACATACGTAAATACATCCATATAGAGTGTCTTTCCAAATTCACGCATTACGTTTTATCAAAGAATCATTTTTGTTGTGAAAGTACTTTTTGTTGTGAAAGTTACTTTTAAAGAAACTGATAAAAGTAAATGTGGGAAACTTGGGAATCTCTTGTGTATGTATAATTACCTTTTATATTTATAGAAGCCGTGTCACAGAATCACAAAAATATGATTTTGACACGTTTTGCCATGTTAAAGCTTGTTAAATATTATTGACATAAGCTACTATTTACTAAATAGTATTTAGAATAAATTTACTATTTATTAAATAGTGTTTAGGAAGTGTAAAACGTTGTATAAAAAAAGAAATTATACTGTTTTTGAGTTGATAAAACCACACTAAACGAAATCGAATACGAGAGTGTGAATATTAGATGCAAAAGACATAAATTTATTTTTATGCAATATGTCTCGTCGTTACATCGAATTACAATGTTTGGACATTGAAAGAATGTTTAACGTGCCTAATGAAACATTTTTAAAAGTTACTAAAGTTACTAAAGTCTCAGTATATCACATGCTTTCCACATGTATTCCTTTCTTTTATAAGTACCTCATACAATATATTTATTGAAGATCATTTTCGATTATATGCATTATACGCATATTAAATTTGCATCAACTAAAAAGGTTCACACATCGATGATTGTAGAGTATCATATGCGCAAGTTTGTATTATTATCTGTACAATGTAATTTATGTTTCTAATTTGTACACAAATGAAACATATTAATTCATTTTTAACAACAACTTAAGTTGATTATATCGATCTTCCTGAGTTTTCGTTATGCTGCTGATATACTCTTCAAATTTGTGTGCTTTTGTACAGAGAAAGTAATTGGAGAAAAAAATTGTATAAAAAATAACAATTGTATAGTGCAATAACAATGTATAATGTAGAAAATTTTATGTCAGATGTAATTTTTTTGCATATTCCTTTGAATTTATAACATGTTTGTGCGGACAAAGACTAAGAAAATTGAACAGAGTTTTTAATTGATTTAAATAAAAACTTATAAAAGTAGATTTTCTTTGTTTCAAATGTCATTATAGATTCGAGATATTTTGTATGACTTCTATATGTATAATACTTGATAAAAATTGTTAAATATCTTGTAGATGCATTACTTGTGGTGAAAAAGATTTTAAATAATTGCTAATTGATAGAAAACATAAAAATTATATTTTCGGCAAGTATATTTAAGATTTTCATCTTTTTCTAGATATCTTTTTATTTGTTGAAAGATATGTGATCTTTATACTTTATAAACCGAATATATAATTCAAATGTTTAATTGAAAATATTAATATTATTTATATATAAAATATAATAATTATATAATTATATAATATTTATATAACATTTATTATTTATATAACATTTATTATATAATTTTATATATATATATAATTATATAAAAATAATATAATATATAATGTTATATAACATTTATTATTTATATAACATTTATTATATAATTTTATATATATATATATATAATTATATAAAAATAATATAATATATAATGTTATATAAATATAATTATATGTAATATATAATTAAAATTTTATATTATATATATGAAATATAGATAGATGGAGAAGATTCTTTTATTCTTATTTACTACTTATATGTCAGCCATGAATTTTTAATGACTGCATTTATTTATTTTATAAATTCTTATATGTTTTCTTTAGCGTTTGAATATTCATCAATATGTAATATACCATGTATTGTCTTTATAATAGATGCACACACTGCATCTGATATCCGAAACTCGATATCCAATAGGATTCGTTATTTAGAAACAAAGAAGTTCTCAATATAAATATTTTATCAGAATAATATAATTGTCATATTATCAAATATAGCGAATTTTTATAACATATAAAAGCCAATCGTACATTTATATACAAATTTTATAACATCTTTATTGATCGATCGAATTGAGAGGCCGCTCTATATTGCATCCAACGTCTATGACCTTTCGCTGCCGGCTAGGTTGGCAGCCCTGGATCCGGCACAGGAAACGACGTGCGTAACATATCTTCGCGTCGCTGCACATTTCCGTTTTCGCCATCTTCTACCTCGGAAGCGGCAGTGTGGTTCGCGTCGTATCGCGTGTGTATCGCGCAGTTTTAGCAGTTTTAGCCTACCGATTTGGTGAGTATCTCCACGTATCCATACGTCGCCGCGTCAGAATTGTCAGCTGATCGCACAATTGCGTTGTAATCGCGGGAGCGAAGCGAGCTCGGGATCGCGACACGGCATTCCATTCATTGTCAGACCCCGGCTTCGTCTAGCCGGTCTCGCTCGTCTCTGATCGCGATACAAATTAATATCTACATCATTTTTCCGGTTCATTTCTTTTCCATTTTCTTTTCGATTTTGTTTTCGCTCCAAAATAACGCGTTTATTAATCATTTTGTCGAGTTCGATGCATTTTTCCTATAACGATTGTCGTCTTTCTAGCAAATATTCGTATTTTTTTCTTTTTTTTTTTTTTTTTTTTATTCATGACGGAATCCGAATTCTTTTGACGAAACGCCGGTCGGCCAGACGAAGCTTATCGATGGACGAAATGACGCTTCCACGAATGCTCCGTCCTCGTCGCGCTCGTGCGCAGTCATATCCGATCTGCGTTGCGGTAATTTTCCACGACTCGTCGCTCGCGACCCCACGTTATGTGTACGATCATTAGACAATCCTTGAATCTCGACGACGCTCATAAAAATCCGATTACCCAGCCACTTTTATGCTTATATTTCTTTTGCCACCCTCTTAAACTGTCGGTACTCACAAAGTTGTGTTTGCAATGCAATTGTGCATAATGCGCATTTCTTGGCAGGATTCCAATTATTGCGGCAAATTCCGCATAGCTTACGATTTGGCAGACTATCAACAATTATTGCTTGAAAAATATGCGTTCGTTTAAATAATAGATTGAGATAAAAAGTTTGATTAGCGATTGAGAACTGCAAGTCATTTATTTATTTTTTATTTAAGGAAAAGAGATAAGAGGAAGATAAAGTATTGTTTGACATGTTTTCTTTCTCTTTATTGACTTTGTGAAAATTTGGCATGAGGAAAAGGAACAAAGTGCACCGTCATACCTTGACGATATTTCTAAAAATATCGAATCGAGATACTATCATGAATGAACGCATTGTACATATTCGTCAAATTAAATGGATAATTTTTTTATTACTTGCCAATAGAGAGATTAGTTTTGTCGGTTTGTTATCAAGGTGAAATTAAAATACATATATCTTTTATTCATGAAGATTTATAAACAAATGTATGCATGATACATATGTAGTAGCAAAGACACGAGTTTTTTTCTAATGTATTTTTATGTTTTGGAAATCGATATTGAAATACTGTATTTAGTATATTTATCGTCGAAATTTTTGCACTATAGAATTTTCTCTTAGAATTTATCCTAAAAATCATGGTAATCATGACAACATATGGTATTGAAAGAATATTATAAGAGAGTTGATTAATATATTTACCATAATAAAAAATATTAATATTTTTATATATTATATATATTTTATACTTATATATTAATATTTTTTATTGTGGTAAATATTAATCAGAGAAACTTATAAATATCTTTACTGTGTACGTAATAAAATTAATCGAACATATTTTTATATCTTGTGATATTAATATTTTTATTGTAGCAAAAATACATATTAATCAAAAAGAAACTGAAAAATTCTTCCAATACCATATTGTCCCACGATTACCATGATATTTTCAGGGTAAATTCTAAGAATAAATTCTCTCTGTGTACATGTATATTGTGTATACATATTTATCGTCATATATCATCATATACTGCAATATCGTGCAACGAAAAAGCGACGTGTAATCAGAGTTGTGTATGCATATGTATATACATATGTATACATATACACACTCGCTTCTTCCCGCTTCGTTAGCGAGCAAGGGAGCGCGATAAACCCGATTGAATAATTTAGAAAGATGTGGCGGAGGAACGGCGCAGTGGGATTCTCCCGCGCTTGCCCGGCGCCGCTCGTGATTGGTCGGTCTCCGGTGGCGGCGCTGACGTTTCGGCGCGGCGCATGATGGGTTGAGGAACGCGCGCGCGACGCGATCCGGACAAGACGCAGCGAGCGAGAACGCCGCCATTGCTTGCTCGCGTTTCCCTGCGTGTCGTGCACGAGCAGAACCGGCGTCGAATCTGTCCACGTTCGCGTGTTTCCGAGTACGCGCTCTCCGGTCGATCCTCCGCGAATCTCTTCAGTGAAGTATCGTCACTCGTGTGCGTACCGATTCGATATCACGCTAGAAAACATCCGCAAACGCAGGTATGTACTTTCACCGTACCGGGTGCGGTGCGGAGAGAATCCTCCGTGCGGCCGCTCCGTTTAGACTTGTTATAAGGCGTCTGTCCACGAGGGCGGGTTTAACGAGCCGAGTTCGCTTCATCTCTCGAGGGATCGAGGCTCTCCCGCACAGGGAGCTTCCAGAAAACGTGCTTCTTTTTTAATGCGTAAATTGGTTATTCGCCAGCGTGCACGAGATGTCGGCAAGATGGAGGAAGGGAAGCGTCAGGATCGAAATCAAACGATCGCGTCGCTTCTCCGACTCTCCTCCGATTAGTTCTTTGAAGGAAAAAAAAGGGCGACAGGTCTCGACAGACTTATATATATATGTATGTATATACATATGTATATTGCGCGAGAATACATACATATGTATTCGAAGGTCGGAATGTTATTGGGGGGAAAAAAATCTTTTTTTTTTGTAGCTTTTGGATAACCTTGAACGAGCGGAATACAATGCGGCTTAAATGAAGTTTGTTATTGGAAGTTTGAATTCACAATCGCTTGTTATTTCACTCTAGCGCAGTATTCAAAATAATTATAATTCCGTTTATTAATTTAGTTTTCGATGTGACGAATAAATATATAAATAGAGATTACCGTCGTATATTTATATAGCATCGAAATTCATATCTGCTGATATTAAGACGGATTGCGTTATATATTTATAAGGGAGTGAATAAATAATCGAATAAAATTACAAGTCATAGAATGTATTATATGTGAGCAAAAAAATATCGGAAATGAGACGACAAAAAAATGGTTCGACGACAAAATGACTGTCTATAATATAATCTATGAGACTGTATATAATAAATGAGAGAATTCTAGAATAATCATTCAGGTGCTCCGATATTTTTTCTTGCTAGTAAAAAAACTTTACATACAAATTTCAGGTTTCTGTGTTTGTTAAAATTATGATTTTAATTATTATGAATAAGAGAATATCACTATTAATTTTCTGAAATTTCAATAACTTTACATCTTTTATTTTTATCAAATTAATATAATTAAAAGTCCCTCACAAATTGCTTTTACTATGAATATTTAAATATTAAATGTGTGAGAGATGATGTAATTATAAAAAATGTTAAGTACTAAAAATTATAATTATATAGAAATATATAATTATATATAAAAAAAAGTGAGGGACCAATGAAAAGTATTTCTATTTTAAATATACATTTTTTTGGAATTAGGTTCTACGAGCCGCAAAATGCCGGGTTTTAGCAGCGTTGGAACATTTAAAATCTTCATTGGTAATTTAGCCGACAAGACCTCGAACGCGGATATAAAGCCACTGTTCGAGAAGTACGGCAAGGTCGTGGAATGCGACGTGGTAAAGAATTATGGCTTTGTGGTGAGTGTTGTGTTAAAATCGAATCAATATTTCGATTAATGAAGATTAGACGATATTACGATTAACAAAATTGATAATGCAATTACACGTTTTTATTCGCAGCATATGGAAAATGAGGAAGCAGGGCGAAATGCCATACAGAATCTGAATGGACATATGGTCCATGGACAGCCAATAAAGTGCGAGGCCGCAAAGAGTCGTAAGGGACCAAATACCCCTACGACGAAGATCTTTGTCGGCAATCTCACAGATAATACGAAGGCGCCGCAAGTGCGCGAACTGTTTGCCAAGTATGGCACGGTCGTGGAATGCGACATTGTAAGGAACTACGGTTTCGTCCATCTGGAAGCGACGGGTGACGTGAACGACGCCATCAAGGAGTTGAACGGCCAAATTGTAGACGGGCAGCCGATGAAAGTGCAGATCTCCACCAGCAGGGTACGACAGAGGCCAGGAATGGGTGATCCAGAGCAATGTTACCGATGCGGAAGAGGCGGTCACTGGTCCAAGGAATGTCCCAAAGGAGGAATGGGAGGTGGTCCAGATAGAAATGGATACAGAGATCGAATGTTTGGACGTGATCCGTATCCTCCACCACCACCGCCACCTTTCCTTCGGGACAGGCTCATGGGTGGTGGCCGCTTTGGTGTAAGTTTATCTTTCATGCAATACATTTAATTATCTATCTTTTCACATTTTTGTTCGAAATAATAGCTAATATTTTCGCCTATTAATTTATCGGATTTGTCTTTTAACAGGACTATGAAAGCTACTACGACCGGCGCGGCTTCGAGGACACCAGGGATCTCTACGAGAGGCGGTTTACGGGTATGACGCCCTGTGACATGGGAAGTTCCATGTGCGGGCTAGACTTTCCACCAATGTCAATGCCACCTCTACCACCAAGACGAGACCCAATGCCTCCTATGCCTCCTCTAGGTATGGGATCCATGCGCGACACCGGCTTCTCCCGTGGAAACGAGTACGGAATGTTCAGCCGCCGATCGCCCCCTCCCAGTGGCAACAATGGCCGGTTCAGGTGAGTTAGTTATCCAGCTTAGGTATCGACTGCCCATTCGTCCGACTTAACATTGTGAACGTTCCAGGCTGGATTAACAGCTCATGCGAATTGGGGTGATTCGGTGATTCGTCGACATTTTTTTCTAATCTGTCGTATTCTTTCTCTTGTCACATATATATATATTTCGACTTTATCTCCTTAATCTTTCTCTCCATATTTTTTTTTGGCCCATGTAGTAACGAATGTTAAGTCTGGATAGGCGATCGCGAGATTTGCAATATTCCAATGTTACTACCTTGTTATATAAACCTCTTTTGCCCTTTTTCGTTAAAATACATAAACTTTCTTTTTATCTCTCTTCCTTTTGTCTTACTTTTTTATCGTAAGACGCGGAAACAAAACTTTTCCTCTCCGACAATATTACTGCGCGGCACAACGCATGACTCGTTATCGTCTATGCAAGATATTACTTTTCTCATACTTGAGATTTTAAGACTTAGTATTTTATTTACACACGTACGAGTGTCGACCCGACGCCCACACGAGTGCAGACTCCATCGTAGTGAAATGTTAATTATATGACGCTTGGACGTTTCTGTACATTCTAAATTTCAGTGCACCTCAGGCGTACCATCTTTGTCCATGAACGCGGGCAACCCTAGAGAGACAGTCCCGGGTCAGCGTTCAAGTCGTACAAGAGTAAGTCTTTGACTCATTTTGTTAGCGAGTAGTCACGCCTCGTTCTTGTCGCAACTTGTAACAACAAACGATCGCGATCAGAAATACGTAGCAGTCGCCTTATATGTCGTCTGCGTCTCATGGTGGTTCGAAAACTTTTTTCGGGTCTCGACTGATTGTGCCTTGAACATGTCGACTGCTCTTCTAGGGATGTCCTAGTTCATAGACTCTCTTGTTCATGGCATTAACTGCGGGATTGGCCTGTATGTCTCTCACTGAACATCCTTTGTGTTTCAAGCGCTCCCTATTACGCACATCACTCAGCCGGGAGTGGCGCGGAGGCCTGGGATGAAGAAACGTTCCTAAGGAATGCGAACTAGAATTTCTTGATCGCACTACCGCGAACCAGGATGCGATCTGCAATTTTAAACCAAACTAATCATACGCTATAGATAGAAAAACAAACAGGGCTGGCGCGATTTTGGAATGGCACATCGAATCGATTGTCTTTGAAACGTGTCGTAAGTAGAAACCAGCTCTCCAGACGATTTGGACCAGTAAGTTTGTACAAAATATCGGCATCTCCCGTAATCTTTGCGAGCCAATTCCGCAAGCCTGCGATTAATATCGATTCTCCATTTTATTCAGTTTTTTCATACGTAAGATTTATTCCTTTTAATGACGTGGATCGCGTACTGATTCTATGAAAATAACGAATATGTTGTGATAAATTCACAATGATGTTAGCACAAACTATTTTCAAATTAAATAAATTTTCTTGCTATCTCTTTCTTGCTTTTTTTCTTTTTCTTTTTTCAACGTAAAATGATAAAACGTGCATTTTTGTCCTCGTGTGATCTTCCCGTTTTTGTTAATAATTAAACTATTTCTAGTTTTCTATATTAAAATATACAACTATCCTTTTTTTTTATTTGTTATTTCATAGTCGCCTCAATTAGATTCCTGTCTATATCATGGATCGAAATTTTATTTATCAATGAATCCTCGATTTAAATTGTGTCTCGAGTTTCGTAGTATTTCTAAAATTGTTGCATTTAATGGAAGAGAAATTTTTCACATAAAGGGTAACAAGAGTATCGCCAAAAAAAAATTTCGATTTCGTTCTCCGTACTCCTCGAAACTCACAATCCATAGTTCTTGAAGCTGACTTCTACTCACGAGGTTCAAAGCTTTTCATGTATGTAAATCCATTCGCAACGTTCAAATAGAAAACAGAATTGAGATTGAATTTCTCAGTTTTTCTAAGTACTTTGAATTTGTTGTTGCACGTTACCACCTTATTACCCTCATACGATCCCAGCCTGGGCTGCAAATAGCTCTTATTTGTTATAATGATACATTCTCGTTGTTTTTTGCGAAGTTGTGATTTGCAAGTCGCATGGGTTAAAAATCCAGTCTACCGCTGTCTGCCTCATATGACTACATTCCTGTATATTTTGTTCATATTTAGCTTTCCTTTTACGTTGGCAAAGTTTCTCGAACTGTCGATCAAGCCAACACAATTGTACAGATAGCGAATTGCTTGTGCTTCACTTTCGTAGGTTTTAGAAGCTTTAAGCATCTTGCATTTTTGTACTCGAGTTTCTACAAATGATTTCTGATCTTCTCGATTTTTGATGAAAATCAAAATTTCCTCTTTACACACACACACACACACAAACTAATCAATTATGCGCGCTTAAATCAATGTAATAAAAGAGTAGGAAATATTTCACGGCAGATTCATTAATGTGATCTGCGTATACTTTTTTGGCAAGTTTGTGCTCTTCAATTAACGTAAGAGACGCGAAACATTCCGTCCCTATCCCTAGTCATATCAGGCGAGGCACGCGATTCTCTTCCTTTGCACGTGAGAATACATATATATGTATATGTATAATATATAGGGACTAATTCACAAAGTTAAGCCTTGGACAAGGGAGCCAGTATTATGGTATATGTTGATCTGATCTCATTGGTAGATTCGATTATTTATTATACCGCTGTTATAGTAGAGGCATGTACGAGGACTTCAGCCGAGATTCGTTTGAAGAGCGTAGGTAAGTAGAGTGAAGTACCACTTGGGTATTACCGAATTGAAATCCTATTTCTCATAAATCGTGATATAAATCTAACCGCCCTCTTCTTTATGTTACGATCGTCTCAAGGTAGTGTCTTTGTTTATTTCTGATTGGACACGCTACATATTTTATGATATATATCATATAAAAAAAATTTGTAAGACATCGAGAATGTAAGGAAATTGTTCCATTAGAACGAAGTATTGTAGAGCATTTCTTCTTAATACGATGTTTCATAAAGAAGAGTGCTCTAAAGATGAAAAAAGAATATATTTAACCCCGAGTCGCGCAAACATTCTTATTCGAAAGAACTAATAAAATAGCGAGAAAAACGAGGTACTTTTCGAGCTGCTGTATGTATCCTCTTTCTTTTTTTCAATTTTTTTTTATATATCAAAAATATATATATATACTGTTCATTCCTATAATTTTTCACTCTACATACATGCTATAACGCTCTATTATATTTCTCTATTTCTCTTCTGTTTTCTCTCGTACCACGCAAATATATATATATTACAGCCTTTTACATTTTCAATCTATATTTGTCCGTGCTTTAACCCCGTATCATCGATCTCGTGTGACTGACGTGGCTTAATTTTGATTACCAGACCGGGATTACGAGGGCCATCGCCGTCGCGCCGGTTCGCACCATACTAAATCGTCGCGTCGGGCTCGGATCGGTCTCTCTCGGTCGCCGTCGGTCCGTCGGGTCTGTCTGTCGCTAGCAGGAAGCCTCGGAACCGAGATACTCTTGGCCGTCTTGCGAACTGCACGCGTGAAGATCTGCCGCCCGCTCTATGAGAACCAAGTGTTACCCGCAATGCGATTTATTTAGGCGAAAACAAAACGGAGACAAAAAGTAGAGAGAAAGGAATCCAGTCAAAAGTAGCGCAGAGACAGGCAAAAGAATATAATAGGAATTATCATCCGAATTATAATCATCCTCCCTTTGACCGACGAAAACATCCCTCGTATCTTTCCGAGATTCCCCGGCTTATCGATCCTCTCTCTCTCTCTCTCTATCTATCTCTATTTCTCTCTTGTTGTCAACTAACATGTTGCCTCTAGGTCCCCCTGACTCCGCACCCCTCCCTCTTCGTCATGCATTTGTATTAAAAAAAAAATCAAAGTTAAAAGTGAACTCGATGTTAGCTCCTCCACCGCGGAGACTCCTCGATCGTAACATTTTCTTAACAAGTGTTTCTTTTTGACAAAAAATTTGATCACTTATTTTCGGAAGAAAAGCCACGGATTGTGGATGTAAATTTGATTTTCTGGGGAGGGTAGGAAAAAGAAATGTGGGATCGACGAGCATTCCGGTGGGGTCGTATTCTGCGACGATCGTTTTTCGGTTTTCTCTCTGATGATCCGCCACCTTTCTTGGCCTGTTTCTCTCTATCTCGCCGCAGAAATTGCTGAACGATTAGCAAATCGACCATACTGGCATACAGCGTAATTCAACGTAATCGTTAGATTTTATTCGTATTCTTATGCCGCGCAATAGAGCTAGAGCAAAAAGAAAGAAGACGTCCTGATCGAGAAGCGTTGTTCGCGGAATTCCCGTCGATTTTTATTTATTGTGTCAAGTGAAAATGTGTATCACAGATTAAAAAATTCTTTCCGCCGGGAGTAGCGCGAACATTCGTACAACGATGCTAGTCTAAGGGAGATAATCATAGTTGTTTCCTTAAGAATGCGTCCATGCATGTAAATGAAAATATTTATGCGTATAAGTGAAAGCTTCTTATACAACATGCATAAATAAATCTTGATTCGAAGAACGCACTGTGAATGTGCCGCAGAAAGAAAAATGAAAATTGTACCAGATATGCGTCTCATGATTTCGCTCGCGTTAAAGATGATCTCATCGATTGGCAATCTCGTGTATCTCGATCGGAGCTCTATTCCTTTTTTTATAATAATTCCGATAGATTTGTCAGCGAAAAACCGCGCCGCGGTTCCTAAATAGAAAAAAAAAATTGTGAAAAGATCCTTCGAGCGAGCAAATTGTATGTTTAGTTTTTGAAATCGGCGAAACGTCATGAAATATCGTAATTGAGAGCAGGCCTCATCTTCCGAGACGATTGTGTATATGCCGCCCCGATGAACAATATTCCCTTATTTTTGACAGATACTTTTGTATAGAGCGTAAATTAGTAACATTACGTGTTTTTAACATACTCGCGAAAAAGTATCGAGAAGACGTAGGCCGTGCTTTAATTAAAGAAGCGTTCGCCAAAATTTTTCCCCAAATGGGAGGGGGTAAAGCGTTGCAGTTTCGATTGTTAAAAAAGAAAGAAAACCAATTTCCACAATGTCGTTTTTCCGCTTTTATCGCAAAAGAAAAAAAGAAAGAATTATATAATTGGACTTAGACCCGGTAGGATGCGCCGATTCTGTATGGGAAACCTGAATGGCCGAACATTATCGTTAGCATATAGTAACGTAACGTAATCTTTTTATTAACGTAGGATTAACTCTGACATATAAAAAAAAACAAAGACGTGTTGTAATCTATAATAATCGCACTTTCGTTTCTTTTTTCGAGCGTAGACACTTGCTGTAAGTCTTTTTTCTTCTATTCTCCCATATCTACGCTTTTGTTTGTATTTTTTTCTTTTTTTTGCTGAAAAACGACCGTGTCTTTTTCATTAAAGATTATATAAATTATAACCACGATGATACTAATGATAATAATGATACTGAATATAAGAGATATGTAATAACAATGTATTTGTGAAATTCACAAAAAAAACGACGTGTACTGCGTGTTTCTTTAATCACACCGACCGCTCTCTCTCTCGCGCGACATACCCTTTGCCATCCCTACAAAACAACCCCTTTCGGCCACCCCTTTCCACCACCGAGAATTTTGATCGAAGTACGATCGGACGCGCGCTGGCTTCCTGCGTCGTCGCGCGCGCGTTTCCGTCTCGCGCTCGCTCGACAAAAGTCCGTCAACATCTCGAGCCGAAACGCGCGCGACGTTATTCGCTCGTATTTTACTCTTTGCCATCCTTGCGCGTCTCGAAGACTCCAAAGTCTGATAGTCGATCCACAGGTACTCGGAATTTTTCTTATTTACCCTGAAAAATCACGAGGACAATATGGTATTGAAAGAATTTCATAAGTTTCTCTGATTAATATTTGCTGCAATAAAAAATATTAATATCTGCCACAATAAGATATAAAATATGTTCGATTAATTTTATTATGCAAATGTAAATAGTAAACAATCAGAGAAACTTATAAAATTCGATCGATTTTACTATATACATAGTAAAATTAATTGAACATATTTGATATCTTATTGTGGTAAGTTTTTTTTTTTATATTAATCAGAGAAACTGTTATAAAATTCTTCCAATACCATATATTGTCCCATGATTACCATGATTTTCAAGGTAAATTCTAAGAATAAATTCTTTCTGTGTAGAGTTTTGCGATGTTTTCCATCGAACGACTCGAGAACCACATCTCTACTTTTCTATATATATATATTTTTTTTTTTTGTTATTTAATTACGATACAGTGCAATCTCTTCCTCTTTTCTTCTTTCTCTTTTTCTAACTCTGATTTAATATTTAATTAATGATAATATTGATAAAAACAAAGAATCAAATTGATCATTATCCAATTTTCATTGCATGAATGATTAAATGTCCTGATCCGGACAGATGTTGCACTGTGTTACTCACGTTATATTGAAAATTAGTGGTTTTTAAAATATCAAGGACTATTTCACATTCACGGTGTGCACGGTCCTGTTTTAATGATTGTTTTTTTCTTCGATTCTGTCATGCAATTTCCTATTGAAATCTCATCCTGTCTTCCGCAAATATTTTACTCTCGATAGAGTGGGGAAAATAAAAACACACGTATATGATATGTTTTCGCGTTCGTTGATTACATCCAATTGTGCAAGTTATTGTGTCGTTGATCATTTCGTTTCTGATACTTTCATATGACGAATCTTACTAGTGAGAAATTTTAATTTGTTGCATGATATCTGATGAAAAAAAAAGATTCTGTGTTATGTGTGACATATGTAAATATAAAAGATTCCAAAATGACCAAAAATTTCAAAAAATACTTTCATATTTTTATATTAATTTATACTTGCGTATTTTTATATGATCTCTTCTCTTGTAAATATTAAATACCTCAATAATACGGAATTTAATATCTGGTTCTGAAACAAATAGACTTGTGTGATCCGAATTCATAAAGTTCTTCGAAGATTCTTTACACAATCTGTCATGTCTGCTCGTTACTTCTCATCACCTGATTCATCTCGAATATTATTTGAGCAATATGCTTATTCAAACTCACTAATTTTGCTATCTTTTTCATTTTTAAGATGGTCACAACTTCAGACATGTGTTTCTTATATTCGATGCTTCTCTCTTCTCTGTCCTGTAATTTCTCGTGTCAGTCTCAATAATCAGGATTGTAAAGCTTTAAAGTTTAAACTTTGTTGTAAAAATGGCTAAAATTCCAAGGTTATAATAGTTTTGATCTTTGGTTTCCTCTCCTATCTTTTCGCTGTTTTAAAGAAATAAGGACTACCATAATCCTCCGTAAAATCGTTCGTCGTATAATCTGATGTTTTCAGAACAATTGGCACTGCGGATGAGGTGGTTGCACACGAGCTAACATATAGCGCGAATAAGTCGCTTCATCACGCATATACGGACATGGAATATTAATTTTTTCTCTATATATACATAAGAGAGAGTGTATATTAAAATGGGAAATCATTGGGAAAAAAAGATCGGACTCTCCAATAAGCCTGCTAAATATTCCCTCCTCACCTTAGCAATATACGAGATGAGATGATTCTATTTTACATGTCTGATGCATTATTTTACGTGTGTTTTTTGCAAGTTTTTATTTTTTAATAAATTTTTAAAAAATACGTGCGAATGACATCTCCTTGAATTGTGACTGAGAATTCATCCTTCCTGGCTGGCTCTCTCGAACTAGGCTGAATTTATACGTCAACAGCGATTGTATCGTTTGTAGATTGAAATTCGAGAAGAACAAAGAAACACCTTATTTTGATATATACATTTTACAATCTATTCAAATTTAAAAACTATTACGCTGTTGTATATAATATTATTGCACGGAAAGAATTTTCTCTTAGAATTTACTCTGAAAATCATGACAATCGTGGGACAATACGGTATTGGAAGAATTTTATGAGTTTCTCCGATTAATATTTACCATAATAAAAATATTAATATGTACATAGTAAAATTAATCGAATATATTTTATATCTTATTGTGGTGTATTATTAATATTTTTTATTGTGATAAATATATGTATATTAATCAGAGAAACTCCATTATATCCCACGATTATCATGATTTTGATGGTAAATTTGAAAAAAAAAAATTCTGTGTGATAAATTGATGTGTCAACATAACTTTGAGTCGTGTTTCTTTCTTCTTCTCGATTATTAAATTGTCCGTCCTTATTTTGTATACAGGAAATAAGATTTGTGCAATTTTCTTCCATTGCAGTTACATCTTTATATACAATATATATGATAGCGCGATTATTGTTCACTTGCATAGACTTTCGATTAAAGCCAAAGTTAAGTATTGCTGCTTTCAGAGATATCACAGATAAAGAGACGCGATGAAGTAAATGTGTAAATATATATATAGATGATGGAGATATATAAATGTTTCTTTTCTTTTCGTATCTCTTTTAATCTGACTTTTTAATCAGTATGTACATGGTAATGCTTATTGTGTTATGTGCCAGTCAAACTTGCAGAGGTTGAGAGCAGGTTCTACAGAATACGGACTCGGCTGAAGAGAGACTTGCTTTTCTACCCGACCAACGACAGGCAGAAGGCGCCCGGCCACGTTCTGTACACGTCAAATACAACCAAGTCACAGCCAAAGTGTGCGAACTCTCCCCCAGAAAGTTAACTTTAAGAGACACCACACGTGCAGGGTGTCTTCCAGAGAGATAACCGAGCCAAGCCTCGTGTCAGAGTGACGTTGGAACACGAACGTGTAGAACCAGGCGCACTACTCGATCATCTCTCCATACTGAGATGTGGTGAGCAGACTCCTGTCCGATAATAAGTAGACTATTCCGAAATCCGAGAAAGATCGGCCGAATCCTGCGTATTCGAAGTTGGCGCGAGAGAGGAGGTCGGACCTTCTCCCGTCGGCTCTGTTTGCGCAAGAGTTGCGAGTTTGATCGGTGCATAAAAGCGAGCGGTGGCGTCGATGACGCGTTAACTTTGGCTTTACCGTATTATATATACATATATGCACGGAATCGTTTCGTCAAGATCGGGAAACCCCCGGGCGCACGATCGTCGACGAGACCATAATATATATATATATATATATATACAAAGATGCCTCAGAACCAAGAGATTATTACTATATATTGAAGACTAATTCATTAGTTTAAAACTTTAACGAATTATTCATGAAGCTTTCTTCCCAGAAATTTGTCATGTAAAAAACTGGTTTTGAGACAGTCTTATTTTATATACTTCTTGATTCTTTTTTGTAAATTTTTTTCGAGGGTATTCTTTGAGGGATTCCCTTTTATCTAGATTATATACCGCTTAGATCAGATCACACACACACGTCGTGCGGGAAATTAAAAAAAAAAAGATTCGGGAACACATGGAGGCCCATGCACACCGGAGAGCTTCGTCGGACGGGATATATTCGATACGCGATGTATCGGCTGTAATGCAAGCACTCTCGAGGATTATACGGTAACATCGGTGCCGGACTTGATCGTCGGATAGCGAAGGTCTGTCCGATGATCGCAGTCCAATACGTGGACGTGCGAGATTCCGGCGGTTCGTCGTCGCCATCGTCTTCGTCTACGTCATCGTCGTCGCCGTCGTCGCCGTCGTCAGCTTTGTCGTCGCCCTCGTCATCGTCGTCGCCTTCGTCGTCGATCCTCGTCCTCGTCTGTAGAATCACGCAGCCCGAGTTGCAAACGGTTCGGGAAGACACGCCGGCCGAGAAGCTCGACGAGATAAGAAGTTCCGAGTCCAGTCTCTTGTAGCTATATATCGCTGAGATATATGTCTCTCGGATACGCCGGCACCCAGACCCTCGCAGGCACTTAGACAAAAAAAATACCCGGTCCCTCGGCAGAGTTCTCACTCTAGAGACCGTGAATCGCCGCTCGGATCATCCGTGCACGGATTTTTGAGAGAGACACACGGTCTGCACAAGAACCCGAGAAAAAAATGTCTAATATAACACGGACACGGATTATCCCTTGACCTCGCGTGATAGAAAAAAAAAGCGAACATACACACACATACACGTGTCGGTCGTCGCATTACGACAAAAAAAAGCGCAAAACCGATAGAAACCGCGCCGCCAGGGATTGTAACACGCTGTATTGTAATATCATATGTGATATAGGACGCGATGATAGCCCTCTGCACCAGCAGCAACGTCCACGACGAGGATGTACCTCGAAGAAGCCGAAGAGCGAGCCAGGGCTCGAGAGTAGAAGCGACAAGAGAGAAAAAGAGAGAGGTCTGACGGAGAGAAGCGACCTGGTGTTAACGAGAGGTAATTGTTCAGCACTCTGTACCACGTTGAAAGACACAGGGACACACGAAGAGGAAGGGAGATCCCGCTCGAATAAAGACGAGGCTGTGTTACCACCGCATCCAAGGCAAGTCCATTCCTACACAGCCTCCCGGTTATCGTTCCGATAAAAGAAAGCGAATAAAAAAATTAATAAAAAAAGGAAAAAAGCGACAAGTTTAATTTCTCCCTGTGTTTCCATCCGAACGCCTTTGAGAGTCATGTTTTCTTTCTTAGGAGAAGCGGCACTTCTTAGGGGAGAGCCCATCTCCCGAGATGCGAGGAGAATCTTCTTCTATAAAGTGAGGGACAAAACTGAAACACATGAGAGATCAACAGCGTGCTCACGAGTCGAATCTCGTCCTAGAGCGAAAGTCGTTCTCCTTCTCTGCTCGGCAGGAGCACGAAGGTATCGTAAGAATGAATATTTTCCTCGCGCTTCCTGTAATGATCTCTGTAAAAATCCATATAGGAGAGAGAATATAACTAATTGTCTAAAATATTCGTCGTGATAATATCGATCATGTTTGTTTATTATTCGTTCACTCTTCTTGCTAAGAGTAAAACTTATAATTTTCATCTATTTTACATTTTTCTAAGAAAATATACTTTTCGATAGTTGATCTAAAAACTATTAATTCACGGATTAAGAAAAGTCTCTGGGATTGTTTATTAATTTACATTCTACGTAAAGAATTCATTTTTACGTAAAGTACAAGGTAAAAATTTATGTGATTTCTTAGATAATTTATTTTACAATTTAGAAATTTTTCATATATATATTTTATCAGTATAGTTATTAAGTAAAAATATATAAAAGCGCGCGCGTAAAGTGAAGTTTCACAGGTAAGGTTTAATTGAAGTTCTCTGTGATTCACACACAAACAGAATTGTGAAGAATTAAAATAGCATCGTAAATGAATAGTCGTATGTAAAATTTGAGTTGTAGAATGTCGTGTTTTGAATACAAAATCTTTTGGATACACACAACAATAATCGTCTGTAATTGAGCAATAAAAATATTACTAATTCCATGCGAGCTCATCAGCTGTTTTACTTAAAGCAATCTATTAATATCACAATTATATATATACTTTATTTTATATTAAAAGTATGAAAAGAAGAGAATGAGTAGAGATTCTTTGCCATTTACATATAAATCTTTTATTTATAATGTTGGAAGTTGTATAATCAAAATGTAACGCGCAAGTAAAATCTTATATAAGCTCTTGAATTGAATTTTTTATTTCTTTCTATTCTTTTTAGTTAGTGTACGTGTTTCAAACTCTTACAAAATATAGAAAATAAATAATTTATCTCATTTTATAATATATGCATCTCTAGATCTAATATTACAATATTTTTCATCTTTTTAAAGCTAAACATTTTATACTATAGCATTATTCGAAGTATAAAAGATACAAAACATGTTGCTAAAAATAAAATTTAATTGAAGCGAATATGCGGAACTCAATTGATATGCATTATATAAGGAAAATTCCTTAATAAACATCATTGAGCTGTAAACTGGAAATGAATATTATTTAAAATTTAAATCATCCAACTTATATACAATATAATATCATGATTTCTATTTTAATATTTTCGTCTCTTGGTAAGTCATTGCGATAACCCTGTAGCGATAACATGTTCAGAAGTGAAGGAAAGAGTTTTTTTTTTTTTTTTTAGTAATCGCGTGTGACCAAGACCCTGCCACTTGATCTCGATTATTCCGAAGGAAGCGTCGGTGGCGCGCCTTTGCATCTCGTCGCAGCAGACGATCTTTGGCGCATTCCAGCGCATGATTCCCTCGTGCTCGCAACGAACAGCCGAGTACCGCAAACATGGCCGGGGATTTACGGTAAGCGAAATATTACGTCGCGCACGAAAGCGTGACTACTTTTCCCCGAGGATGAGGTGTCGAAGTGTCAAGGTTAAGTGTATCGATACGAGGCCGATAATGAAAATCGCGTTATTTTTAATAACGATAAATGAATTATTTGCAAAGAACGGAGCTCTTTATTTTAATGTCGACGTGGACAATTAATGACATTTTTGCACGATGAAATTATATCGCGTCGTAGAAGATAGGCGATACAGGTTATGTAATCGTCAAGGCAGATTCTTATCGGAGCGATTTCATAATGCGCGCTAAATTCAATGTTATTTTAAATATATATTTGTTATCTTTAATATTGCGGATGCTTTTATTATCAGATCTGTATAAAAATGATTAAATTAAAGAATCATATGTCAAGAAGAACAGTCATATGTAACATTGTTTTTGCATTGAATTTTATTAATAAAATTTGATAGACAGAGGAAAATTGATATATATATATATATATATATATATTATTTTATTAATATATGTATAATTAATTTCAGAGAAGGACTAGTACTTGGCATGGGAAATCCCCTTCTCGATATTTCAGCAACTGTAGATCATGAATTTTTAAAAAAATATGATCTAAAGCCCAACAATGCTATTCTCGCTGAGGAGAAGCACAAACCTTTATACGAAGAGTTAATTGACTTGTACAAAGCTGATTTTATTGCAGGTGGATCTGTACAGAATACAATGAGAGTGACACAAGTAAGTGGCATTTGTATACAATTATTGCTCGAGTGTTGAGAAATTTATTTTGACAAGGAAAGCAAAATTGTAAAACAATATGTAATGAGTATTTATGTTGTACAGTGGTTCCTACAAAAACCAAAAGTTGCCACTTATATGGGCTGTGTTGGAAAGGACAAATATTCAAAGATTCTAGAGGATAAAGCAACCACGGATGGTCTAAATGTTAAGTATCAATATACCGATCAAGAACCAACTGGCACATGTGCAGTGCTTATTACAGGAAAAGAACGCTCCTTGTGTGCTAATTTAGCAGCAGCAAATTGTTTCTCACTATCGCACATTGAAAAGCCAGAGAACAAGCACCTGATAGATATAGCAAATTATATTTATATATCGGTAAGTAAAGAGATTTCCTGATATTATACCAGCAAAGTATAAAATGCTGTAGTATAATGAAATTCAACATATTTTTAGGGATTTTTCTTGACAGTTAGTCCAGAATCTATACAAACAGTGGCTAAACACGCTTATGAAAACAACAAAATGTTTATGATGAATCTTAGTGCTCCATTTCTGTGCGAGTTCTTTCAAAAGCCAATGTTAGCTGCATTTCCCTATGTGGACATTCTATTTGGTAATGAGACAGAAGTGGACACATTTGCTAAGACCAACAATTTTAATACAACAGATAGGAAGCAGATTGCACTGAAGATAGCAAAAATGGAGAAAATCAATGAGAAGAGAAAAAGAATAGTTATCGTAACGCAAGGTGCTAAAGCAATACTTTTAGTGAAAGATGGAACAGTGACGGAATATCCTGTCATAAAACTGCCAGAAGAGAAAGTTGTAGATACCAATGGTGCTGGAGATGCTTTTGTTGGAGGTGAGTAGAGGAAATGTGATTTTTCATTACATTACAATAACAAGAAAAACACTTTTTATAAATTGGAAACATTATTTCAGGTTTTATTGCACAACTTGTACAAGATAAAAATATAGAAACGTGTATAAAATGTGGCATTTGGGCGGCGACGCAAATTGTACAAAGATCGGGATGTACTTACGAAGGAAAACCGAATTTCTAATCTTGATCAACGTCAATTCTATAGCAAGTTGGAAATTGAGTACTTAATAAACATTTTGACGTTTTTTTTTACCTAAATTTTTTTATCTTTTGTATCAGATTTATTGTACAAATGCAATTATAACAATTGTTAAATTTTTAGCAAAATATAAAAATTTAATAACTTGTATGATAAATTGTGACTTAACAATGTATACACAAAATAAATTTCGAATATATAAAATACTATGCATGCTTATATATTGTTATATAATTGCCTAATTATAATTGCATTTGCAATCATGCAAAAATTAATTTATATATATACTTGCACAGTTATGTATTAACGAGTTGTGAAAAGAACTAATTTATACGTATATATCAATTAGAAGCTAGATTTGACAAAGCTATAAATCATAAATATTGAAAATTATAAACTGCGCAGAATTCGCGCGCGTACTTACATTGCGACTCGCTAATTTACATATACTGTCGGAAAAATCAATACAATCACCGGGTATATGTAGATATTACGGACAAGTTGCTGGTTAGCTTCGCATACGCGCGGCCACTGGTCGGATGATATCGTCCGGGAGTGTAGCATATTCAATTATGCGAGATGTTACACGCGTGCGTCATGCGCGGCCGAACTGCGGAGTTTAGAGTAGGACAGAAGCTTATCGACCTGCTGAAAAACAGACGGAGAAAGACGGAAGATAAACGGTCGCCGAAAAGAGAGCGACAGAAAGAGAGACGGCGATTCTTGAAAAAAAAAAAATCAATAATCTCATTATGAAACTGCATTGAATATACCGTGTGTTTTGCATATAAACGGCAGAGAGGTAACGCATATCAGGGTCGTGCGAAATTAAATTTGTATCTTTTATACATTATTATATATTATATGATATAAATTTTTTTGCCGTTTAATTGCAAAATCGAGGTACTAATTTTTAATGGATATTAATGAGGAAACGTAAACAAAATTGTAAAACGCGTCATTCGACTCATCTGTCATTCGTCCAATTGTATGTATTTAAAATTCAATTTTCTCCTAATATTATTTCGAAATAAGAAAGTATTCCAGAATACGGCCCTGTCGCATCTCGTTCACAAAGCTCTCAGTCAGCTGCGTTACGTGGCATCGTCGTTGGCGCACGCCTGTCGCCTCGACAACCCAATTGGGTAGAAGTGGTTAAAACGGGTGCAAAAGGCGGGTGGCCATACAGCCGTGTCGGGCCGGTGCTGCTCGAACTTTGTATATGTCGTTCGGCCTCGTTTCTTCGCCGCCCCGGGTGCCGCGCGATCGCAGTTACATATATTATATATATAAAGAGAGAGGGAGACATGTGTACACTCTCATACACACTTGGGAATTTGTAACTCGCGCGAGACGCACACGTGTATATGTACACACAACACCTGTAACGGGCTGACGTGTATATATGTACGTGTACAGTCGGGTGCGTAACGATACGCGATCGTCCAAAATTTATATTATACGAGACATTTGTATTTTTTTTTTTTTTTTTTTTATAATTAAATTTGACAAGATTTTCATATATGCTTGTTAGGAGAAAATAAGGAACGGAATTGAGAATAATTTTCTTTTCCTTCTCTTTATTTTAATCGATACTCGCGCTCGGCTCCAAGTACTACGGTACTTCTTTCACCTCGAATAAATGTCATTGCCCCGCATTCGCGCGATGCCTCCGTCCTGCGCGACAATCGTTGAAATTTCGTCGAGCGAAGAGACAGAGGGTGTGTATATATATGCATATATATATACATACAATCCGGATCGTATACGAATATACATATATATATGCAGGAACGCGGGACATATGTACGCGCTAATTTAATCGTACACCATTTAGCGGGCACACATTTATATATATATATATACATATATAAATACAAGCGCGATAGATTCCCGCCGTTTCCGCGTGTGCGTGCGTCCGAACGTATACGTATGACGCACGTGTGCCGCCGAAAGAGGGAGAGAGAGAGAGAAGAGGGCGCGCGCGCGTGCGCGAGCGGGACGGAGCGAGCCGCGCGCTGATTGGTCGGGCGGGACCACGTGGTACGCTACGGCGTTCTCGTGCTTCATGCTTCCGCCGGAGAGCGCGCAGTGTGCGCAGTGCGCTCCCCACCGCGTGTCTGTAGTGTGTAACCCCCGCGCGCGCGGCCCGGCCGCCATCTTTGTCAAGTGGGTAACTTTTGTTGATTTGTGTGAAATGTGACGCCGTTGTCGCGGGATAATTGGTGATCGTGATTACGTATCCTAAGTGCGTCGATACTCGGTGGAGTCTGTTACCCGCGTACGTGACCGTGTGGATTTATCCATGGGATTCCTTCGTACAGGTAAACGTCCGCCCGCGTAAGCGAGGATCGCTGCGTGGAATAAACCACGCGAATCGTCGCCGTCGTCCTCGTCGTCGACGGCGCATACGGGGCCGGAGCGCGAAGCGTGAGAAAGCAGGACGCGAGCGAAATATAAAGAGAAAGAGAGAGAAAGACATTCTTGTATACGCGGTGTACATCGACGCCGCATAACATTCGCTCGTTTTTTCCTCTTCCTCTCTTCTCTCTCTCTCTCTCTCTCTCTTTCTCTCTGGCGGCCGGAGGCCGCTCGCGCGAGAAGAGGCGTCGACGAGGAGGAGAAAAAAATCGCGCGCGTCCCCGATGACGACGGCGTCGCCGTTGAAAACGCATCCGCACGTGAACGGGAAGCGGACGAACGCGGAGAAAGAGAGTGAGAGAGAGCGAGCAAGCAAGCAGAGCCGTGTCTCCGCTCCAAGATGGCTGCCCGTCGCACGGGCCTCGACAGCCCGCCCGCTCTCTCTCTCTCGTCCGTCTCGTCCGCGTCGGCGGCGGCGGCTCGGATCTTTCCGCGCCGCCAGGCGTCGACGAGCGCTCCGAGCCTCGTTCTAAGCGACCCGGACCCTTCCGTACGCGTTCGCGTCTCTCTACTCCCGTCGGGGAAGGAACTCGAGGCTCCTCCGAATGCGAGAAAATCCCCCCGATTTATTTTATCGCGCCAAATTTGCCTTTCACGATCGATCTATTCGTTCATTTCTCTCTCTCTCTTTATTTTCTCTCTCCTTTTTCGAAGCGACGGACCAAGTTGAAGTCGTCGACGACAAATCGTTCCTCGGCAGCCAGGAGCGGCAGCTGGCTCGCTCTCTCTCCGTCTCCCTCTTTCTTTCCGTCTCCGTTTTTCTCCGCGTCTTCACCTTGCTATTGCCGTCACTCGCGCTCGCCTGTTCGTTCGTGTTTCTTCCTTCCTTCGTTCGCTCGTTCATTCGCCCGTGCTCGCTCGCTCGCTCGCTCTCCGGGTGAGAGGGGCCCGACAAACACGCGCAGCCGGTGGCCTCTCTTCGCCCTCGGCCCCATCGTCTTGTCTTAACCGGACGAACGGCGGACAAATAGACGGACGTGTTCGTTCAGCCGGTATTTCATTTCGCCTAATAAGATAGCAGTGCGCGAACACAGAGAAAGAATCGTCCGTTCTCTTTTCTCTCTCGTTTTTTAACGCGACGATTCATCCTTTACTCGAGCGAGCATCTTTCCAGAATTTTTCCGTTCCAAATATGTGTGTGTGTGTATGTGCTATTCATGCACGAGAGCCGATTTTCAATTGCATCATTTAGGGTTCTTCCGGTTCTTCCAACATTGCATTCCAAGTTTTACCTGACAGGTAACAGATCTTCTTGGGACTTACCTGAGAGGAGACGAAAATATGCTACCTGTCTGATAAAACTTGTCGAGAAGTTGAAGAAAAATCGAGAGAAAAAATCCAAGTCGCATCTCTTTTTGACATTAGCGAAATGTCGCGAAAATTCAGTTATTCTCGATATACAAGTTACATTCGAGAAACACGTGGTCGGAGTTGTATGCGAAAAGCACGTGGTTTTCGGAGCAGTTGCTTCACTTTATATTTGTCGTCGAGGACGGAATCCGCCTTTGCCGAACCGACAGAGGAGAAGACGCTCCTCAATGAGATATTAAAAGTTGCGGCGTGTAGTAAAGAGAAGAGTACTATCTCTCTCTCTCATTGAAGCCACGATAAACGAGCAGTGTTCCATTGACGTTTCCGTGCGCAACACGCGACGTGAGGATTCGTTTGTCTCTCTCTCCTCTGTCTCTCCTTTGCTGCTTGACACGCGTTTTTAACCTTTGCCCTCTCGACTGTCCGCTTGAAAGGCTTCCAATTCCTCGGCTGCGTTTCTCCTTTCTAAATTATATTTAATCTCCAGGATCAATCGCACACACACACACACATAAACACGTACGAGATAGTGAGTGTACACGGAGAGAATTTTCTCTTAATTCACTCAACTCGTGATAATCGTGGGATATTATGGTATTGGAAGAATTTTATAATAGTATTAATATGTACGTAGTAAAATTAATCCGACATATTTTATATCTTATAACCTTTCGACTAAATATTATTTTATTCATAAGAATATTTGTAAGTCAGCTCTCCAATTGTTTTAAAAACTCCATATTCATCTCGACTAAGAGCCAAACGCGATGTTATTGCGACAAATTAAGCTAAGAAAATTTTTGGAAACTGAGGAATTTGAATCCTATGGTTGGGATCTCAGAAATTCCCCTTGTTCCTTCTCTAAACATCCCCTGTAAGAAAAAGACGAGAAAAATATTGGTCCGAAAGTCGGCTGAATCGGGAATCGAACCCGAGACCTTCCGCTTGCCGGGCGACTGCTCTTCCATTATTTTATTCATTCAACATATAGAAATATTTCGATTAAATGTAATATATGAAATCTAACAAAACGTATACTTGACTTAAATATTTATATTAGTTCAATTAACAAAATAGTAATCGAGTTAATAATTTTTTTTTTAGGGTGAATTCGAAGAGAAAATTCTCTCTGCGCGTAGAAATACAAAATAGCAATCTAAATTAAAGAAATGAATAGACTTTGTAATTTCGATTATTACGAATTAATCAATCGTTTAAATTGCAATTAGTGTGATTCGCGTTTTGTTTTCATGATAACTTCATCTTAAAATGGACAAAGCAATAAAATTGAGATAATGGGCAACTAGCGTTAATCAGCGGAGAGCCTTGAAGTGCAAACGGTTATGAGTGCATCTCCGAATTACGTCACATTGCGTCATTCTTCCGGTCATAATTATGTGAATCGCGCAATTGATTTTTATTATTATTTGATCGTGTTTTTCGTGGAAAGTTTAAAGATCTTGGCGCGATTTGTAAACAAATACATGCTATAAAAAATATCTTAAAATAATGTAACTTAATTTTAAATATTTAATTTATACTATATAAACGAGAAAAAGAAAGAGAAAGAGAGAGGGAGAACTCATTATTTTATTTAAATATTAGTGTATTAAAAAAATATTTTTCGATTCGGACAGACCGATAATTTTACATTTCTCAAAGTTTAGTCGAGAAAAATTTTCTTCGTTGGAATTTCTAGAATATTTACCGTTGACACGTTAAGCAATTCGATTTTTGAAAGCTATGTACGAATATTTCGTCGCAATAAATTACAACGAGCTACGCATGCGTCGGAATGAATTCCCTCGTTTCGAGAATGACCGGCAAGGCCGGATGTCGAAAGACCATTGCAACGTGGATTTGGCGGGAAATCGCCGACTTTGTTCCCGGAGGGACAGTCGTAGTTCGTAGTGTTTCGAGAATAATCGAGAGCACGTGGCGAGGAAATTCGATGGCGTGGATTTGGTTTACGGAGCCAGTTTTATAGTAAATTTTTACACTTTCTTTTCTCGGCACTCGAGAAAGGGTGAGAGAGGAAAAGAGAGAGAATCATCGGCATTATTTATTATCACTGGCCTAGGTCAATTTCGTATCGCATCGCCGGCACGCACAGCTGTCGCTTGATTCTCGCATAATTAATCCTTTCTGCGTTCGCTCGATTATAATATTGGATACTATTGCTCCGCCGAGACTTTCACAACCATTAACATTATCGCTGGATGTTTCATTTATGCCGCTCACTCGGAAACGTCTGAAATCTTCAGCGTCATCCATCATCATACGTATGTGTAAAAACTTTTATTATTAATTATTTTATTTTATGATTAATTTAACTTCATTTTATTTTAGTATTAAAATTTATTACAATGTGTGACATTAATTTTTTAAAATTTTAATTTAAAAAATTCATTTATATTAATTTAAAAAATATTTATATCGTAATTTATTTTGTAGATTATTATTCCAGAAATTTTCGGGCGGTTTAATCACAAAAATAATTGCATACAAAATTCAATTTCGTCTATATATACAGTTGCGATTGAGAGAAAATATTTTTTTCAGATTATCATTATTAAAAAACTAATTAATCTCTTATTAATGCCGCTCACTCGGAAATGTCCGATACAGAAAAATTTTACTTTATTATTATAATATGAAAATTTTTTACGCTGACACTAATTTAACAAGATTTAATTTAAAAAAATTTATATCATAATTTATTTTGCAGTTTATAATTTCGAGCGGTTTAATCACAAAATAATTGCATACAAAATTCATTTTCGTTTATATATTTTCGATTGAGAGAAAATATTTTTATCGCTAAACCAACGGAATCCCTTATTAATGCGTTCACGCGATTTCCAGCGATCGAAGCGTGCTGCATACGCGATACGGATATTGCACGAAAACGGTGGGTGGTCTTTGTGTCTCTTCTCGAACAATGGATCTCTCTCGGCCAACTCTACGGTCGAACACTCCGCTACGCTTACCTGAGAATTACGCCTCGTGCATCTCGCGTGCATTAAATAAATTCCATGTGTATGCATATATATGCCATCGGGAGTGTTTTAGGCGATCGATGTCGGGCGCATTGTTTCTCACGCTTCGATGGCATCCGCGAGAATCGAGGCTAACAAGGATCCCTCTTTTCTCGCCATTTTTTTCAATCGAAAGTTCAGCTATCGAGAAATTATTTTATCCCAACGATTTTATCGACCAAATAAATAAATAGTATTTATAGAGGGTTGTAGACATTTTTTTTTTTTTTTTTTTTTCAAATTTTGCTTAACAATTTTTGCTTCGAAAAGAACTTTTCTAATTAGTGTCTTACAATATCTGTTTTGAGATATTCAAGCCTCTTTTGATTCTCTAAAGATTAATTATAAAATTAAGTAAGAAATTATAAAATAATTATAATTATAAAATTAGGTAAGAAATGCAAAATATTCTCTGAATTTTAGGATTGAGATGTCAGCACTTTGAGAGAAATAACAACCTGCTTATGTCATAGAAGTAAATTTAAATTATTACGCATATATATCGTGTAATAAGTAGTAGAGTTTATTTCTTATATCTTCTATCATGAGGTTTTAAATATAAGTAATTAATAATTTATAAATTACTATAATTATAATTATCATGTAATTTTTTTCTAATAATTTAATATTGTAATTATTTTATTTACGAAAACATTTAAGATTGAATGGTTAATAATTAGGCTCGTATAAATTAAAAAATGATTAATAAGAGATAGGCCAACTAAACGAGAAAAAATGTTTAGACATTAAATAATTTTTATTTTATTACATAATAATTGGAAGGTAAACGTTTCAACTGTACTCACAACTTCTTCAATACACAAAATTAATGTTTTTGTTTATTTTTAATTTTGTGTATTGAAGAAAACTAAATATACAGTCGAAACGTTTACCTTCCAATTATTATATAATAAAACAAAAATGACTTAACATCCAAAAATTGTTTCTTGTTTAGTTGTCCTATCTCTTATTAACAATTTAAGAGAATTAAAAATGACAATTTTTCGATGCTATCATTAAGAAAAAAAATCCACTTCAAACAATCTATAAATGAGAAATGACTTGCCGAATTCGGGACACCCTATATATGCTGCATTATATCTCAGTTTCTTGGCAGGATGTTTATCTCGGAAACCTCAATCGATATATCTACTCCATTCTATTCTTGTGTCCGATATTACACTGATGCGACGAAAAGTTTGACGTATTGGCTATCGCATATTTTCTGGAAAATTTTCATCAAAAAATCTCAAAATGTAGAAATTCTTCGCGCAATCTTGCCTTATACGGAGACGTATTGTCAGGCTTATTCGTATATATTTTTTATTGTATCGCAGCCCCAGATCTCGGCGATCTGTTGTGCGCTTTCGACGTGAATACGCGCGACCCAATCTAACTTTATTTAAGTCGCGCGCGAGCTGTTCGCGTGTTGCGCAATACCACTGTCGGATACAGTGATTTTAAATATTTGCCCTGCGTATCGTTGTACGCGTACGTGCGTACGCGTATGCGTATGTGTACAGGTACGTGTCTCCGTCTCGCGAGCGCGCGAAGAGAAAGTTCATCGCTCACGCAGAGGAAAAGCGGACGATCGTTTCGCGAAGCGGAGTCGAAAATCGCGTGACCCAACCGTAAGAATCGAACGTGTGTTGTAACTACGTAAAGACGAACAAAGACGAACGCGTCGAGTAAATTCCGAATCGGGGGGTACCAATATTCTGGTGAGATATATTCGAGTCCCGAATGTCGCGAGCACGCGAAGATAGATCTTCACGGATGATGGAACGAATGAGTTTATAATTTGGAAAATTTATTGTACATTTTTCCAAGCATAGTTGCGTCGAGAGTTAAGCTTACAAATTATTCTACGCAGAGAGGATTTTTCTCTTAGAAGTTATTCTGAAAATCATGGTTATTCGTGGGACAGTATATGGTATTGGAAGAATTTTATAAGAGCTTCTCTAATTATTAATATTTATCACAAAATAAAAATATCTACCACAGATATAAAATATGTTTGATTGATTTTATTATATTTATTGTGGTAAATATTAATCAGAGAAACTCTTATCAAATTCTTTCAGTACCAATTTTCAGGGTAAATTCTAAGGGAAAATTTTCTTCGCATGTATGTTATAATAAAATTTCACAAAAATTAAATTTTCAAAAATTAGCCTGAATAACAAGAATAATTATTTAATAATTAGTCATGCGTCTTATGTCATTAGAGAAGTTTGCCTGTTACTGGCAATTAATTCAGTCGGGGTTGAAAAATATCAGGCTCAAATGATCTCGCGATATGCAAAAGGATAGTTTAGTGTCGGCGAGCGAAAAGTTTAGACTTTTGGTAACAGTTTGACCTTTGGTAATCCTATGTTCTATTTTCAGGGTCAGCGCAATAACCCGCGGTGAGAAGAGGACGCGAGAGGAGACGTCGAGGGCCAGCATCTCTAAGCCGAGAAACCGGAGAATTCGCAGCAGAATGTAAACGTCGCTACCGATTGTGACGTCGCCTATTGGCTGGAGGAGGAGGAGGAAGAAGCACTGGCTGTGACTTGGTCGTCGTCGTCGCCGTCGCCGTCCACGCCGCCGACGAAGACGCGATGGACGAGAAAGATTCGGCCGAGACATGGTCGGCCTGGTTTCTAGATGCGATTCGGAAGATCCGAAGCCAGAAACAACGGCCGAGCGTCGAACGAATATGCCACGCGATACGGCAGCATCACAATTATCACGAGGAGGAGATCGCGGAGCATCTCGAAGTCGCTGTCAAACGGGGCGACGTGCTCAAGATCTTCAACAAGGGTCAGTCCTCGTACAAGGACCCGGGCGGTTTGCACACCAAGACGCTCAAGGTCAGCAAATCGACGGACATCAGCAAGGTCATAGGCAAGGCGGTGCGCGAACTCGGCGAGCGCGACGGCTCGACCCTGAAGAGCATCGAAAAGTACATCAGGCAGAGCCACAGCGTCGAGGAGGAGGCCGAGGGCGATCTTAGGACCGCTCTGAGATTGTCCGCCAAACGAGCGGTCGATCGAAACCTCGTGATTCAGGATGGCAAACTGTTCCGACAACCGGACAGGCAGCCGATCAAGAAGCAATCCGACGCCGCTCATGCGCCCGCGGAACCGCCCGCGCCCAAGGTGAGTCACTTGAACCGCTCGTAAGTCGCGTAAGTCGATGATGACTCACTCGGTGAAGCGCGTCCTGTGACCCGTTGGAATTATCGACGGAGATCGCCGGAGATTGTCAGTTTCAGATTTTCTATCTTTGTCTTTTCTTACGACGTAATCTCTTGGTCGGAAGATAAAGATTTATTTTTATATCAGCATTGAATAATATTAACTTTGATTTCGTTTCTTCGTCTTCTCTGTAATTAAAACTCTTAGGAATACTTGTGCTCGACTTAATAGTTTTTAAGTTAAACAAGAAAATTAATAGACTCAATTATTTGTCATCAAAAGTAAAGAGAGAGAGAGAGAGCAAGTAATAAACCCATTAATTTAATTTTCATATATTTTTATCTTTGCTATCGCTATCGAAGAAACAGTTGCACGAGCATTGTTAAAGATTATGGCCTTTAAATTCGAGCGTGTTGCCTAACGATAGATATTTAAATACCTCAAGTGACGTTATCAGTTATCACACATGAATATAATGAAACCCAAGATTTCATTATCAGATTAATTCCCACGGATTGGGAAACGACGATTATTCCTCTGCAGATGGAAATAAACCCGATTCAGTATCTTGCGACGATATATATTCTCCATATAATTATCTGAATCGTAAAACAAAAAGAATTATGTATGATGAAACAAACTATATTTTCGACCCCGACATAAAATTCTCCAAATAAATAATAAGAGCTAAAAATCAATCGTCATGTTATATATAGGTCCTAAAATAAAAACGGGGCTAATATTAGCGCCTTTGGCGAATTTATCAATTTGTCGTACATAATGTTTCCTCGGCGTGCGTTGCCTACGTTATGCATCGCTTAGTTTACGCGCCGCTATACGCGCAAATGAGAACGAGAGAGCCTCTAAGAGCCGGAAAAATATTACGCCAGGTCACGCCGTAGTGCCCACGTTCCGGCGAGGTTGGGAACGTCGGTTGGCGGTCGCTGGGGTGGGACAACGACGAAGGGCGAAGGGAGGAAGAGGGAAGGATATAGAAGGTCGAGATCGCCGGGACGATCTGGGGCTATCTCGACCGACTTCCGGCGACTCCGGCGTTTGTATAACGCCTTCTCTCCCTCTTATTGATCCTTCCTCCGCGGAATCGCGCTCCCTTTCTTTCTCCCTCCGCGCGAAAAATCCTCGTCAACGACCCCGGCGCCGACGCGGGCCCGCCGTTTCGTCGCGCATCAGGTGGTGGACACCGGGGAACCCCCGGACGTCCGCTCGGCGTCCATTTTCCCGCGTTTTTTTTTTTTAATCCCGCCTTGCCGCGTTCCCGCTAATCGTTGGGCGCGAGGCCGATCGATCCGTCCACCGTGTGTAATGTTTTGCGACCATTTTGAAAATTATATAGGCAACCCCATCGCCTCCGATCGATTTCGACGCGAGTAACGCAAAGACAAATAAACTCGTCGACTACTGATATGAGTCAACTGTCTCCTGAAAAGCACGATTATTGATCCCTAACTAATCCAATAAAATGGAACTCGGGTTGCTGCCTGTTACAACCCCCTATCTTCATATTGGGCATTAGACTTAGTTATCAGAGAAGCATTGTAAAATTTATTTTTATTCAACGTATGACTCTTGATGCATTTATTATATCTAAATAAGTGCGAACAATTTAATTTTAGATGATTCTTTGTCGACAATTAAGGGAGTTTCTTATATACTCAAATCTCTCCCTGAGGAGTTACACTTCTCTAAAGAGGGAGGTAGAAATTAATTTTTTTCTCAAATTTCAGACAAATTTAAAAAATAAAACTTGGTGGATATTTTCTAATAAAAAAGAATATTTATTAATATTAAATATATATATATATATATCTCGTATAAGAAACCCCCCTTAATTTTCGACAAAAAATTATTTCCTAAAATTTTTCGCATTTATTTGGATAAACCCTGTATATCGCTTGAAAGAAAGAAAATAAGAAAATGAAAACTGTTCAAATTGCTTGTTTAGCTCTTTGAAAATATATCGAGACTTTATGATAAGCAGTTTAAGATTTGAGTAGAGGCATTACGAAATAGCGTGTGATTTTAAATAAAATTATTTAATTATCATTTAATAATCAATTTAGCTGTTATATAATATATATTTGCGATATATGCGATAACAGATCGCTCGGAGAACGACTTGTTTCGGCGCCTGTTTCACGCAACTTGGAGATGGAATGAAATTAATGGGCGATGTTGGCGCGCGAAGCATTCGCGAATACACGCGTAAAGGTGCGATACGGCGAGTCGACCAATCGCGCAACAGGTCGCTGCTGGTACGGAGGCTGATCGCCCGCATATCTTAATGCTTTCTCTGTGATTCACCATTTTCTCGACTCACTAAAACATGAGTGTTTTAAGCGAAATTATCCATCTAAATTATTACACAATGCTCGAATATTTCAGGAGATTATTGAACTTTCAAAAAACTAAATTTTTGAAAAATTAAGAACAAAAATTGACTTATTCAGAAACGAAATGTTCTTCACTTTTTATTTGCTGGAAATAATATGTAATTTTAATAGACATATAATTTACAGCTTATTGAAAATGTCTTAAAATATTTTTAGAGATTTTTCATACGTACTTTTCTTAAATATTCAACAATTTATATAAATATTTGTATTTTGTCAAATTATACGAATAATTTAAATATTAAATAATATATAAGTCTAAATATTAAAATTGTCACCAATTTATATATATATTCCCAAATTATTTTAAATTTATGTAAAACTACGAAGAAATTGTTCTCTCTCTCTCTTTCTGAAACAAAAAAAGTCTTTTAAATATGAAGAACTTGAAAAATGTGAAAAGTAATAGTGGAAAAACGTTTCGAAATTATCGTTACCGTTGTTGCATCGTTGGCGCAACGCGTTCTCACCCGCGCTCTTAATAAGATGCACCCCTCCGATGCATAAGAATATACCACCATCGAAATGAATAATTATGTTCCGCATCAGGAATTCTCGTTTCTCTTTTGTATACACGATATAGGTAACAATACAAGTAACGGTATCAAGTCGTCGATATGCAAAAATTGCAGCTGATATTTTAAATAATTTTACAATTTATAATATGGTGAAACGCTTCATAATATTTGATATTGATACTCTCTTATTAATATAAAGCTATTAATATTATAAATTCCATACACAGCTATAAATATATTATATTATAATTATAAAGCTTGCCCTCTGCCTATAAATATTATATTATAAATTCGAAACATATATATATATATATATATATATATATATATATATATATAATATTATAATAGATTCTGATATTATAAACTATTATATATTTATAAAACAAATTGATTTTACTTTGCGTTTTTCTGTTTCGCAGACGCCGGCGCCATTACCGATATGCAAGGAGTGTCTTGGTGCGACGGTGGTTGGCAACAACAACAACACTAAACGCAACGAGAAGCTGAGCAGATGCAGCGTCTGCGGCGCCGCGTTGCACAATTCCTGCGCGCCCGCGGAACTCTCGGTGCTCGTCGACCGAGGGATAACTTGGTCCTGCGACGACTGCTCGCCGATCTGCGCCGGTTGTCAGGTTGAACGAGAATCGCAGAATTATCTTGTCAAGTGCTCCGTCTGCGTCAATTGTTACCATCCCGCCTGCCTCAACCCCGTCCCCGACAAGAAGGCCAAGACACCCTGGCAGTGTGGACACTGTCAAACGGCGCATACGCCGGTGAGCAAGAGTGACGGCAAACGGGGCAAGGCGCAGGATGCGAATTCGTCCGACGACACCCCGAGCGTGAGGAAGAGGCTCAGCAAGTTACGCGAGAATCGAAAGTGAGTGTATTCGCGATTAATCAATCCTTTTGAGTATCACAGAAAAAACAGTATCCTTGAAAGAATGCAAATATGCCTTGATTCAAGTATATTTTATCCTTATAATAGCGCCAAATATAATTAATTTTGGATAAAGGATAATTTATTCTTAAAACAAAGTGCAAAATATTCTTGGTTGAAGCTGAAATTTACTTATAAATATTGCAAGAATAAGTGAGCATCGAATATAAGCGGTACTTTCAAATATATATAATATGAAGAATATAATAAGAATTATTATTACTATAGTTCAAATGTGACTAAGTTTGTTTTTACAATATGCGATTTTTAAAAACAAGAATATATCTTAAGGATAAAATATACTTCACACAAACTTATTTATTATTAAGGCAAATGAAAATTTGTGATTACAAAGAGCATTCTATGCTTAAATCAATCACAGAATAAAAATATACTTGAATCAAGGATTCCTTTTTTTTGTGATGCTTTTTTAAATTGATTTCGCGTTTGTCACATAATATTTGGAGAGAAATAATATATGTAGATTGCGTAATAATACGATTCTGTATACTAATAACCGGGATTAATCAAGTTATCGATGACCTATTTTGCAGATCGATGGTATCCAGAAAATGCTTGGCAAACGCATATCCCGGCAAAAAGGGCGGTACGGGAGTGGCTCAGGTGGACAGCAGCACGGACGGTAATGCGGGTGTTGTCCCCCCTCGTCAACCACCTTTGAATTCCTTTCCTTTACCACAACCCCCCACCCCACTCGCAGGCCAGGGTAGGCTCGAGGAAAAGAACGACAGGATCTCCAAGGAGAAGCAAAAGTTCTTTAGATTGAGTGCGTTTAATGCCGAGCACAGTAAATTGAAGCGGGTGGGGGGCGGTGATAAATCTAGACCCTCGCGGAACATTAGCGCTAGGTCGACTCGGGGTGCTACCGCGAATCCGAAGAAGGTCGGGACGTCACGAGTGTCTAGCAGCAGCAGCAGCAGCAGCAGCAGTAGTAGCAGCAGCAGCAGCGAGGCCGATAATAATAGTAGCGAGAGCTCGGAAGCTAGCGACAGTAGCGACGAGAATGACGATGAGGACGACGTAGCCGAGGATGAGGATAATAGCTTGAGCGAGAGCAGCGGCTCTTCCTTGGATGAAATCCAGGACAGAAGGCTCGAATCTCCCAAGGCGGTGAAGGGACCGTTTGTTTATAACGTAAATGAGGAAAAACCGTGGGGTTTCGCCGCCGCGGCCGCCAAGCTGAATGTAGATTCGCCATTCTTCAGCAGTATCACAAATACCTTCGGCGCGTCCTTACCTAAACTCGATGTGAGTGATACACCGACTTTTGGCTTGCACATACAGCAACCCGCTGCTGTTGCCAATTCGTCGGATAATAAAAAGAAAGACAAAAACGTCGCGCAAACACCGAGTAGCTATGCGAGCACGGATAACAAACCCGGGAGCGGCCAGTTGAGGAGCCTTTTCGATGGCTTGAGTCACTTTTTTTCAGCACCTGCAAACAGCAGGGCGAGATCGGCCGGTGTCCCAGCGCCGAATTACGCGCCCGACCGGAGGAAAAGGCCTAATGCGAACGATGTCTCGAAAACGAACAAAATTCCGAGAAGCACGCAAAGAAACAAACCAGACGATTCACCTAGCACGAGTAAACTCAAGGATCGAAAAAAGACTGAAGTTACCGCTGAGATATCGAGAGTACCGAAGCCTGGTATCTTTGTACCTTCCGACGAGAGCGTGTTCAGCTCGCTTAACGAAAAATTGCCGAGGATGACGCCTTCGGGTTTGGTGAAAACCGCGGTTAATAGTAAGAGGCATGAGCACGAGAGGAGAAAGTTGATGCGAGACGATGCGTCGTCGCTCGTAAAATGCGCAGCCGCGGATTCCTCGTCGCCGTCATCGTCGTCGTCGAGACACGAGCAGCGTAAGAAGCAAACGGCTGCGGATTCGAATACGCAGATACGCCACCCTGTGCCCGCCGTTGCGAAATCCTCAGGCCTCGGCTCCGATTCCTCCGTCAAATCAAATCCCAACCTAAAGTCCAATCCACGAGCCTGTACTAGCGCCACCACTACCAACACCACCACGACACCCCGCGCGACACCCTGCTCCACCAGGAAGGGTAAGAGTCTACCCCACCCGTTCACGAGTCCCCAACCTAAATAATGCACCCTAAAAAAAATTCGCAATGAAAATTTCCTTCTAACCCAATCCTCGCTCACGACCACGTGGATGTGTTGGCGGTGTGGTGTGGTAGTGTGTGTGGTGTACGTGCGTCTGATGACCATAACTTTTTTTCAAGACAACGTGATTGTTCCGATGATTTAGAAAAAAAAGTCTAAAAACTATCGAGGAAAATATTTAATTATCATTTTTCGTTCAAATAATTGATTATTATGACAATGATTCGTGAACAATCAGGTTTCTTGATAGGACGTTTATCTGCTACATGGTGTAAAACCAATGCTAACACACAATGCTATCGAGATATTAATATATTGTAGAAAAAAATGCAAGGATATGGTAATTGGGAGATGTACATCAACTGCAGCAATTGATAGAAAACTCGTTTTCATTTGTTTTACACTATGGATACTAATATGGTTATTGCATGTTATTAATCATATTATTTGGCTCTGGCATTTTTTTCCTTTAATCCACGCTATATTTAAAGAGATATTTGGTAAATCGAAAAATATTAGCCTCTACATTTATTATTTTAAATTCAAGTTTAATTTTTTTTTGTCAAGGTACTTGTACATACAAGATGTGCAATTATATAATTGCATCCGCAAGTGAATCATATCATGTACATATAACATGTTGCGCAATTTTCATTTTAATCTCTCATTGCATATTTTGAATTATTTCTTATTTTGATCGATTTACATTCGAAATTACATGAGTTTCATACATCAAGACAAGTTCTATTGTTGTATTTTCACAAGACAACTCTGACAAAAGCAAAACATATTACTTTTTGACTAAGTGTTATACCAATTTCGGGTCGTACTTCACACAAAACTGGACATGATGTTTAACGTTTAATCGGATACTTTAAATCAATTATTCATTCCCCGCTCTTCCTCTCCCTGTAAAAAGAAACGAGACCAATTTCCAGGCACTGAAGAAATAACGGCACTGGGTGGCTTATCTCACACTCAGCCGTCTTCTTATATCATTCACACTGGAGCCTACCTGCTGCTGCTGACATTTAGCAGGCATCACCGCCCTTCTTACCTTCACGAAAAAAAAAATAAGAGAGATCTTTCTGCCGTCGAAGAGCCAACTTTGATACTCTGCCAACACATCCCCCCAAATCTAACCCACAGCTTTGCTTTGAATACTACTCACATTTTTAACGGCAATCGAATTATTATATTCGCACATTCCTTTGACATGTTACATTAGGTTGCCTATGTGCCATGCCATTTAATTAATTTTGCTTTTCCTATAATTTATATCTGTTTAATTCCTCTAACGGAACACAACTAATTCTCCGTTAATTTTGACAAATTAGTTTACCAAGTCATTTTAATATTCGTCATCAAGCCAGATAATGTCATGGTAAAATTATCCTTATATTACGTACCTCGTGTTTAAAATAAAGTGTGATCGATACTCAAAATACTTCAAAATTAATATTCTTTGAATTGTGCATACAAATGATGTATTCCACGTTAAATTATTTTTGACATTTCTCATTTATGAATTCGTCAGTTTTCTTTTACATGAAACACATAGTTTTCCTTATGTTTTTTCATACAAGTTGCAGTCGTAGATGGCAGTGTCGTAAACATAAAATACAATCGATCGTATCAGTAATGAAATACACAAAATACAAGTCTGATTGTAACAAGTGTAATAGAAAAAATTATATTTGAAAAAAAAAACGATATTAAAATAACAAGTCGCCACGTGGATGCATTAATCTTGAAAATTCATTTTTTCTTCTTTTGCAGAGGAACCCATCGTACCGCAAACGTTGCCATCAGGTGTCAATCAAAAGGACGTGGATCTAATCAAAGAGGCTCGTGAGAGGGCTCAGTTGACCGTGAGCAGCGACGAGAACGAACAATTGCTGTGCGTCAACACTCCGAACGCGTCAGGCACCGTACCACGCAATCCTGCCGCGATAGTATTTGGTCGTTACGAGGTAGAGACATGGTATTCGAGTCCATTTCCTCAAGAATACGCCCGATTGCCCAAGTTATTCTTCTGCGAGTTTTGTCTCAAGTACACGAAGAGTCGGGCCGTATTGGACAGGCATATGGACAAATGTCAATGGAGGCATCCACCCGCTACCGAGATCTACAGATGCGACGGATTGTCCGTGTTTGAGGTACGTTATTTATTATTACAGTATAAATATTATTTATCCGTCCACTTTTGATCTCGTTTGACGGTGACAATTGAATGGGAATGTTTTAATGTTCCAGATTGACGGTAATGTAAACAAGATATACTGTCAAAATCTGTGTCTGCTAGCAAAGTTATTTTTGGATCACAAGACTCTCTATTACGATGTAGAGCCTTTTCTCTTTTACGCCATGACGAAAAACGATAAATACGGTTGCCACTTGATCGGTTACTTCAGCAAGGAAAAACATTGTCCAGCTCAGAGGTACAACGTGTCCTGTATCATGACGCTGCCGCAGTATCAGCGACAGGGTTTCGGCAGGTTTCTCATAGAGTTCAGTTATCTGTTGTCCAAAGTCGAGGGCATTCCGGGAACACCGGAGAAACCGCTCTCGGATCTCGGTCGAGTATCGTATCATTCATTTTGGAAGAGTGTAGTGCTCGAGTATTTGGACGCTCATCGAAACATCAACGATATCAAACTTAGCGACATTACGAAGGTGACCGGCGTGTCGGCGCATGATATTGCGACTGCGATGCAACAGCTTGGATTTATAAGATCGGTTCACTTGCCGGGCAACGGAAATATTAATAAAGTGGCTGTGGTAGTCGATTGGAGCAAGGTAGATGCTCACATGACGAAAGTACGAAAGAGTACCCGCATCAAACTGGATCCCGATTGTCTCAGATGGATACCGTTGCTCACGCAAATCCCTAATCCGTATCACAGTCCGGAGGAAAGCGTTGACACTAGTTCGGAAGTGTCTCCTACGGTAGAGCCTAAACCTGCGCCGGCGGTCGTCGAGAAGATACAAAAAGTGAAAATAAAGAAGAAACCCAGGGGAAGGAGAACGAGCCAGAGGAGATTGACGCCTTTAAAACCGAAGACTTTGCAAAAGACTGCGACATCTCACAAGTACACGACCAAAGAGGGGAGAAGTATCAAAGATACGAAGGAGGTTAAAGCGATGAAAGAATTGAGAGAGCCGAAGACATCCGCAAGGGAAAGCCGTAATGTCGAAAGCGCGGAGAGTCGGAAAGATGCAGAAGCTAAAAATGTATCTACGCCAAGAAATTCACGCACTTCTAGCTCGGCAAAAAATACGACTCCGTCTACTCCACCGAAAGCGGCGCAGATAATGACGATGTCGAGGAGAAGAGTTAGACCGCCTAAGACGCTTATATCCGAATCAGTCATCACGCCTTTGAGAAAACGAAAACATTCCGAGAAGATAGAGGTCGAGGAAGAGAAGTTGGAAGTCAGTAGTAGAAAGAGAACGCGAGAATCTTTGAGGGAGAAGGAAAAGGAAAAGGAGCGAGAAACGCAGCGTGAACGAGAGAAGGAAAAGGAGAAAGTAAAGGAAAAGGATAATAAAGCGAAGGAAAAGGAATCTGCAAAAGAAACATCGATGGAAACTAGGAAGACACCACCCAAAGTGGATTCGACGCCGAGTCCGCCCAAACCAGCGAAGAAGCAATGCAAAGTGGACGATATTTTACAGAAGGTTACCAGCAGGCAAACTAAATATTTGCAAGCGAAGGAGAAAAAAGCGCAGGAGGAGACCATACAATGTAATGGCAAAGAAGAAGCGCGAGAAGTGAAAAACTTGCCGCTGTCTAGGCGAGGTAGAGGTAAATCGACTGTAGAATCTTTGAAGATGCCACAACTTACGCCGGAATCTCCGAGGGCGAAGAACCGAGCCGAGAGTCCTGTGATACCACCTCCCTCGTTGTCTCCGCCGCCTGAATCCGTGAAGAGTTCTCCGATTCGCAGTAAACAGCCGTCCGTGCCCGAATCGCCACCCGAGAAGCACTTTAGTAATGGAGACAACAAAAGTGAGAACGTGGAAGACAATGGACTACCCGTGCCCACGGAAACGGAGGTGGTGTCTGCGAGTTCCGGCGAATACGAGGGCGGCGATGAGGATGAAGGGGAGGAGGAAGAAACAGTCGCGCCGACGCCTAAACTCGTTACGCAATCGGCCTCGCCCGATACGGAGAACCCCACGACAGAATCATGCGAGAATGAGAAGGCGGATGATAAATTACTGGAGAGGAACAACGATGAGAGCCCACTAGAGAAAGCGGAAGCGGATCCACCATCGACGGTGATAAGGACTTTAAACGAATGTGATAAGGACTTCGAAACTGACAAACATCCCGTTTGCAGTCCGGAGACATCGAAATCAGTACCTGAACCAGTTGCTTCGCCAAAAGAGGAGGAAGTCGAGAAAAGTATGCCGGAAAGTATGCCGGAGAAGAATGGCCGTGATAGCCCTCCTAAAGAGAAATTCGATTGCGAAACGCCAAAGGACGCTGCAAAAATCGACTTGTCGCGGCCGAAAGTAGAACCTTCCCCCGTGGAGAAGAAGGACGCGTGCGCCCTCGGTCCTAACACGGTGCTGACATCGGAGACCGAACCGCTTACGCCGCAAGAGAAAACCCTGCCTACCGTGGAGCATCAGGACACGACCTTGCAATTGCAGAGCCATACGGAGGAATTGAAGCAACACTCGCCCGAGAGCGGCAAGACTACGCCGCATCTGGAGAATCCAGGCTCGGTGAAGAGGACTCCGCCGTCGCAACCCGACTTGCCGTCTATGGGAGTTTACACGCCGGACTCGACCACAAATTCCGTACACTCGTTGCATTACGGTCAATGCGATCTGGACGTTAGTCAACTGGGCCTGGAATCGCCGACTTCTATAGCCAGCGATCTCGCGTCGCAGAACAGCGTGGAGAGGCCGCCCAGCGCGTTACCGTCGATCCCGCCACCGGTCAGCGTGCCCATGCAAATCACCACGCCAGTGACGTCGACACCGGTGCCGCCTGTCAACATGCCGCCCCAGGTGCAGTACGCCACCGACTGTAGTTCGATATCGCAGCACACGCCGCCGGCGCATCATCCAGGGATTCATCCGATGCATCAGTCGCAGTCTCTGCAGCAGCCGCGTACCCCGCAGTCGCATACTCCGCAGAGTATACCGACGCAGAGTCCGCAGCCTCTTCCGCAGAGCCACACTCCGCAACCGATGCCGCAGACTCATACACCACAGAGTATACCGACGCAGAGTCCGCAGCCGCTACCACAGAGTCATACGCCGCAGCCCTTGCCCCAATCGCACACGCCGCAACCGATGCAACTGTCCCTGGCGCAGAATCAGAGTATGGCCCACAGTCAGTCTCAGCAGTCGCAGCAGCAGCAGCAGCAACAACAACAACAACAACAGCAGCAACAGTCGCAACAACAACAGCAACAGCCGCCGCAACAATCTCAATCGCATAGCAAACGAGCTAGTTCGCAAACCACTCACAGATCCAGATCGACGCAGCAGAGCAGCAGCAGGTCGCACCGGGCCACTCCGCCGACCTCTCACACTACGCAAGCCTCTCAACATAGCGCCGCGACGTCGCAGACCAGTCACAGCAGTAGCGTTACGCATGTCGCGGTGCCGCAGTATCAGCAGTCCCCGTCATCGATGAGCGTGCCGCCGGCGGTGCCGCATCCGCACTCGCACACCCCGCACGCGCACTCGCACAACATGACGGTGATCTCCCAAAGCAATTACATGGCGGTGGCGGGCTCGCAGGGCTTCCCCACGCAGAACACCTACGTGATCCAGCATCGTAGTGGGCGCTCCGGGGCGCCGACTCCTTGCACCACCGCCACCAACTTTTACATACAGACCAGCGCGATGCCGCCGCACTCGCATACCCCGGCACCGGCGCCGCTCTCCGCCTCGGGCGGCAGTCACCAGGCCACCAACTCGTGCAGCCTAGCCAAGCTGCAGCAACTGACCAACGGTCTGGACATCATATCGCCCACCCCACCGCCGGCGATGAACCTGACGCCGCCGCCGCCGATCCCGCACACCATGACGCCACCGCAGACGTCGCGGCAGCTACCGACGCCGCCTCAGGCTCAGCTATCGCTTGGCTACGCGAAGAATTATTACAACGTCAACACGGTACCGCCCGGCACTCCCGGACCACCCAGTCGATCCGCCTCGCGATCGTCCGCGAACGCCAACATGCCGTCGCTCAGCCAGCCGTATCCCAGCGAGAGTCTCTACCGGCAGACCCTCGACCCGGGTGGCACTTGTCCGCAGATGCAGAGCGCCGCGAGCCGCGTCAGCCCGAACGTCGCCCTCAACACGAATCTCATGGCAGCTGCTCAGTACGGATATCGTGTGGCCCAACCGGCTACCGGTTACATGAACCAAGCGGCCCAGCTAGGTAGCTTCATGAACCAGTCGAGTCAGCTGCCGGTGGGTATGGTGAACGTGCCGACGTATCCGCAGGACCCGCACCAACAGAATCCGGCAGCAGTCTACACGACGTACGGCTACATCAACGGCAGTCTCATGCAGCCCCTGAACAGCACGATGAGGCCGCGCTAGCCGTTGATCTCCCCCGACGTTGGACGGGCGGACAAGTCAACTTCTTCACGCGACAAGTTAACGCTCTCTTCGATACGATCGCCGACGTGAACTCGTCTACGACCTCCTAACAGGACACTCATCTTTACTTCCTCGACCACCACCCGTTGCTTCTGTCCGCCAGCCAGCTAGTCAGCTGTAGCTCCCCGTTCTCTTCTCTTTACACATATACACCCTGGCTCGTTTGCAACTCTCTTTCTCAATTTAGGAAATGGTACATAGAATCCTCCAGAGGCGAAGGTGCTCATTTCTGCGATTTTGCTGACAAGAATGCCGCATTCGACATACTCGATGCGGTGATTCGCGAGAAAATATCTCAAGTATCTCTTAATAGAAAACACAGGATAGAATAGAAGCGTTGCGTTCGGCGCAATCCGTTTTTTCTCAAGTATATACCATTTTATTTTTATTCTTTATCTCGATTAAAACTTTATGAAATATATTCGCGAGTAACCAATGTATCAGCGTATATATTTCACATATTTCGTATACGCTAATACAATACGCTAATATTACATTCGAATTACGTCGCGTATCGTGCGAAAAAATACATATGCCCGATGTTTAATTCCAGACTTATTTTTAGAAAAGCAGAAAGATAAGAAAGAGAGGGAGAGAGAGAGGAAGAGAGAAAGAAAAGGATGATTAATAAATATCCTTCCGCTTCTTCTCTACTTAAGTCCATCGACAACTAGGGATGATTTTTCTTCTCTATGCTCGAGGAAGGCTCGTATTAAACTGATTCTTAACTTGTCGACACAAAGATTGCACACAAGGTACAATTTAATCATAGTTATCTTCTTTCGAGAGCACGAGTAAGCGTCAACTCGTGCGTTTTAAATAAAAGGAAAGAAAGAAAGATAGAAAGAAAAAAAGAAGAGGCGAAAATGTTATCTTGGATATGGATTTCATTTCAATCGGCCAAGATACCGCTTTCTCTTTTTCTGAATAATCCCATAATAATCGAAAGAGAGAAGAGTGAAAAGAAAAAAAAAGTGCGGATACCTATTTTTAGTAGGGCATTCCTTTGCGAAACCGCAGCGGTGTTACGTTTTATGTATTTATATATATATAAATATATATAAATATTTACGAATAAAAAATATTCTGTTTGATATTATCGATTGTTGAACGTTGTTGTTTATTTGGCACACTTGTACTTTACTGTATCATAAAGAAAAAAATAAGTAACTACGTATCGCTATGATAATCCTCATTGTATTATTACGGAAATCGATTAATTCATTGTCGCCGACGTCATTTTATCGGTATAAAAATCCATCAATCTCGAGATCATCATCAGCGCCATCGTTCGCATAATTTTTATCAACTGTTAATATTATTATTATTATTATTATTATTATTATATTATTATTATTAATCAATAATCTCATTATACTATTATGACAATTATAATGAAAAGCGTACATACAGATACACTCACACACACATATAGACATAATGAAACGTAATCACACACATTGTGCGTTATATTTTAATTGTCGCATATACGATATCACACGCATTCACATTCGGTATTCATTATAGTATGTTTTTATTATCTATCATTGTGTGAGAGAGAGAGAGAGAGAGAGAAAGAGAAGAGAGAAAGCGCGCAAATCAGACTCTTCCACGAAGCGTCCCGAGATTCGCGTTGAAATTATTTTTTGTATCGAAAGAGAGAGAGAAAGCGGTCCTTTCTTTCAAGGCGAAGGAAAGTGTAACGGTAACGTACATACGTATATATTCACGTTACCCTCGTAAATATATATCACCCTGAAATATGCGTAATTTCCCCTCCCTTTCATCCTTTGTCCCTTTCCGTCCCTTCCATCGTTGGGCGACGCTTCGCGGAACTGTCAACACGTCAACAAAAAAAATAATATATTTATGGTACGAAGCGTTACGAGTTTAATTTTTTCAGACGAGAGAACGCGAAAAAAAAACGCGAGACGGAAGAAAATGGCAGATCGCCTAGTTTAGGCTTAACTGAATGATAAGATATAATTAATAATGTATAAAAATACATCAATATTTATTGTACATAGATCTAAAAAAAAGACTACTAACAAATAAAAAAGAAATCAAAAATATGTAATCGCATTTTAATCCTCTCCAGATATTCATCACCGTATATGGAGCCTCCGGAAAGTCTTTCGCTACTTCATCCTGCATATAAAAATTGCGATCACGCTCTATCTTGCTCGAAAAGAGAAAGGAGGAATTATTAAATTCATATAATTCGGAAAATATGAGAAATATGCATTTTTTAATAATGAACTTGGTCCCTCGGGCTTTCATTTCAATCCCTTCACTTACTTTTTTTTTATTACCTCGAACGTGTGGACAAACGCTTCCTCTTATGTTTTCTCTCTTGGCGTCGTCTCTTTTCCTCGTTGGCGAGGTCTACGTACTTCTTCCGTTGTTCAGGAGTCATCCGGGCCCACAGTTTGCCCGCAGCTCGCGCTATCACGGTGACGTGCTCCTTTGGTTTCTTGCTACGCAATCTCAGGAAGAAGATGAGGAAGGGATTCGTCGTTCGGATATCATGCTTGTCACGTGAATTTTGGCCAACCGCTTTGCCATTTCCGAGTCGTCGGTCTTTTCTAGTATCTGCGCTACGTGAAAGACGAAACTGCAAAGTACGCTTTTGCGTGGTCGCTTGTTGACATTTCGATATCTTTATCCTAATTTATGTCGAAAATTAACAATGATTCTTGATCCTTTCGCTCCTACACGAATAATTATCCGATAGGAAAAGCACTTTATCAATTTTATAAAAAGCCCAGAAAGAACGGAGAAATTTAGTCAATGAAATATATTTTTCAATATAGATACAAGAAAATTAGTTTTTACCCCTAACATTGTGATTTAAAATAATATTCTTAAATAAACTATGTCATAAATGATTACAAGTGTGAATACGTTAAAAATTAAAATAAATTATGTGAAATGACGGCGTTGCTTTTGTTATATAAAATACAATTTTTTGTACCAGCCGTGATTTTCCTTCTTACTATCTTTCTGAGTCTTAGAAGATTGCGCAGAGCTGGCGTTTCCCATTTTAATTTTATATTACGAAAGTATTAACGATTATCTTGACAATTAGCGTTACTGGATAATTTATTATTAATTATTTCCATCAATCCCAGCCGGTAATTTTGTCCAAGGCAGTTATCACATCGGCATTTATATCGCGAAAGACTATCTCTTGTTTTTTCAAAAGACAAGCACAATTTCGATATTAAAAGTGATGTAGATATAACTTATAAAATGGAATAATTCTAAATCTTTGTGATGTATGTAAGAGCAATTCAATACCTCACGTGTCTTATTCTCTATCATTTCTTTAAAATAACTCATTTTAGAAAATTTACAAGATTAAACTCTTTGAATAATTTTCTAAATTACACGATATGTCAACAGAAATCAATAAATTTTATTAATAGAACTGTCCCGCATGAATTTTGTTACGAATAAATTATCTGAAGTATTCTTAACACAGTCTCTAATTAGCAACAGAACATATATATAAATCTTATAAATAGTAAACGTATATAAATATATACTATATATAGATAATAATACAGAAATTATATTTTTCTATATACAACCAAGGGATTGATAAAAATTTATTCTATTATATTTTGTTACGTTTACGTATAAATATATATTATATTTTATTTATTATATATTATTTTTTATTAATTTTTTACGTGCAACATTATAATTCTCCGCCAGCCTGCGCCGCTTTCTTTGGTTTCTTATTTTTCCACTTATCAGGACAGTAACAAGCCACTTTCTGGGCATCGAGGAAGCTCTTGCAACCCAATGCGGTTGTCCCTGTGAAAAGGACTTTTGCAGCAGCTTTACATGTGTTGACAATGGTAACACCAGTAGTCTGGTATGTATCGCAATATTTGTACAAGCATCTCTTGAATTCTAAATCGCATTTCTCCTTGTCCGTATTGCAAGTGTCGTAGCAAATGTCGTGAATATCACAGCACTTCGTCATTTCAGTGAGTGGGAGATATTCTTGATTTACCTGTAATTACATAATACTTATATTATAATTTATTTAATTACATTTGAAGAACAAAATTTTAGTTCATTATATTTCACATCAATTTTGTATTAATTTATGTAATAAGATATATAATTAAAATATCTATATTAAATATAGAAATAGCACAAACTAATTAAAAACAATTACGTCAGTTATAATTTATAATATTATTCCAAATGAAATTAGGAATTTGATTAAATTATAAATAACAAAATGCGGTATATATTTGTTTGCTCAATTAGCCAAATAATTAAACAGGCAACATATGTTACGCATGTAATATTATTGTAAAAATAATTCTCAATATTTTATTTATCTATATAGTTTCCTGAGGAAGTGCCTCAGACACCAACCTCGATTCCGAGAGAACCGCATCCGTTGCTTCGCGGTTTATGATTCCAGTCTGGCTTCGGCGTGGAACCTGAGAAATTCAAATAACGCGCCATTAATCGCAACACGTAAACCATGGCTACGTTCTACTTGGCGATCGCGAGGTAATCTATCTTTGTTCTATTTTCAGCGAAGAACAAGGATGACATGATCCCGCGAGCGCTGAAATCGCCAAGCGGAACGCGTCAGCTGTTAGCTGTCAAAAACATTTCGATAAAAAAAAGGGGGATCTTTCTTTTTTATATAGCTTCTACATTTTTTATATCTTCTTCTACATTTTTAAAATCTTTTTCTACATTTTCTGCATAGAAAAAAGACGCATATTAAAATCCCAAGAGAAAAGGAGGGAGAATAGATAAAGTGTACAGCGTGCGAATCGATCGGAATCAACCAATAGCGGCGCGCGTAGAAAATGATAACCTGATAACGCGATATGAATAAAAGCACGAATGCGTGCATAATTATATACGGACCATCGGGACACCGAAAGAAGCAGTTCTCCTCCACCGCGGCGTCGAACACCTCGTGTATGTCCTTCATCTTCTTCGCGATAGTTATGGCGTTGGCGAAGAAATCTTGAAAGATTGTCTCCGCCGACAGCACGGCGTCCCGTAAATTCGTCAGCAAACCGGCGCCGTAGCCGGACCAGGCGTACGCCAGGAACGTCAACACGTAGACGATGAATTTACGATATCGCGACAGATCCATTCCTCGCGAGAGAATCTCGATCCTTTTCTTCGGGGTCGATACGGTTGGACGATCTCGTTGGACTGCGGATATTTTTAGGTGTATTACTTAAGAACTATGTCCATCATCGCGAACGAACACGTGGTGTTCGCGGATTGTGGACTTAAAATATTAAAATTATTTATGCTCCCGTTTCTTCTATTTGCATCACATTACACTTTACACTTCCCGGTTCTAAGGCGAAAAATAGATACTCTACTTAGGACTCGCGACAACAGAGTAGAAAGGGAAAAAAAGTGCAGAAAGTGTAGTCGGATGACAAATTTATTTCTAATCTCACGTTGCGAGTGTTACTTGTAATGGAATTTACGACTTAATTTTAGCATAATTTATATAGATACTAAGTACACACAATATAGCTGAAATGACTTCGTGTTTTGTAAATTTTATATATCGATTTTTTCTTCAAAATTAATTTTAAAAGTAATTTAATTATATATATTTTAATTTTAATTAATTATTTATATATTATTCAAAAATAAAATCTATTCTATTGATATAAAGAAAACGTGTTTTCTTGTGTTTTTGCATAAGTATCATCACACATATACAATAATAATATTTTCTTATGTTATATAGAAAAGATATTTCATTTTATATCAAACAAATTATTTTTCATTTGTCCCAAAGACACTTCATAAATTAAAATTCAAAATTTTTTCGCAAGTTCGCCACTCTGGTACAATTTCTTCACATCGGTACCACCTCCTAAACACTCTCCGTTGAGGAATACCCTGGGCACTGTTTTAGCACCCGTTATTTCGCCCAATACATCTTGTATATCTTGCCCATCTTCTCTGTTGTCCAATTCTATTACTGTGTATGGTTTTTTCAATGATTCAAAAACCTATAAACAGTAAAGTAGAATTAATAAATAAATGATAAATTAAGATAGAGTAACTCCATAATAAATTTTTACTTCTAAATTTAATACAATATAAAGGATCACATTATGATTTGTTTCAAAAATTTCAGCTTACTTTTACAAAGAAAACTTCGTATAGAATTAAAAACTTTAAAAAATTTACTAATTTTTAATTCTATATGAGATTCTCTTTAAACTTTTATATTTTAGATATTCTTTTGAACTAATTGAATCGTAAGATTGAAAAATTATTCTATTCTATAAAAAAATTACCTCTGTCTACCCATAATAACATTGTTGTCTGTTTACTATTTAATTGCCAAAAGGATTTGTCTATTATGGACAAGAAATTACTCTTACAGAATAAAAGTATAAATACCTCTTTGGCCATTTTGCAGTATGGGCAGTAACTTTTGGAAAATATGACAACAGAATCCTTTGCGATGAGTTCTTGGACAAGATCTCGTGTGGCAGGCATGATTGATGACGCCTTTGTACTGGAAACTGAACCCATTCTTTTGAGCTAAAGAGATATCATTCATTTCAACTATGCCTAGCATGTTTGCGTTTAAAGAATTTAAACTGTGTTCAATTTCTGAGATTGTACAGATATTTATTCTATATACTATGAACTAATATTAATATATGTATATATAATGATTCTTCTTCAAAATATAGACTTTGTAGGATTATCAGCTAGCAGATCAGACACAGTTTCAATCATTTATTAGACACTTTCAGCACTTCCCATATAATTACATGTTGCAGGAAAATTCATGCACTTTGTTAATCGAAATATTTATTGAATAAATATTTAAAAAATTATTATATAGAGAAAATGAATTCCATCACACGTGTAACTCTGTTTACATTTTTAGGTGTAAAAAATTACTTGGAAATGAAAATAAGTCTTGAGCTGGACTCGAATTTCCTTTCTACTTATATCGCAAGACTGTAATGTGGTAAAGAGAAGTTATTTCAGCAGACGTTGTTATCTGAGCTGAATCATTAATATAAGTGGCGAGTCACTGATTAAAACCCCAGTGAACAGATAAATAAAATAAGATAATTATTATGTTGTTTCAACAATTAAAAATTTTTACAAAGATTATACAAAATTAAAAAATAATTTTTTTTTTCATAAATGAGTAATTCTTCACTAAATAAAATCAAAATAGATGAATTGGATTATTTCCTGCATTTATTATTCTTTTATATTATAATAAGAGTATGAATCGGCGAATCACATAACCTCTTTCCTCTTTTAACAAATTTGACTAGATTAATCCATCATTTATTTCAATAAAAAGAATAAGATATAAGTGTAACTTGTTAATAAATATTCTACAGTTTGCATATATAATTTGCGTTATTATATATATATATATATATATATATAATCGATAATAAATGATAAAGTATTTTAGTCACGTCATATGTTATCGAGAAAAATCAATGATAATTATCTGAAAAAAATATAAAAATCACGTGTCCGTGCAGGTGTGTAAACAAAGGTAAAAATTGTGCGCACATACATGCAAAAAGAGTCTTTTCTCGATTCGGTGAAGGCAGGTAATCGTAACACATGGCAAACGTCAGGAGAGAAAAAAGCACTCGACTCATCATCCTTACCTCTGATTATTCAGCTGCGAATTATATTGACTACAGATATATTTTCGCAAGAATGTGTTAAACGCTATCAATAATTGAGAAAGAGATATCGTATATTCCCAGCACGCGACACGACTGCTTCAACTCGATTGACAGTAGTTTTACTCTACAGTTCGGTATCTTCATTATCAATAAGTGTTATAATATATGTATGTATGTATATATATATATATGTATGTATGTGTGTGTATATATATATATATATATATATGTACTCTTAAAATATTATTTTATATATATATATATATATATATATATATATATATATATATATATACATATATTTTCAAGTTGAAATCTAAATAAATATTGATTTTTAATCCTTTAATTAAAAAAATTTTGTTCAATTTTTTTTCTTAACTTTCTTATTTTATTACATATTTTATGTGATTTAAATAAATATAGAGGAAAATCTCGACGTTAGTATATCGACTAATCGAACGTCACAGCTCCAATTCGCGAGACCCGTGGGTCGACGGTGGCAGTTGACGGTGGTCGATGATTATCGTGTTGGAAGTTGGAAGTGGTGGGAAGCGGTGGGCAAGTGGTTCTCCTCGATACTTGACGTATGTTGGCGAACGTTCGACGAATGTCGCGAATTATCGGACTCTGGTAGCCGTGGGATTTCTCTCGCGATTCGGTCATGACGTAACGACGAAAATCGCGCGAGATGAGTAGAACCGCGAGATCCCTGGGTCCCTGCAGGGGCGGCCTGTACGTCATCGAGAGCGAAGTATGCCTCCTGATGACGGCGATGCGGCGAGGCGCCCGATGGTCGTCGCACTCCTACCAGGTTAGAATAATTCGGAGTTTTGTTTCTTCTTTAACAAGCATTTTCATCTATAAAGCAATTGGTGTCAGATACATCGAGCATTTTGTCTATTTTTTGTTCCTGTCAAATCTGACAAATTGTAGAAATCGCTTTATGATGCCTGACACTTGTGTAAATTTGACGTGGACTATTGACATTAGGGTAGATCCCTAAAGTGTATTTTGACGATGCAATTTAATTTCTAGGATGACGATCAGGATACCTTAATGAAGGGTTTGAATACCTTGAGGGAAGTGTTGAATGAGCATAGAGATCTGTCTCAATTGGAACCTGCTGTTTTTCTTACCCCCTTTCTGGAAATTATAAGATCAGAGGAAACCACAGGACCTGTGACTAGTCTAGCACTATCTGCTGTTAATAAAATAATTTCTTACGGGCTTGTTGGTTAGTCTCAATTGTTGTAGTAATTAGAATTCTTATCTTTTCTGTGTTCTAATACATAATTTTTTTTAGATGCTAATCATCCTCTCATAGCTTCCTGTGTAGAAGCTGTAGCAGATGCTGTTACGCATGCAAGATTTGTGGGCACCGATGCATCTGGTGATGGAGTGGTCCTCATGAGAATCCTACAGGTTCTGAGAGCTCTTATGTTGTCACCTGCAGGCGATCATCTTTCCAATGAAAGTGTATGCGAAATTATGCTGAGTTGCTTTAGGATATGCTTTGAAACACGTCTCAATGGTGAGTTACATTGAAGGCAGTTTCACATTTCTGCTGACAGGCAAGTGACTCAAATATTTTTTTTTTGCAGAAATACTCAGAAGAACGGCGGAGCATTGTCTAAGAGACATGGTTCAACATTTGTTCACCAGATTACCTCAGTTTGTCGATGACATTAGAGTCTTGCCAAATATGAAAGTACGTTTCATAATTTGCAATTTAGAGCAGGTATTTATATGAAAATATAACATTTAAATTTTTTACAGAAAATGAGGACAAACAGCATAGAAAATACTCGTAGCAAGAATAGGAAACATAAAAGTTATACAAAGCAAAAGTCCAAGTCCATCACGGATGACGTCGAAGAAAAGGAACCGCTTATTCTGAATTCAGCTGATAGAACTCGAGCGAATCCCTTGGCTACCACGCCCGTTTCTCCAGTTGGCAATATTGTCGATATGCAAGGATCTTTAGATCATGGAAGTATCAATAAAAATGAAGAGGAAAAAAGTGAAAGCAAAAGTGATACTAGCAAGAATAGCAACATAAACAAATGCAGCAAAACAGTGGATAATCAGGACAATAAGCAAGGAGAGAAGCAAGAGAACAATACAGATGTAAACAGTAAAGATGTCAAAAGCGAGATAGAAACGGCCGAGATTAATGACGCGTCTAAAAATATCAACGTCGAAAATAAATCTGTACCTTCAACAGAAACCAAGAGCACAGAGAAGGAAGATGCAGTCGATCAGAAGACTACAATGGACGAAACGTCTGAATCTTCCGTTAAGCAATCCGTGTCAGAAAATCAAGGTACTTTTGTTAGAGTTAAAAAAAATAAATCTCAATTTTTAAATTCTTGTTTTTTTATGAATAATTATTCTACACAGGTGACGAAGAAAAAAGTATCGATTTAGCGCAATCTCCGACCGGTAGTGTAGAAGACTTATCGATAGACGAAAGCACATGCAAGATGTCTAAAGGGAAAGAACCTGAACAGATGGAAGAGTACGTGAACAGTCAGGGTGTTCGATTTATTCCGTTGCAACAGCGCGCTCCGTACGGTGCGTTGTGCGTGCGCGAGCTGTTTAGATTTCTCATTTCCCTGTGTAGTCCCCTCGACAAGCAGAATAACGAAATTATGACCCACTTGGGTCTTAGTTTACTGCAAGTGGCATTGGAGATCGCCGCCGATGCCCTTTCTAACTTCTCATCTTTACTCGCGCTCGCAAAGGATGACTTGTGTAGAAATCTAATCTTGGTAAATAAAATAATTATTTTCTTTCATCATAATTAATGAAATAGTGGGAGAAATATCGTAACTTTTTATTTTTGCATCAGCTCCTTGGGACAGATAGATTGTCGATTCTCGCTGTAGATCTTCAAGTATCATTTCTATTGTTCGAATCGCAAAGAGAGCACTTAAAATTCCAACTGGAACATTATTTAATTAAATTAATGGAAATTGTTCACTCTGAATCTAATAGGATATTATACGAACAACGAGAACTAGCGCTTGGTACGTATTTATATTTTAATTTTGTAATATGCGATATTAATAATGTAATTAATGTAATGTGTTTTTAATTTTATGATCCACAGAAGCTATAGTAAGATTGTGGAGAATACCAGGTTTACCCGCTGAGTTATATTTAAATTATGATTGCGGACTTTACTCTACAAATTTGTACGAGGAACTTATGAAGATGTTCTCTAAGGTATACATTGTTTCTCTTCTATATCATTATATATTAATAATTAATATATTGAAACTATATTTGAAAATTTCCTTCACAGAATGTTTCTATACCAATCACTACTAGCATGTATAGCATGCAATTGATTTCCTTGGACGCTATAATAATGCTGATTGCTGGTATGGAAATTCGTTGTAAAGGTTGCAAAGAATTATGTAAGCCATCACGTCACGACGCATCATCGAATCTTCCCACGCGCGAAGATCTGCTCGCTATAAAAGCGAGCAAACGGGTAGGTAATTGTTTTCCTTTTGAATACTAATATGTGATGTAACAGAACAAAGAAACATGTTTTTCTTTGCTATTTCCAGTGGTTATTCCTTGGCACAGAGAAGTTTAACGAGAATCCGCGGGAAGGTATCGCGAAACTTGCAGAACATGGTCTTCTAGGCGATACTCCTGGTCAACCGGATCCAGAAAAAGTCGCGAAGCTTCTGAGAGAAAATCCCGGTTTGGATAAGAAAGCCATAGGCGAATACATAAGCAAGAAGGAAAACAAGAATATTCTCAATTATTTCGTGCATAATTTTGATTTGAGAAATACAAGAATCGATCAGGCTCTGCGACTTTATCTGGAATCATTTAGACTACCTGGAGAAGCCCCTATTATATCTCTTCTGCTCGAAAAATTTGCTGATCATTGGCATGTGAGTACACATGCATTCGAGTAATTATTAAGTAACCCAAATGTATGGAATTAAATTAATCCACTATTATTATCTTTAGGAAAGCAACGGTATACCGTTTGCCTCAGCCGATGCTGCTTTTACATTAGCTTATGCGGTGATTATGTTAAATGTCGATCAACATAATTATAATGTAAAGAGACAAAATAATCCCATGACTGCCGACGAATTCAAGAGAAATTTGAAAAAAGTTAACGGTGATGCTGATTTTGATCAAGATATGCTCGATGAAATATATACTTCAATTAAGTAAGTGTTAAATGCGAAGTTAATCGTACGTGCTTAGATTTAAGAATTGCATAAACATTGTTATTTGTTATTTCTAGAGGGGAAGAAATTGTAATGCCCGCCGAACAAACCGGATTAGTAAAAGAAAATTATTTGTGGAAGGTTTTACTGAGGAGAGGTTCCGGACCTGAGAGCGTATATTTAAAAGTAGGCAATTCCGGCGAATTCATCGACAGAGATTTGGCCGAGCATGCGTGGGGTCCGATCATTAGCGCTCTTTGTCGAGCTTATGATAAAGCACCGGATAGAGCGTTGCATCGTAAAGTTGCTCAAACATTTCTTAGGTTTGTTACTCTTAATCTTCTAAACATTTACTATAAATTTATCCTTGTACTAACAGAAGCCTAACTAAACTTTTTTTCCTTTTAGTTGCGCGACGATTAGTGCCCATTATAGCATGTGCAGCGACTTGGACACGCTCATAGTGAGCCTCTGTAAATTCACGGGTCTGATAATTGGTGCGAAACCCGAACAAGTGGTTCTACACCTCGGTGGAAGCTCAAAGTCGCAATTGGCCGCGCGTACTCTTTTCAAGATCACACATTTACACGGAGACGCTTTGAGAGCGTCATGGAAGAACATTATTGATTGCCTGCAGTCGCTCTATGAAGCGAGGCTATTGCCGAAAAATCTCACGGAGGCGGAGGACTTCATCGATCCGTCCGGCAAGATATCTCTACTCCGAGAACCCACCACGCCCAAAGCTTCCCCGGGTGATCAAGGATTATTGTCTACCTTTTATTATTCCTATATCGCCATGGAACCATCGCGTGTACCACATCCCGCCGAAGCGACCGCGCGAAAGAAGGCCGTGGAGTTTATCGCCAATTGTTACCTCAAGGAAATTATCGAAGAAAGCAAGTTCTTTCAGGTAAGTCGACGTTTGACGACACGTTTACTTACAATTTAAATTAATATTTTAACGATTATTGTCACTCTTTACAGAGTGAATCACTCAATTCTCTAGTTGGTGCTTTAGTATCGGTGAATCCTAACAACGAGGACATATCTATATTTATATTGGAGCTATTGCTAGAAGTAACTATACAAAATCGCGACAGAGTAACGTGTATCTGGCCGGTCGTCCAGAGTCATTTGGATCGCTTGTTAACGATGGCGGCACGCGAAAATCATCCTTATCTGCTCGAGAGAGTAGCTGTGGGTATGCTGAGACTAGCTATCAGACTTTTACGCGGCGAAGAGTTCGCATGTCTATCTCCTCTATTACCTCTAACCCATCTGCCATCCGCGACGACCGCACCGTTGGCTCGACAGATCGCCTACGGTCTGTTCGAATTATTGAAAACAGGCGCCGCGAATATTCATAGCGCCGAGGATTGGAAGGTGGTGTTCAGCCTATTGGAATGCGCTGGTGCTGGCGCATTAGCGCCGAAACGGTCCAATACCGTTCTGGATGAAACAACAAACGCTCGCACGTCGGTCTTGGATCCCAGACCCATTAGTCCGGTGCCGGAATGGGTACTAGTGTCGCCGACCGGCACTGAAGCACCGCTTCCAGTAGCCGCTGACACTATAATCCTGGTACGAGATCTGCAGCCTCACGACTCGGCAGCCTTTGTCAAGTGCTGCGAAAGCCTGAATTTCCTAGTACGCGACATGGCGCACGTGACGCCATTTAACTTCGATCTGTGCGTCAACTGCGTGAGAACGTTCGCCGAGGCGGTGCTGCAATGCGTGGGCAAGCGAAACAAGGTGTGCAACACCGCGGAGGAGTCGCCCGACTATCAGCAGAGTCCGATGCAATTGTTGGATCTGATGCACACGTTGCACACGAGAATCGCGCAGGTGTTCCAATGGTGGGAGGAGGAGGGTAGTATCGACGATGGTATATCCCTGTGGCCGCAAGCTTGGCGACCGTTGCTTCAAGGTATCGCGCGACTCTGCTGCGACGCCCGTCGATCAGTGCGCACGGCAGCGATGACATGTCTTCAGAGCACTTTGCTGGCCCAATATCTGGCACAGCTGACCGCGATAGAGTGGTCGCAGTGCTTCGAGGAGGTTTTGTTTCCGCTACTGGCGCAATTGTTGGGCCCCATCGCGTCCAACGATCCTATCGGCATCGAAGAAACGAGATTCAGAGCCGCGATGTTACTATCCAAGGTATTTCTCCATCACCTTACTCCCCTGCTGACTCTGTCCGGTTTCCTGCCGTTGTGGCTGACGGTACTAGAACTTCTGCGCGCGTACATGCATGCCGACAATAGCGAGCTTCTATACGAGTCGATTCCCGAATCGTTGAAGAATATGCTGATGCTGATGTCGTCGGAACTTGGCAATTTTGTTTTGGTGCCAAATTCCAATCTCTGGGCGCCCACGTGGAGAGCGATCGACGCGTTTCTGCCGAATCTGAAAGCGGAGCTGCTATCTCCGCAGCTGCCGCCGCAGCAACCGCCGCAACAACCGCAAGTCATCAGTCTGGTCGGGCAACAACAGCCACCATCCTTCCCGGGATCTATAGCGCCGCAGCCAGAAACTACTACTCTTTCGGCCGATTCTGAATGCATCAATGAAAATAATGCAGACGTGAAAACCGCGACGCAGCCAGTCGACATTCTCAATCCTGTGCAATCCAGCGGTGTTCCAATTCCAATTTCGTTACCGACGTTGGTATACAACACCGAGGGCAAGGAGTCGCAGCAAGTGATCACTCTGGTCAGCCAACCGCCACTCAGTGTCTCTAGTCCAGTCGCGGTGCAGCCGACCGCCCAGAATATCTTCGACATTTGTTACTCGACGAACTCTCTGCCGGATAAGACGGGCGAACGACAGCAACAATCTCAACCGAGTTCGCTGAACGATGAAGAGTACAGCAAGTCGCTGAAGAGTACGACGCAAAATGTCGAACTGACCGACGAGAATCGAGATTTAATTCTTACGACGCGGAAATACGAGGAGTGGAAACAGCAGCAGCAGCAACAACAGCACCAGCAGCAGCAGCAACAAATACTGATGCAGCAACAGTGCACACAGCATGCACAGTCTTACGGACAAGCGACGCAGTATCAGCATTCAGCGGCGGAAGGTTCTCCCTATCGCGTGGATCCATCTGAGGTGAATCGATGTCTTATGTCTTAACAGAATCTTGAAATCTTGACGAGTTAATCATCCGAATAATCGATCGGTTCATTAAAAATAAGCGTTCGCTTTATGTCAATTAAACGGTTCAATTTTTTAACGTTAAGATAATAGATAATGATACGCTAAAATTACTAAATGTAAAGATGTATTATTTTTACATGAGCATTAAAATTGTCAATTATAATCTATATGATCGCGTCTACAATTTGATATATATGTATATATAGTATATCTCGTTGGAGAAAAAAATGAGATAGAGTTTGCTTATTCATTCTCTTCTGATATGCGCAATATGGAATGTATAATGAAATGTTCTGTTTGCAGACGACGACAGTAGATTCTACGGGGACGACGACGTTTAACTCTGCGACGTATTTTAACGAGGATCCGACGACGGATCTTCTCTTCGTCGTCACCAATCCTTGACCACTGTATATTTTTTATGTAAATTGTATTATATAAAACATATTTCTACGATGCGCATGATCATGTTCTGTGTTAGATGAAGAACTCGCTCTCTCAAGGATGCCTGATTAAAACGAGGGAGGATACGCGGTATAAAGCATATATATATATATATATAGAGTTGTCGTATCTCTTTGGTTTGTATATTTGGCACTCATTATATACAAATAATATATGTACTATAACGTATATACATGGGTTATTGTTAAGATTATCATTATGTATTGTATATATAATGCATAATCTCAGCAATAATAATGGTAAACAAAACACATAATGTAGCTCTCGACATCACTTCCAACGCTCAATATGTACTTCCGTTTAATTATTATTTTTTCTTTTTTTTTTTTGCGTCACTGGGTAAAAAGAAGCTCATTTCGTGAATAGCCAAATGCATAGGCCAAAATCATCTGGACAAACGACCGACCAATTTTCTCGTCATTGACATTTTTATCTGCATGTGTTGCCTGTGTTTTACATTAAAAGATGCGGGCCGAATAATAATATATCTCTCTCACTAGTGATGTGCGATCGTACGATAAAAATCGTTTTTGAATCGCACATGTAAAAATCGAAGTACAAAAATTGATTTCATGACAATCGATTTTTTTACATTATATATAGCATAAAAGAAGAAATACGCCGAAACGTGAAGAAATTAACTAAACTGGGGGTCGATTGTATCACTTTTTCTAAAATGAAAATGTGAAAAGTGAACAATTTCTTCCAATAACATCGATTTCATTTTAAAATCAATGCGTGATTGGCTGTACTTTTTTACCTAAAGAATCGTATCAGACCTTCGGGAATTTAAGCTGGTCGAGTTAATTCTAAAGAGAGCCGAGATCCTATGCGGATCCACAATTTTCTACACGAGTGTAGAATCTAGCTTTATAAAAATCGATTCTCTCTCTCACAAAAATTGGACACTATAATTGATACAAAAAATAGATTTTTCTCGTCGAAAAAATCGATTTTCATGAAAATCGATTCGGAATCGCACATCACTATCTCTCACCAGATATCTATTCTTACAACTTCTACTTAAGCATAATACAAATTCTACTTAGAATTGCAGGTGAGAGAATAATTCTCTTCTTTCTTGTCCGCATGGATAGTCAGGTGTGTTTTACATGTTTAATGATTCTTAGAGAGAATTAATCGACAGTGATTTCGATAATCGAAAGATTTGCAATTTCGGCGAGCTCAGTTTCAGGATATCGTTGATATGACTATATATGTATGTATGTATATGCATGTATATCATCGCGTTTCCGGATAAATACAGTTTTTTGTCTTTTAGCGAATAAAACTGCAGGGAAAAACTGAACTCCCACAGCGAAATTGTAATATCGATTTTAATTGCTTGTATCTTATACTTCGCAACTAAAATGTTTCTTCATCCTTGCGATCGTAGCCAGATCTATGTACATATGCAAATAATTAACATATTGAATAATAAGAGATTTATACATCGATGTTCACACGTCCGTTGAATAAGCAGAATTATTTCGATGACGACGTTGTGTTTAATTAATGTAACTCGAAATTATTGTGACGTGTGAACTTTCCGTTTACGATCATTATACTATGCTTGCAAGCAATTATTAAAATCTTAAAGGATCAAAGTATTTGTAAATCCCTGAGAACGACGCTCTCGTTTTTCATTTGCGGTTCCCTATTGTGCGATATATTTCTCAGTGTGCTGATTGTCAAATATCGACAAATCTTGAAAAAAAAATTATGTTGCTGCCACTCTTATGCACACTTGGGTAGATAATTGTTCAGTAATATATATACATATATCTTTTGCAAGAATATATATATATATATGAATAGAGAGTGTCGCGTCTTTCCAAATCGCGATCCTCACCAAAGATCATGCGATAAAAAGCTCATTTAATTGTAATTGTACATAAAAATATATCTGTTTAATTTCTCTCATGCAATATGTATATTATATGTAAATTCGTTCGTTCGTATCTAATCTCGATATATCAGTTCAACATATTACAATATCAAACTTGACGAAGATTTTCTCAGATTTGTCTTTTTTTTTTGTTAACAGTTCATCCCCGATAGAACATAGAACGTTTTCTTTCTCTCTTCGTTAGTGCGATTAAGCGATATTAATAAATTGGACGGAATTCGGGTGTCGCTAAGCTATTATCGCGCTGCGTCTGCAATAATAGCCCAACGTTTTACACTTCTCGCAAAGATGCTGGGGATGGACCTTGCTTTGATCGGACACGTCCAGACCATCGGGTTTTTCCAACGGCCTCTGAAAATAATACGAGCGATCTTATTGCCCACATTCTGAGTGTTTTACGAGAATATAGCGAGTAAGTTGCGCTCTTGCAAGAATATTTCCATTTCCTTATATTTTATGTAAGAGAGCGAGAGAGAGAGAGAGTGAGTGAAAGAGAAAAAAGTATATATATACATATATGAGATGATCTTATATTATTTATATTACATATATATTGTATTTTTCAATATTATTATATGACATATTATTTATTAATTTTACTATCGTTATAGATCAATATAATTCGTGTATGACTTTATTATATATAGAAAATATACATGTAAATCAAGGAGAGATTCTGGGTACAGCCATTCTCGGTCACGTTTTAAGTGTTTATTCGCTCGCGACGCAGCTAAGACTCGATTATAATAGAAATTCGCGAGATTCGTAACGATTACCGCGACCGGATATTTCTGCACCCCGGGGCGGCAAGAGCGAGCGAGCGAGCGCGATTATGCGACTATAATTAGCTTTCCCGCCGGTTTACGCGGGATTTCGTTCTCTCGGTCGCGTAACATTTCGAGAGAAAGAGCAAAACGCGGTTCCGAGGATCTTTTTACCTCGAAAAGCCCGACCGGATATCTCGACTTAACTTTTATTTTGTTCCAACGAAGGAGAATTATTCGCGCGTGAAGATGGATCCTTCTCGCTCACCTGCTTATGAGGATACACGTTTATGTGACACTTGATGCACTCTTGGCCCATATTGGCCCAGCTGTTGCCCGACATCCACTTGCGTTTGCATTTCGGACACTTGTATTCCCCGAAGCATCGCTTCTTGCCCTGGTATGGGGTCAAGCCCTCGCCCTTCGGTCGCGCCTGCGAAAAAAGAGCGAGATGAGAGATTTTTTAATAGCACAAAATTTGGCAACGATTTAACAAATTAAATTGATCGTGGAAAATTTCTCGCGAAATCAGTTCATCTTTTTTTTTTTTTTTTTTGCATATCGATGCATGCGGTTATTTTACATGGGAAATTATATTAACAAATATAATAATAAAAAAATTGTTGAAAGATTATGTGAAAACATACATATAAATAAATATATATATATTTATTTATTTTTCGCTAAAGTAGATTCTTGAATAATATTTCAAAAATCTTTTGATTGTTATATATTATATATATGATTTAATAATACATGGAGAATTTTTTCTTAGAATCGTGGGACAATATAATATTGGAAGGATTTTGTAAGAGTTTTTCTGATTAATAATTACCACAAAAAATTAATATATATGCACAGTAAATTTTACTATTATATAATAAAATTAATTGAATATTAATTTGATGTCTTATTAATCAGAGAAACTCATAAAATTTTTGTAATATCATATATTGTCACAATTACCATATATATATATATATCTTTTGAAATGATCTTTTCAATCTTTCTTCTTTGAGAAGCATTCGGTGAACGTTCTTATTAATTATTCAAAGTTATTAATTATTAATTACTATTCGAAAAATAATTAATCAGAGCTATGAATTAATTTTCGGTCAAAATCGTGTTAGAATATTTTCCTTGTTCCCTATTGACGAACGATATATTGACGTGAAAAATGTCACCTCAGCCGAGAGAAGGCTTAATTGGTACACCCTCATATTGAGCATGTCGCGATGATTGGCCATGTGACGTCATGTGTCCCAGAGAGATGCTGTTTGCTATGTCAATTAACGCTCAATTGAGCCATGAGTATCGCACTGTTGTAGCATCAAGGCACGCGCGTCGTTTACAAGTATAGCTAAATTTACTGATGGCTCCTTACTTATGACGACTTTGCGTTCCGCGAAGATTTATCTCGGACAATGAATCATTATTCGAAAGAGAAAGAAGAGAGGTTCTCTATCATATTCCGTATATTAATATCATTCAATTTTTCTGATAGTGACAGAGTAGACTTTGAACAGACTTGCATAGTCAAAAGTTGGTGACACAATCGAAACCATGTTTATTTAAATGGTCTTTCGCGAATATTTATTCAAGTTGAAAGTTGCGTTGTGTATTGCGTAAATTATTGTCATTTTATTTATATGTATTTTGTGTATATTTAAATATTTTAATTGTGTGCTGAGAAAAGTTTCAGAAAATTTAGCACAAACATCCTGTTGAAAGGTAAAGAGTTTGTAATGATTATATTTAGAAATTTCGATTTTTTTTTTGGTAACATTTCATCGGCTTTAGAGATTAGTTTTTATTGTATTTTCTATATTCATTGTTCTATCGATAATTAATCATCCTTTATATCACAGATTAAAGATTAAAAAAGATATACTTATTTAAAACATTATCTTGCACATCGATTAAAATTCTTCATAAATCGGACGAAAGAATGTAATCTAGAATCGTGAATCAGAGGATGACAAAGAGATAACTATTCCGAAAAAGTCTTCAAACTTTAATCTGCGATTGCAGTCAATCTTTATATATACGAGCTTTAAATCATCTACATACTCTCTCTACGATTTTTTTACTCAATTAAATAATTACAAAATATAAAAATAATTAATATATTTTTATTTTTTATATATTTTATATTTTTTATATATTTAAAATATTAATATATATTTAACATATTTATTTGTAGGAAGAGTAGGATATTATTGTAGTTGTGAAAAATACCGACCTGCGGACAGTCCTTGATATAATGACCTTTCTTGAAGCACAAATGACACAGATACGTCGTCGGCGGCCTCTTGGTCGGTTTTCTATCGTTTAAGCTTAAATCCGTAAAGTGTTCAGCTAAATCCGCAATACTTTCCGCCACGCTGTCTCTCATTGGCCTGATGGATCCGGACGGATTCAGGGAGCCTTGATGCAGATAAGTCTGCGACGCGCCAGGAAAATTGCTCCAGATTGTAGGGAGTAGCTTGCTCTAAAATGTAAACCAATGATCTCATAAGGCCTCGAATAACTATCTTAACTTTTTTTATCAGCATTGTTTTCTTCAGAGACAAATATAGATAACGCGTGAACTTTATATTTTTTAATATATCATTTTGTTCTAGATTAATACAATTTGGGAATACATTTTTCGCGAAGACTCAAGAGGAAGCTTCTTCTCGCGGACGACTACAGAATTTTCTCTTAGAATTTACCCTGAAATACATGGAAATTGTGGCACAATGTGGTATATCGGAAGAATTCTACAAGAGTTTCTCTGATTAATATTTACCACAATAAAAAATATTAATGTGTACGTAATAAAATTTATCGAACATATATTTTATATCTTTTTATGATAGATATTATATTTTTGAAAGATTATTTGATTGATTATTATTTGATATCAATATTTTATTGTGGTAAAAATATTTAATCAGAGAAACTCATAAAATTCATGATTTCTAGAAGAACAGAAGCTTCATCCCGGGTCTTTGCGAAAAATTGATTTTCAAATCACATGAATATCAAGAGAAAAATAGATAATAAATGCTAAGAGAAGATTCTCTATAATACCTGATCGGATGGCTGCGATGGATTTTGCTCGGCGATGGCCAGATAGACCCAATTGAGCAAGTGCGGCGGATAGGTCGACTGCTGAAGGGTCTTCTGATTCGGAGTAGTTGCACCGTAACCGATCCGAGTCGCGTCCTGCAACTGCATGCGTTGCACTGCAGGTGTCGGATGGCAAGCAGCCATATTTTTATCTAATCGGTCCGCGAGGTTTATCGGTTTCGGTCAGCTGTCGACGCGACAATTTTCCGATTGCTGGATGATCTCCGATGATCATTTATCATCTCCGTGTCCTTAGATCCCAGCGACGTTCTTTCCATTTAACTCTCTCGTCGCTCTCTCCACAATTATCTTCTCATTAATCTTGCTTTCGAGAAAACTTGACGGGTCATAATCGATTGTCATAAAATTATCATTAATACGATTAATATTCTTCTACAGTTCTTTTCTCTCTCTTTTATTCCTTAATCATTTTTTCATTTCTCCATACAATTTTGTTTGGATTTATGTTTTCACGACAGAATTGTTGCTTAAAATCGAAGATACTCAATACTACAGGTCGATTCATCGACGAACAGAGAGACAATAATTTTACAATAAATTGCACTGCGATTTTGAAATACACACATTAAAAAATCATCGTTTTCTATCAGCGCCTAAAATTTCACTGCACGCTTTTCACTGTCACTCGTCGAACATTCTCTCACGTCGAAACTGCATCTTCCTCGGATGCATCGAATGCATCCGAGCACTTTCGACAAGGCAAACTCTTGAAAACGAGCAGCTAATAATGTTTGCAGGCGACGCTCTCACGCACCCATTTCGTCTTCTCATCATATGTGTATTCTTGTACGCACATATTGTGGAAGCTCGACCTCAGCTTCTTCGACGCGATATTTTTTTTTTCGTTCGTGGAATATCGTTTCAGTTCGCCTCACTCGTCAAATATTCCCGAGTCTACATTCGTCAGGTGCATCTGTTCGATTTTCGATATACAAATTTCGACGCTTTATTAAAAAAAAAAAAAAATTTCGTTAAGTTACAATTTTCAATTTTAATAAGTTACACCCTACGTTGTTGATTCATCTCGATGGTGTGTAATATAATAGAACGAAGAAGTTACAAAAATAAAAAGACGTATAGCGCTACGTCATCGCTATTGGTCGCGAAAGCGCTAAATATATGGACCCGTTCTCCATCCGCGTGAAACTCACCGATTCGGAGGGAAACTCAGGTCAGACGATTTTCACGCGCGAAAGCTCGAATCGGGACGGGCTTCGATCGCGACGAGTGTGTGCTCGTTGGCCGAGTACGAAGTGCCTGCCGCGCATCATATTAACACACTGATGCCGCAGAAGAGATGATCCAGCGTTGGACGAACATGTAAAAGCGAACGGACGTATATATTGAGAGAGGGAGAGCGAGAGGGAGAGAGCCGCAGAGAGAGCCCCGCCATGTGGTGCATCTATTTCCGTGCTTGCTCTCGCGACGACACGACGCCTCCGAATGGACCCCGACTCGAAGCGGTTCCTTCTTGCCTTCGTTCTTCACGAATCCGCCCCGCGAAGCTTGTTCTCATGGTCGCGGACCACGTGAGCTTGACAGACGCGCTCGACTGCGTCTACCCGCCTAGTCTATCGTAGATGTGCACGGAGAGAATTTATTCTCTTAGAATTTACCCGGAAAATCATGCTAATCGTAGAATAATATATGGTGTTGGAAGAATTTCTCTGATTTTTAACAAGGATACAAAATTTGAAATTGTAGACGACCAAACTGAGCAAACATTTATTAAATTTATTAAATTTATTAAATCTTTTTCATAACGTTTCGACCTTTGGTTTAGACCGTTATCAAATAAATGCTGGAATAATAATTACAAACTTTAAATGATACAATAAAAATTAATAATACAAATTAAATACCACAAAAAAAAATGATAAAATTATTTAAAAAAATAAAAAATTTCTTTGATTAATATTTACCACAATAAAAAATACATAGTAAATTTTACTATGTACATAGTAAAATTAGTCGAGTATATTTTATATCTTATTATGGTAGATATTAATGTTTTTATTGTGGTAAATATTAATCAGAAAAACTCTTATAAAATTCTTCCAGTACCATATTTTCTCTGTGCAGTGTTTGCTGTTATCTAAAGAAAATTGTACAGGGTGTCCCAAAATTAATAGCAAATCTTTTAATAGCAGATTCCTGGGATTATTTGGAGATGATTTTTCCTCAACGAAAATGTCGAAAGTTATAAGCAATTGAAAATAAGGGGGTTTTCGTAAACTAAGCCCTGCGAAAAAAAAAATATAACAAAATCATATTCTTTTATTAATTTCATGTAGAGTTTACTTTAATAGAATTTGAAAAGCCTTAATTACGAAGATGCATGATGGCAAAAATTGGGAACATGCAAACAATGATGGTCTTGTTCCTCGATATCCTGATATTTCTGTATATTATTTCGATGTTATTATTCTTGAAAAAAAAAATAAAAGATATTCTTATTTTTTAGAAAATACTAAAGAACACAAGTGCGCGCACGCTTAATTTTTTTATTTTTATTTTTCAAGCGTCAAACTGTTAATCTTCGCGTTCGCGTTGATAGTTTTGCTTGATGCTATAAATATAACACACAAAGTAAATTGAAATAATTAGTACCGCGGAAAAGCGGCAACAATACTAGCGAGAATCGACCTTGCATGTCTTTTTTAAAAAGGGTCACTTTATTTCGCTGAATTTCTATAATGCACTCTAATTTTAATTCACCGAATTTCTGTATTATGCACATAATTTTATTCGCCGAATTTCTATTATGTACATAATTTTTACTTGTAAGATGCTGTTGCAACTATGTTAATATTATATTTGTATTATTGAATTCTCTCATTATTATCGTTTATCAAGATATTTTTAAATAAATAAGTTTTATATATGTTAATTATTAAATCTATAGAATGTCATAAATTATTAGAAATAACTGATACAGTATTTTATTGTACGAATACTTATCATAAATGATTAGGATTCTCATGCATAATATCTGTATTATTCGAACGCTCTATTATTTGTTCATCCATGAGAAAGTTCTGGCAAACGATGAATGTGCCATGACACATTACATGCATTGTACAACATGATATTTTTACTATGTATAATAGTGAAATCGTGTGCATGTATATGTGTGTGTCGATTTAAGGACAATCGACTGTGTCTGCCGTCACGATATCAAGGAAAGTCACCGAACTCATCTATAAATAAGCTCCAATTGCTATTCGCGTGTATCGATTATACTCAGCGAGTTGCGGCAACACAAATCGTCATGATGAATCGTCTTTGACACGATACAGCGGGGAAGTTGCATTTGTTTGAACGCGATCACTCGAGTTTCTATCGATAGAATCGAGCCAAAATAACCCGAAATTCTTGCTTACTTATTTCAATAATTCCATTCCTTTGCACATCTTATACAAAGTCAAGTTCCGTATAGTAATCCGGAAGAGAGTTCAAGCTTTATCGAATTTTCGCTCTCTAGCTGTTTGCAGAATTTTGTATGTCACTTTTCATCAATTTTATATCGCGTGTATATACATGTGTTTTTAACCAAATTCAAAAATTTTATATAAATATTTCCTAATATATTCAGGGGGGATGCAGTATTTATGCATTTACATGCATCTCCGTCCTCAATTTATTTGTAGAATCTTGAATTTCGGTTCTCGTCTTTTCTTTCATTTTTCAAACAATTAAAATAAAAATAATATATAGTGTTGATTTTGCAGAAAAGTGCGACCCCGTCTGTTCGACCCCTCTTTTCAGCCGGTTTACCTGTACCCTGTCAAGCGGGGACCACCCTTGACTAATTACCGGCAGATCGATAATTATCGATGAGGGCCGTGCACGAGACTCTTCGAGGCAGTCGAGGCTCGTCGACGAGCGAGTCAGCGTCTAGAGTTGCGGCTGTCCCGATCGTATCAAGACGTCATCGCGTTTGTTTGTTCCGGTATTTTTAGTTTACCCGAAGCACCCTGTCTTAAACATTTCTTCCTCATAAGACGGTATTTGATCGGAAAATTCATTAAAGTTATTTCGCGCGATCATCTGCAAACTTGATGTCGTCAACTGACAGGTGAGAAGAATAAATTATCAAAATATTAATCTAATTTAGAATTATTGGATACACATCTAGAAACGTGAATTTTAAGTGTAATTGAATGATGGATGGACGTCTAAGTTTATTTCGATGTATTATTTGGTATATAAAATTGAGTGAACGAAATTTCCGATTTTTAGCTAACGATAAACGTCATTTACTGATGAGAATTGTCAACTGACAGGTGGGAAGAACAAATTATCAAAATATTAATCTAATTTAGAATTATTTGATACACATCTAGAAACGTGAATTTTAAATGTAATTAAATGATGGATGGGCGTCTAAGTTTTTTCGATGTATTATTTGATATATAAAATTGAGTGAACGAAATCTCCGATTTTTAGCGAACGATAAACGTCATTTACTGATGAGAATTGTCAACTGACAGGTGAGAAGAACAAATTATCAAAATATGAATCTAATTTAGAATTTTTCGATACATGTCTAGAAACATGGATTTTAAATGTAATTAAATGATGGATGGACGTCTAAGTTTATTTCGATGTATTATTTGGTATGTAAAATTGAGTGAACGAAATCTCCGATTTTCAGCTAACGATAAACGTTATTTACCGATGATAATTGTACGAGATGGAGAAATATGAGAATATCGAGATAGTAGGTGAGGGTAGTTATGGACTCGTAATGAAATGCAAACATCGCGAAACCGGACAAATAGTAGCGATAAAAAAGTTCTTGGCGACAGAAGAGGACGTGCAGGTGCGAAAAATGGCATTTCGCGAAATAAGGATGTTAAAGGTACGCATCGAATTAATTTTGGGAAAAATTATATATTAAATCTGCGACAGAGAGTAAAATGCATTTTTAGCCAAAGTACAGATGAGCATCAATCAAATTCTTCATTTAATTAAATCCAATTATATAATAACTCTCTCATATCTCTATTTATTAATTTTAATTCATAAATCGATCGCGCTTTATATATTTTAAGACGATGCTTCGTATCAAATCGATATACATATTTTTTTCTGCAGAAATTACGCCACGAAAATCTTGTGAGCATGATTGAAGTCTTCCGCCGTAAGAAACGGCTTTACCTCGTTTTCGAGTATCTCGATCATACCGTGCTCGATGAATTGGAAAAGGCTGGCGATGGTCTTGATTGGGAAAGAGCAAGACGACATATTTTTCAAATACTTCGCGGTTTGGACTTTTGTCACAATCACAAAGTGAGCAAAACTTGTGAAATTTTAGTCAAATTATATTTCGTTATATTAGAACAGACAAAATCTTCACGATACAATTATATTAACTATAATATATAAATATTTGCACATTTTATAAGAGATATATTGCAGCTTTTTTCGACGTATAAAATAGGCCATCGTTGAAAATTGTTATCGTAGTAATATAATATCTTAGATTTATTTACATACATATGTTGTATCATATTACGCCTAAAAAAAAAATAAATAAATAAAGCGCAAACCGTGCACGATAAAATATTTTCCGAAATTTTTACGTGTATGCGTGACAATTTATTATGATTGTCTCGTATAATTTAATTTTTTCAAGTTCTAAGTAAAATAAATCATTAAAAATGTTTGTGATAAAATAAAAATGTCAATTATCACTCTTGCGTCATATGAAACAATTTGTGTATTTAAAAGGACACAGAATTCGTGAGATGGAGTATTTTCGTAGTTTAACGGCAACCTTTGGTAAATATATATAAGTGCACCTCCGTTACGGTAAAGTTCACGGCCGTGACGCTTAAATTCTAAGTTGCAGAAAGCAGCGCATATAGAGTAACACGCAATGGCCGGATACTTAATGAATGATAGCATTGTAACAAACGCGTGCACAGTGACTGCTGCATTTGGTCGAACACAGAAAGCTTTAGCGTTATGCAAAATGTTGCTCTAATTATAGAGTACCCTATAATTAGAGCAACATTTTGCATCACGCTAAAACTTTTCGTGTTTGAGTTTGACCAAATATGCAATTACTCGATATTTTGATTTAATCCATTCTTTCTATTTTTAATAAATTTTCTTAAATAATAAATATTTTTTTCGAACATTATTTTTTTCTGGTCTATATCAAGATTTAGAGCTCCGTATACTCTATCGATCTGTCTAATTAATTCGCTCTTTTTCTGCTTCGAGTGACGTAAGTCTTAAATGAGATCCGCCTTTTGACAGATCATGCATCGTGACGTCAAACCCGAGAACGTGCTGGTGTCTCCAAACGGCGTAATTAAACTTTGCGATTTCGGTTTCGCGCGCTACATCACCGGACCTAATGAATCTTGCACGGATTACGTGGCGACGAGATGGTACCGCGCGCCGGAACTCCTCGTCGGCGACTCCAGATACGGGAGAGAGATCGACGTCTGGGCGGCCGGTTGCATCTACGCTGAGATGATCACTGGCCAGCCTCTCTTTCCCGGTGACAGCGACGTCGATCAGCTGTACCGCATCACGAAGGTCTTTGGTGAGTTGGGGATGAAGATGATCAATTGACAGGGTTGAAGGTTCAAAAAAGAGTTCAAAATTTCGTAATTTATAATTTAGCTGAGTTTATTTAAAATGTATTCATTTTTAACTTCCACTAGTTATTTTTGAACTTTTATTTTTAAATTAAAGTATTATTAATTTTTATCTTTATTTGTCATCGATTGTAATTACCAAAAAATATATTTCTACGTAAAAATCAAAATTTCTTTGTTATTCTAAATTTTCAAAGAATTACAAAATTCTAATTTAATATAAATAATGTTTTAAAAAATTAATGTTTTATTCAACTCGAGTTAATTCTTTGTTCATGCAACTTTAATTGATAAAATATTGAGTAATCCGAGAATGAAAGATATCGGGCTAAAATTCTTGTTACTTTTCAAGACAGATATTAAATCGCATTGTAATTTGGCGACCTATTGTCGAAAGCAGGTCCTCTTTACGGGAAGCAGCCGACGAGCGGTGGCGGTCGCCACGTAACATTTCTAGTTCGACGTGCAAAAGCCGAACAGGTCTCCGGTAAACCGCGATCCGCGGCGATGGCGCTCCGAAATCTCTTTCCCGCGTGGAGTCCGGTGACGATCGATTTCTTGGCACAGTGTCTACGCACGGATCCCGATGCCAGGCCAAAGTGCTTCGCGTTGCTGCAGCATTCGTTTTTCTCGCAAGACGGTTTCGCCGACAGATTTCCCGACGAGTTGCAGCGACTCGTCGCGAAAGAATCCGCAATAAATCCGCTCGCGGCTAGGAAAGTGGAACCGCCTTCCAGAATCTGTCGCAGCAGCATTGGACGGTTGGTCTAATCGAAATTAATGACAAATCCATTTTACTTCATGACAAATTCTTAGCTTTCATATCGAATCGAAAAATACTCAATTATTGGAATGGAATTAATCGCTCCATTTTTTTTTCGTTAAAACATAATACAGTATTACAACAGTCGAAATTTGGGAACACGGAAAATTATGATTTATTTTGACGTAGACATTGAAAAATAATTTAAATGATTTCTAGGTGGCAAATGACGTTAATGAAGGAAAGGAGAGAGAATAATAACGCGAAGCTGGAAGCTGCGGAGAACGAGAATTCGCAGGGAGATCGAGTCGATCGATTGCAAATAAATCGGTCGCGGGAATTGCGTTACTTTGGACCAGTCTCTGTAATACCGAATACCACGTACATTCGACGATTGGAGCACAAAGGGCTTCTGATCCCTGAATCGAAGGGCTGTGTTTTACCGGCTCTGACATCAAAGACGAACGCTAAGAGAAAAAAGCTCGATCTCCCCGGCGTAAAAAATCGTTGAAGACGATTTCAGCTCACTGAAGATTCATTCTTCTTGTAACATTATCATGCCAAGAAAGAAGTGTGTGAGAAATCTGTACAGAGAAACTTGTTATATGTGGGACTGCAGTATACAAGTATAGAGCATTGTACATATCTTATTTTATACTCTATATATATTCTATAAGTGGATTAAAATATGTTTGTAAAATGAGATTTATTCGCTCTGTAAAAAGAAATGAATACACTGAAAGGAATTCTTTTAATTTTATACGGAATTTAAAAACACATACTTGAATTTTCGAAATTTTAAGTAAAGTTGTGAAAATCTTGGTTTGAAGATATCAACGCTTCTTACTATAATATTTATCTTGTAGAAATCTTCTTTCTTTCGTGTTTTTATCTTTAAAAATAAGCAGAGAAAACACTGCTCTGTGATACGTAATATTAATGTATAAATTAAATTTTCACTAATTTTCAATTGCATAAAATAAAAATGGATTAGGAAAAATAATCAGCAGTAAGGATAACTTGCGAGAGGAGTCGGGAATTTCTTGTCAGTTTACGAAGAAATTAACAAATTGCGACCACATATTTGACATATTTAAGGGGTTTTTATTTCGGAATTGCATCCATCTTTGAAATATATAATTAATATCTCGCAACGGACGCGTTGACCCTGCAGCAAATGCGACGGGAAGAAAGAAGAAATCTTCGTCCGGACGCGAAAAAATCACCGACACACATTTTTTGTTTCCCTTTTGGTTTTTTTTTTTTTTAACTTTTCGGCTGACGCCGTGCCGAAACTAAGAACTCGAGAAGATGAGAGAATATAATTTTTTTTCTTTTGGTATCACTCGCTTTCAACGTGTTTACTCTGTCGGGATATTCGTCACTACATTCCGCTTCCTCTTTCGTTTCCTTTCTCGCACTCACTCTTTCTCCCCTTACATCTTATCTTTCTTTTTCTCATAAACTTAAATTATGTACAATTACGTATTTCGTGTACTCGCTTCTTTAGATCACCTTATCACACACACACAGCCTGCAATTATATATTTATTAAATATAACTTTTTTTTTCAATTTTTTACAGTCTGGAAAATAAAATTGTTTCATAAGTTGATAAATGCGGAAACTTTGCCTAAAAAAAATGTTTTCCCGTGCTACATTCTTATTGATTTTTTGAGAAATCTGATTCCAATATTACTCGTGTCATGAATTTTGACAGAATAGCGGCGATTCGCCCTTCAATCACTATACTATCCGCATTTTCCGAATTTGAAAGAATTTCTAAAATTTATACGTGTGCGTTGTAAGATTCGTTTTAATAAATTATTACATCTTGTAAAATTATATGTATATTAGATTGTATATTACATTACAGTCTAGAATTTCTAATTCGCATTTTGGATTCATATTGCAGGACATAACGAACTCTTCTCTCGCATTCTCTCTTCCTTTCCTCTCTTCGATTCCTTTACTATTTACCTTTCTCTATTTTTTTTTGTTCACGCACACAGAACACACATACACGCATGCATACATACTGGTTCTCCATCGATTTTTGCATCTCGTCCTGTACTCGGAATCGCCTCTAGCCATCGCGCGAATGTTGTTTCTCGTTTTCGATTTGCAGACTTCGACTTCGGAAACCGATCAGAAATACGGGTGAAATAATCGTGTTACCGTTGAATTTTTCGACAGATCTTATAACTGGCTCCGAACGATCCCCCTCGCAAAACAATTCGCTCGTTTGGTCGGCGGCCGGAGAAAATTCGCGTAACGAATTTGCTTCGCGTTCGTGGAGGACCGTTATAAGGCACTTTCACCTGCACTACGTAAATTGTATCGTTAGACATGAACATTTTTATATTTTATTATGCGTGTACCCTAAAAAACGCCTGCGCGCTATTAAATATATCAGTACTTTTTTTCGAAAACTCACGCTATTTACTACTACACTCGCTAAACGCAAAATGCGCGCAAGCTCCGAGACGAGAATTCGCTAAAAAAGGCATTCAAGTGCAAGGGCACTTTGCATCGAATTTATATTTCGTTATTCCGCGAAAATGCGCTAAATTGCTCAATCTTTCCTCGCAAACACTTGTAAAACATTTTTTCTTTTTCCCTACGTCGTTTGAGCGCGATTGGATTTGCGAAGGGGCCATATCTCATTCGAAACTCGTCGTGTCTCTTCTATATAGATTTTTCTCTAGATCGGCCGATTTCCGGAATCGATGGCGATGCCTATATTTTTTTTGTTTGTTTTTTTTTTTTTTTTTTTTTTTTTTGATTGACTGACTGACTTGATTCGCGCGACATTCCACAAAAAAATGTTCGTTCGTTTCAAAAACGGACGCAATCGCAAGAAAGTCGCATCTTCTCGAAGCTCGAAAACTTGAAAATTTCCCTTCCCGCGGAAGTCAGTGCAACATATGTTAAGTGTCAATCGCGTCGTGTGTGTTTTCCGCGGCGCGTCGCACGCATTTATATATATATATATATATATATATATATATATATATTTGTATATTTTATATAATATATATATATATATAATATCCAGAGCGGCGACCATCGCACCTTCCAAATTAGCGGATAATTACTGGAAGAGAGAGATAAAAAAGACGTTTTTTTCCATTTTTCCATTTTTTTAAGTTAATTATTTAGAGTTAGAGTTAATCTACTCGAATATACTGAGAGATAGTGACTTTTCGTTTATTATTCTCGCGCAAGTAACATGTAAGCGATCTATATAGAGTTCAGAAACGATAATACGAGAGGGGGGAGAATTATGAATTTGTTTTTTTTTTTTTCATCTTCTTCTTCTTCTCTTTTTTTTTCTTACTTTCTCTTACTGTTTAAATTTTATACACAGTGCCGAGAAGGTGACGTATATCGTCGCCCATCGGATCGATCGACGAGATCAGCGTCTCAAATAATCACAAAGTGACTCACAAAGCGTCGAATACCTCTCACTTCCTTTGGAGTTCGTTCTTAAATTAAGGAGGGTAGACTTTCGTCGGCTCAGCCCTGATGCCTGCACTCCGTTTCTTTTTCGCGTCTTTCTTACTATTATTATATTATTATATTATCTTTTGTTTCATTAGACTGTATTATTATATTTATGAATATTATCAATATATAATATATAATTAATATTATTATATATTAGTACTATATTATGATTATTATTATTATTATTATTATTACTGTGTGTATTATTGTAATAAGTTTTATTATATATTATTGTTCTTATTATTATTATTTTTAATTATTATGCATTATTATTATTACTTATTAATAAGTATCATATTATTAGTATTGTTATTATTGTTGCTGTTGTTATTATTGGTAATATTTTTGTAGTAATATATTATATATTACCGTTTTATAATCATTAATAATATTAATATTATTGTTATTATTATTATCTTTGTTGTTGCCGTTATTATTTATATTATTATCATTATTATTATTAATATTATTATTATTGTTATTATATTAATATTATTATTGTTGTCACTGTTATGTTTAATAATCATCACCCATCGTTAATATTATTTTTTATACATTAAAATCGGTACAGTAGTCGTAAACACACTCCTTGAGCTTGTTAAAGGCTTTTTTTCTTTATCGAGACTTGTACGCATTTATATAGAGCTGCTCCTTTTTAAGGAATTAAGTAGAAAAAAGAAATAATAGTAGTTATATATAGTAGAAGATGAAGAAGTAGAGGAATTCGAAGAAATATTTCTTAACAGTGCTAGAAATACGCTTGCTTAAAGTCATTCGTAAACTGTATTATGGACGCAATTAGTTTTTTTTTCCTTTCTCTCTAGCTGAACTGCGGAATGTCTTAATTGTATTTATAACTTTCTCACTTTCTCTCTCTCTCTCTTTCTTTCCTTTTTTTCTTCCTATCACTCGCTTTTTCATCCATCTTTTATCGCGCACACATACTCCATTCGCACTTCACAGCAATTTAAAAAAAAAAGGATCAGTCGAAATCGCACCGAGGAAACGGACAATTCGGCAACTCGATTCTAATTTTCTACTTTCGAACCCTTTTCTTAGCGGATTGCATCCTCGCACCTTTCTCTCTTCTCTCATGAGCTTCTTCATGACTCGTTCATTCTTGCTTGCTGTTCTTCATTCATCATATTTCACATCGTAGATCGAACAAATGTGATAACGACACTCGCAACCTTCTCCATATCCTATTTTCATCGTTATCCTCTTTCCGCTATTTGATTACCGTTACTTATGCTTTATCATTACTTTGATAATAATTTAGTAATAGTACGACGATACCTTAATAAGGCCCAGTAAGGCTGCGTGGGTCGAACGTGACTATCCCCACGAAAAAAATTTCATTTATATCTTTTTCAATTTTTTTTTAATCGCACACATCGCTACGGAACAACAAATCGCGATGCAGACGATGTATCTTGTCGAGATACATTTGATCAACTATTTTGAAAAAGAATGTGCGCCATCACTCAAAATTTGTCGTCTCATCGTCTCTCCGAGACTTTTTTCCTCCGTTTTATTGTCGTATTATTGTTCATTATTTCGTTAATTATTTGATCTTTGCAAACTCTCAAAATTTATTTTTTTCTCCCAAAATTTTCAGTGTTCAATTATTATTTACCTATTATTTTTAATAATCTGGTATCTCGCGATTAGCGACACACACAGCTCTTCTTCCGATTCACGCATTTCGATAAACTTTCGCAAGTTTATTATATCAGCGGTGATACAATCGTTATAGAACTTAAATATATATACATATATATATATGTATATTCTTTTTTTATTCGAATGAAGAAGATAGAGACTGCGAAGAAATTGCTCTTAACATTACGGTACAAGATCTGGTGCACAAATGTGTAAGTCTCGGTTTAATTATGTGTAACCGGATATATATATATATATATATATATATATATATATTTTTTTTTTTTTGCGAATTACCAAATTACATATATCGGTGTTTGTTCGTAAAAATTTTCGAAATATACGCACGCTCGCAATACTCTGTGTATCATATCATAGATTCTGGGGGGTCAACCTTCTGCTCTCACAAATACAATTAATAATAATTATTTCTTTTTATAATTTTTCAGTAATTTTCATCCCCCGTCGCGTTTTCGACCCCGGCATATTCTGGATTTATGTGTATTTATGACGTAAATTGTAGATGTATACGTGGTGTCTGCGTGTACGTGCGTATACATGTATTTGAAGGTGTGTATCATATATATTATATATATTATGTATATGTATATATGTATGTATATTTTTGACTTTTTTTTAAACAGCATTTTGTTAGTTTTCAACGTTACTTTCTCGATACTTTCAGAAGTTCTGCATAAAAAACAAGGCAATTAGATTGAGTTCTTTTATCATTTTTACACTTATATATTTTAACGCGCCTGTACGCGAATATTTATATACTTCGGTTGAATCACGTCGTGTGTATATAATGCGTCCAAGTGCGTGTTATATAGAGATGTTTACTTATTATATATATGTATATATATATATATATATATATATATATATAATATTTTTATATAATACATACATATTATATATATATATATATATATATATATATATATATGTACATATATATAATATGTATATATAACTGTAAAAGTCACGTCTTTTACTTTCAATCATTTAAATTTTTCTCTCTTTCACTCTCTCGTTTTCTCTCTCTTCCTCTCTTTCATCACGCAACCAATAAAGAAAGACTAAACTCTTGGATAAGAATACCGACTCTGAATATTTTTTTTTTCACGTACCTCACCATTTTCTCTTACGGTGTCGCGTACAAATAAATCGGATATAGATAAATATATTATATATCTATATTTATATGTGTGTGTGTATATCGTAAACGACGCTTTGAAACTGAGACGCCGTGTCTCTTTTCTTCTCTCTTTTCTTTTATATATATATTACACCTGGTAAAATCTATTCTACGTACTCGAACCTTAGAAAGGCCAATTTTATTTTATCGCCGCGCGCGCGAATCGCATCCGAAATGCAATCGCATCCAGCGTGGCGTGTAAATCTAGCAAAATTACCTAGTCCTTTTTGACTATCTTTGCACATACCGGTCTACTCTCGGGCGATCGTTTTCAGAAAACCGCATCTCCCAGCGAAGGGGAGTCTACCTTCGTTCGAACGCAGCGCAGCGCTAGATCGATTTTTCGTTTTCAACGCGAAACGAGTCTCACCCACAATCGTAGAATTCGGACGGTTTCTGGATCGATTTGCCGGATCGAGGTATCCGAGATAGGGAGGGCAAATTACTTTTACTGCCAAATGGCAGACGATAAACTTTCTTACGAGCGTCCTTTCTACGTCGCGCGCTCTCGCTTGGTCTAAGGACAACCGCACTCGTCCACCACCATCTTCGGCAGGTCTCTCTTGATGATATTCGAATCCGGGCCGTAATAGATGAGCGACATCGGCGAGAACTTGAGCGGCGCGCAGCACGGTTGCATGCCGGCCAGTTGGTCCATCTTCCGATACTCCTCGATTACGTGGGTGTAGTAATTGAGGAACGTGTCCGGCGTCCTATGACCGGCCGCGCAGTCTCCTCTGCAGTAATTGGCGTAGTATCTGTCAAGGTAATCGAATGGTTAATTAACATGGGAAACGCCCTACCTCGGAAGCGGTTAAAAAAATTAAGCACTTGCTCTCCTTTTGAATAAACACTGAAATTTATTTACGTATTTAACATAAAAAATAAAAATAACAAAAAGAAAATAAATTCAAAAAAATTAAGAAAGAACATAAAATAAGAAATAATAGTATTTGTGTATCAAGTGCGGAAAGTTGACAATTGGCACGAGCCGAAGGCGAGTGCGACCACCCCACACAAGTGAACAATTGTCAATCCGCACGTGATACATATACTATTTTGTATTACAAGTGCGGGCAAAGTGGCTTTGTGCGCGTTTTCTGTGCGCGAGGTGGCCGATCGCACGCCGCCATTTTGCGACGGCACGGTGCGGGAATAGCCGCGTTCAAAGTCATTGTCCACGGCTGAAGCTGTGGGCAATGTATTGCCCACGGCTTTAGCCGTAGGCAATGACTTTAAACGCGGCTCAGCCGTAGGTAATGGCTTTGAATGCGGCTTATTCGAAGAAAACACGCACACAAAGTGCCACTTTGCCTGCACGTGTAATGCAAAAAAATTTGAAGCGTCCTGCGGACGCCCATGGATAGGACTGATATATATTATAGTACGACTGATTATTGCGTATTTACCCCTGAGGAGCAATGATCCAGTCATCCCATCCCAGCTGAGAGAAGCTCACGTAGAATCGTTCTTTGCAGCATTGGCCTTTTATCGCACCGCTGCATTCGATCGCTCGTCTTCTTACACGCTTTACGGCCGCAGGATCCGTACGCACGACTAGAAACGGCCTATCCGAATCGTGTTCTGTGCCTGAAAGACACATTTATATATATATTACTAAATACTATTCGAATTCTACCGAACGCTTCCACGCGCTTATATAAATAAGATAAAAGTAATGACAGCGAATTATAGACTCGTAGAATTATTGATCAGTTACGTCGGACTAGAGGAATATTTATTAACGACGAGCTCAAACTGATCAAAATGTCCTATCAGTTTCAAAATTAGGTAGAATCTTAATTTTTCAATATTAATGTGGTATATTATGTGTTGATATCTTTTTATTAAATTTTGTTTGTCTCATCAGTAATTAACTAATAATTTGAAAAAATGTATAGCTAGTTTTCAGGATGATGTTCGCAGAGATGGTTCGAGGAACGCATCCGATCATCGATTCATCGCGGATTACCTTTTGTATTTAGGGACGACTCGATCACGTGCGGTGAATACCCGTCGAAGGTTGATACGTGGACGTGGGAGCCGCATCCGCTGCAATCGACGAGCAACGTCAGCTTATCCTTCGAGTAGCTCGTCGTATACCATCTGCTGACGACTTTCGTCACGTCGAATTTCTGCCAGCCGAGCTGGCCGACGTTCATTACGAGAGATGTTACCATCTCCAGATGTTGACCAAGCTCCTAAATAAATTAAACCGCTCGTCTTAGACATAGAGATTTATTCTAAGAATTATAATTTTTTAGATTTCCTCTTTTAAAAAATATAAAAAAGAACACGATTGATTAAAGTTAGTCAAATTTATGATTGAGGAAGTAAGAAGGCACGATGAACCAAATATATGATTGTAAGGCAAATTACCTTGCCTCGAAGATGCGTCGTGTTACCGCAATGGACTCTAAACACCCAGAGAGTGATGTTTCTTTGGTTGATTTGATTGTGACGATGATGCTGATAGTGATGAGAGTGCTTAAGCTCGACTCTCGCCCACAGGGTGGCCCTCTTGATTCTCAGAGGTTCCAATGCCGGTTCGCCGCTCGACATCGGGAATTCCAGCAATGGCTGGCCGTTTAACGTGTGCCCTGGAACAGAGTATATCTTAATTTCGGAAATTACTTATATCATATATATATTATATATATTACTAAATACTATTCGAATTCTACCGAACGTTTCCACGCGCTTATATAAGTAAGATAAAAGTAATGACAGCGAATTATAGACTCGTAGAATTATTGATCAGTTACGTCGGACTAGAGGAATATTTATTGACGACGAGCTCGAACTGATCAAAATGCCCTATCAGTTTCAAAAATAGGTAGAATCTTAATTTTTTAGACCAATTTTATATTTTGACACATTATTAATTTATTATATCTCACTACTCATAGTGCGTTATGACGACAATAATTTTCTCGCATACTAACGATGAAGTCTATGAGATCGGCCAAACATCTCAATAGAGCAATCAATCCGTAAGAAATATACTGACGTTTTGTAATTTGACTCAACACGACATGCACTAATTCGGCGATAAAATTGCGACTTACAATCACTTATGATCATCTACTTTGAATTCCTATACTGAAGAAGACCGCGTGCGGTCGAAACGTTTGTACTGTATTATCTTATATGGAATAAATACTTATAGTTTATATCATCTAATAATGCTCGATTAGTTCGTCTTTTTATATACTAAATTTTGTTTTAATCAATAGACGAGCGAATACACGTTTTTAATATTTTACTTATATCATTTTATTTTTCATCTTTTAATTCCAGATATTAATTGTTAGAGTTTTAAGAAAGCGTTGTCTCGTATCATTGCATATATAATGACGAAGTGTAGAAGCTTCCCTAAAATATGAAAATTATAATGATTTATCATTTTTAATAGGTTAAAAATAAGTTGGGAATATTTCTCATTTGAGTTTGCATGCGAGCAATTAGCATTCGTAAAAGGAGAATCCTGAAAAAGGGACGATTATATGTATGTACATACAATGCATTATTTTTCTGCAATGTGCTCTCGCATGATCGAGGTAGATTTTATCAGACTTTGTTCTTCTCGTCTCTCTCTCTCTTTTCCATCGATTATATACGAGAGATTATATATAGGAGAAATTACGCATGATTTCATTTATGTACAGATATTTTAGAATTTCCAGTTTTAAAGATAAATTGTCATTAATGAATGTTGAACTCTTGATTATAGAAAATTATACGATATCAGTGAAGTTTAATGAAATTTTTCATTATTTAACATTAAAAGACATACCTTCATAATTACGTATTGTACACGGAGAGAATTTTCTCTTCGAATTTACCCTGAAAATCGTGGTAATCAAGGGACAATATGGTATTGGAAGAATTTTGTAAGAATATTAATATGTACATATAGTAAAATTAATCGAACATATTTGATATCTTATTTGTGGTAGATGTTAAAATTCTTCCATATTGTCCCACGATTAGCATGACTTTCGGGATAAATTCCAAGAGAAAATTCCCTCTCCGTAAGATCAAAATTTTACTTGAATTAAATTGAACAATAATATTCCTCAATCCTATCTCCAATTAAAAATATAATTTTTGAAGCAAGATAAAAAAATCGCGTACTGAAAAAAATCATGAATATTTTGAGTCATTACAATGTTTGGGCATTTTAATTAAAAGAAAGTCTGCTCCTGAAAAACTACCCATAATTATAATCCCTGCGCTTTCCAACCCTCCATACACACATACCATATACATATGTGCACGTACGCTGCGTTCAACGCTCGAAAGCACCTTTCGTCTCTCTTTCACCCTGTCCTCTGTCTCCACACACCCCAGGGTGTACGTGTGCACCTGCGCGTCTGTGTGTGGCGCGCGTAGAGTGAAAGCAGGGCGGCTTCATCCTTTAACGGTTTGGTGAGTCACGGACCGAGCGGGGTGGGTCGGGATGGGGATAAGCACAGGGTGTCTGCCGCCCGTCTGCCTTTTGCCTTTCACCGCACACCCCTCCGTTGTAATCCGCCGCCACCGTCGCCGCCGCCGCCGCCGCCGCAACCCACCCAGCCGCAACCCTTGTCTCCGCACCCTAGCCGCGCCGCTGCGCGCGCTATACCGTCCAGCGCGGCGATACTGCGCGATTATATATCGCTGCTTCGTCGTCGTCTTAGCCCGCAAGGGATGTAATGACTCGTGATAGATTAGGGAAGACTCGCCGTGATTAGCGTTAGTATTCGCCGCGGATTATTATTGTTATTTTATTTTCCTATTAGATTAGTGTATAGGTATTATTTTTCATACTATATTTTTAGGACTCTGCTCTATTTTTGGAACGGTTAACATTTATTACAATGTATGCGTTTTTTTGAGGACTTCTCGGGATAAGTAGATTTGAAAATTAAATTGGAACGAGCTTTCGTGAAAAATTAAAATATACAGATCGCAAAAGATCTGATTTGTTATCGGATCGGTAATAAAATAGAATATTAGAAAGGGGTGGATTTGCAAAATTGAATTGAAACAAAACGAAACGAGCTGAAAAATTAAAAGATACGGATTGCGAAAGGCTTTATTTGTCATCGCATCGTATTAGAGGCGATCGAATAAAATATTAGAGAGATACGAGGAGAAAGAGAGAAAAATGGAGGGAGGGTTTCTAATCGATTTTGGGAAATTCAAGAAGAGCGCAGTGAAACAATGTCGATGATCGTAACATTCTTGTCCTTCGCGAAGGCACCACGCCCGAACGTACAGGATTCGATTCTCCTTCCCTTACAAGATGGAATTGAGAGCGGAGATGCAGCGAAGCATATATATATATATACGATATAGATTTAATGATGGAAAAAATTGCTGCTAAACAGCTATCGCTACGCACGAGAATGATTGATTTTTAAAAATGATTGGAGAAAAAAAGGAATTATTCCAGAATTTTAAATCGAATTGAATTTAAATGTCTTGTCAATTTTTGTATACAATTATCTTTTCATGATTTAATTTCACAAGCACAAGATCGATAAATCTCGATATATTTGCAATTTGAAAAAATCGCTACAAATGTTTATATAAAAATTTGTGCGATGTAATAGTTGTTCCGCATCGATAGTATCGTACGCGTGTCTGACTGAGTAAATTCTTCGTCTTGTGATGTAGCGAGAGAAGATCGAGGCGGATATGCGGATATAGAGGAAAAAGCTCGACATATAAAACACGGCTCCAGAACGCTCCACGTCCTTGGCACGTGATCGACAACAAGAGTAAGGATTTTTAGTGGCGGAATACTTGTGGCACAATCGCGGCTCGCGAAATGCCGAAATTACGCGTTGGCTTCCCACCCTGGCATCTCTTCTGTGCACACAGGGTGTCCCGGACATCGCTTGTTCCCCTTCGATCGTACCGGATATCCGGGGACCAAGGTAAACTAACTATGCATTTTTTAGCGTTAAAAATTAAGACGAGAGAGAGAGAGAGAGAGAAAAAAAATTGGCACACAGCAGGAGTTAAGTTTCACGAGGACTAAATCTTATATCTTGGATATTTTGGATGTTGGATACTTATCAAGGTTTCATCATGAATTAATTTCTCATTCCTCATTCTCAGGGTTGTGCTTAGATAATTTTCTGAAAATTATCTAGATAAAGATGAAATGAAATAATGGAAATTTATCTTAGACGAAATGAAGATGATTTTGTTTTAAATGTATTTATAAAAAAATGTTAATTTAAAAAAGGTATATAAACCAATTTATCTGAACATTATTCTAGACGATTTAATAAAAATACATTTTTTTTCAAGACGCAGCTACAGATAAAACATTTTTATTATCTATATAAAAATAAGATGTCGCAAAAATTATAATTTTCTTTAGATAACAGCCAACACTGTCCATCCTACGGTCCATACGATCGGCCAAGTGTCGTAAAATTGTGTCACGCAGGAGTGTCTTTTTTGGTCGGAGACATTTTGTTCAAAAAATTACTACTTTGTTCGGTTTCTAAATGATTTATCCGAGATTTTCGGCTGGAGCAAGACTTATAGCGCGTTCCACTTATCTTGGGCCACTTATCTCTCGACACCTCGAAATAATTCCATCTTCCCGGTCCTTCGCTCGGTACAAGAGAGTCGTATCTTTGATCCTCCACGCGGATTTTTGGGCCCTCTATTTTCTCTTCCTTTACCTCTGGGTCGCGTGCTCCACATTTTCGTACTTCGATTTTCTAATGGCCTCGCTCGAGTTTCGAGTGCATCGTCTGTCGCACATTTCGAGGTCGGTACATCGGGTGGTACTTTTGCCCCCTTGTGCGCCGCAATGCGACATCACCACGGAATCTGCGTCCCGTTCTCTCTCTCTCTTCTCTCTTCTCTCTCGGTCTCTCCCGTCTCTCGCACAGGAACGATGAGACTTTTTTTCCCCTACGATGAATATCATTCCGAGCGAGGCGAAGCGATGCGTCGTCGACCCACTATGTGGAGGCTTTTTGTTACATATGCGTAACATCGAGAAATATCGCGCCCCGATGACGTATTACGTGCGAACTAAACGTCTCGATTTATTTTTTTTTTTTTTTTTAACAAAGCGAGATTTTCTTTCAGCAACTCTATCAATTAAGGTATAGTGTTCAACGGCATTTTTTATCTCGCAACGATATTACAAAGTATTATTTTTTATATAATCCGTATTCTCGTCGTGCAAACTGAACATCTCGATTCAATTGTTTTTTTACATAGCGAGATTTTTTTTTAACAATCAATTAAAATATATAATTTCAATAGCATTTTTTATCTCGCGCGCGCTACAATATTTCAAAATATTATTATTTATATCGAACAGCTTCTTTTTATAACCGATTGCATTTTTACGGATATAAAAATCCGTATTTCTTGCCGTGCAAAACTACTGTTTTTTTTTTAACAAAGCTAGATTTTCTTTCGACAATCAATTAAGATATATCATTTCAATAGCATTTTTGATCTCGCAAAAATATTTCAAAATATAAAAATCCGTATTCTCGCCGCAACTCGTCGCAAACCGAGGGAAGGAGAAATAAGGTGATTTGCGCGATAAATCGGGATTTGTCGAAAATTACAA